GTTTTGGGGGTCCAGGATTTGGGTCTGGGGGTTTCAGGGGTTCCGGGGTCCCAGGTTTGGGTCTGGGGGTTCCGGGGTTTGGGGGTCTGGGGGTTTCGGGGTTCCCAGGGTTTGGGTCTGGGGGTTTCGGGGGGTCTCAGGATTTGGGTCTGGGGGTTTCGGGGGGTCCCAGAGTCTCATTTTTGGGGTCTCGGGGGTCCTCACCTCTGGGTTTTGGGGTGTTTCAGGACTTCCGGGGTCTCAGGATTGGGGTCTGGGGGTTTCGGGGGTCCCAGGGTTTGGGTCTGGGGGTTTCGGGGGTCCCAGGGTTTGGGTCTGGGGGTTTTGGGGGTCCCAGGGTTTGGGTCTGGGGGTTTCGGGGGTCCCAAGGTTTGGGTCTGGGGGTTTCGGGGGTCCCCGGGTCTCATTTTTGGGGTCTCGGGGGGTTTCGGGGGTCCCAGGGTTTGGGTCTGGGGGTTTCGGGGGTCCCGGGGTTTGGGTCTGGGGGTTTCGGGGGGTCCCAGAGTCTCATTTTTGGGGTCTCGGGGGGTTTCGGGGTTCCCAGGGTTTGGGTCTGGGGGTTTCGGGGGTCCCAGGGTTTGAGTCTGGGGGTTTTGGGGGTCCCAGGGTTTGGGTCTGGGGGTTTCGGGGGTCCCAGGGTTTGGGTCTGGGGGTTTCGGGGGTCCCAGGGTTTGGGGGTCTGGGTGTTTTGGGGGTCTCATTTTTGGGGTCTCGGGGGGTTTCGGGGGTCCCAGGTTTTGGGTCTGGGGGTTTCGGGTGTTCCGGGGTGTCCAAGTTTGGGTCTGAGGGTTCCGGGGTTTGGGTCTGGGGGTTTCGGGGATCCCAGGGTCTCATTTTTGGGGTCTCGGGGGGTTTCGGGGGTCCCAGGGTTTGGGTCGGGGGGTTTCGGGGGTCCCAGGATTTGGGTCTGGGGGTTTCAGGGGTCCCAGGATTTGGGTCTGGGGGTTTCGGAGGTCCCAGGGTTTGGGGATGGAGGTTTTGGGGGTCCCAGGGTTTGAGTCTGGGGGTTTTGGGGGTCCCCGGGTCTCATTTTTGGGGTCTCGGGGGTTTCGGGGGTCCCAGGGTTTGGGTCTGGGGGTTTCGGGGGTCCCAGGGTCTCATTTTTGGGGTCTTGAGGGTTTCGGGGGGTCCCAGAGTCTCATTTTTGGGGTCTCGGGGGGTTTCGGGGGTCCCAGGGTTTGGGTCTGGGGGTTTCGGGGGTCCCAGGGGTTTGGGTCTGGGGGTTTTGGGGGTCCCAGGGTTTGGGTCTGGGGGTTTCGGGGGTCCCAGGTTTTGGGTCTGGGGGTTTCGGGGGTCCCAGGGGTTTGGGTCTGGGGGTTTTGGGGGTCCCAGGGTTTGGGTCTGGGGGTTTCGGGGGGTCCCAGAGTCTCATTTTTGGGGTCTCGGGGGGTTTCGGGGGTCCCAGGTTTTGGGTCTGGGGGTTTCGGGGGTCCCAGGGGTTTGGGTCTGGGGGTTTTGGGGGTCCCAGGGTTTGGGTCTGGGGGTTTCGGGGGTCCCAGGGTCTCATTTTTGGGGTCTCGGGGGGTTTTGGGGGTCCCAGGGTTTGGGTCTGGGGGTTTCAGGGGTCTCAGGGTTTGGGTCTGGGGGTTTTGGGGGTCCCAGGGTTTGGGTCTGGGGGTTTTGGGGGTCCCAGGGTCTCATTTTTGGGGTCTCGGGGGGTTTTGGGGGTCCCAGGGTTTGGGTCTGGGGGTTTTGGGGGCCCCAGGGTTTGGGTCTGGGGGTTTTGGGGGTCCCAGGGTTTGGGTCTGGGGGTTTCGGGGGTGTCCAAGTTTGGGTCTGGGGGTTTTGGGGGTCCCAGGGTTTGGGTCTGGGGGTTTCGGGGGTCCCAGGGTCCCATTTTTGGGGTCTCGGGGGGTTTCGGGGGGGGTCCCAGGGTTTGGGTCTGGGGGTTTCAGGGGCTCCGGGGTGTCCAAGTTTGGGTCTGGGGGTTCCGGGGTTTGGGGGTCTGGGGGTTTTGGGGGTCCCAGGGTCTCATTTTTGGGGTCTCGGGGGGTTTCCGGGGTCTCAGGGTTTGGGTCTGGGGGTTTTGGGGGTCCCAGGGTTTGAGTCTGGGGGTTTCGGGGGTCCCAGGGTTTGGGTCTGGGGGTTTCGGGGGTTCCAGGATTTGGGTCTGGGGGTTTCGGGGGTCCCAGGGTTTGGGTCTGGGGGTTTCAGGGGTCCCAGGGTTTGGGTCTGGGGGTTTCGGGGGTCCCAGGATTTGGGTCTGGGGGTTTTGGGGGTCCCAGGGTTTGGGGCTGGGGGTTTCGGGGGTCTCAGGGTTTGGGTCTGGGGGTTTCGGGGGTCTCAGTGTTTGGGTCTGGGGGTTTCGGGGGTCCCAGGGTCTCATTTTTGGGGTCTCGGGGGGTTTCGGGGGTCCCAGGGTTTGGGTCTGGGGGTTTTGGGGGTCCCAGGGTTTGGGGCTGGGGGTTTCGGGGGTCTCAGGGTTTGGGTCTGGGGGTTTCGGGGGTCCCAGGGTCTCATTTTTGGGGTCTTGGCGGGTTTCGGGGGTCCCAGGGTTTGGGTCTGGGGGTTTCGGGGGTCCCAGGGTTTGGGTCTGGGGGTTTTGGGGGTCCCAGGGTCTCATTTTTGGGGTCTCGGGGGGTTTTGGGGGTCCCAGGGTTTGGGTCTGGGGGTTTCGGGGGTCCCAGGGTCTCATTTTTGGGGTCTCGGGGGGTTTTGGGGGTCCCAGGGTTTGGGTCTGGGGGTTTCGGGGGTCCCAGGGTTTGGGGGTCTGGGTGTTTCGGGGGTCTCAGGGTTTGGGTCTGGGGGTTTTGGGGGTCCGAGGGTTTGGGTCTGGGGGTTTTGGGGGTCTCAGTGTTTGGGTCTGGGGGTTTCGGGGGTCCCAGGGTTTGGGTCTGGGGGTTTCGGGGGTCCCAGGGTCTCATTTTTGGGGTCTCGGCGGGTTTCGGGGGTCCCAGGGTTTGGGTCTGGGGGTTTCGGGGGTCCCAGGGTTTGGGTCTGGGGGTTTCGGGGGTCCCCGGGTCTCATTTTTGGGGTTTCGGGGGTCCCAGGATTTGGGTCTGGGGGTTTCAGGGGTCTCAGGATTTGGGTCTGGGGGTTTTGGGGGGGTTCCCACCTGTGCCCACCCCCCTTAACGGCCCCTCCTGAACCCACTTGGGGGTCTCGGGGGACCCCAAAACCAAAAACTTCCCCTCGGCCACCTGGGCCGGGGGGTCCCCTGGGACCCCTCCCCGAATTTCCTGTCCCAAACCAGAACTGAAACTGGGGGGGCAGAGGTGGAATTGGGGGGGGGGCTGCAGAGACCCCCACCCACGGGGGGATTTGGGGACCCCCTGTGTGAGACCCCCGACCCCTCTGTGACCCCCTGTGTGAGACCCCCACCCACGGGGGGATTCGGGGACCCCCTGTGTGAGACCCCCACCCACGGGGGGATTTGGGGACCCCCTGTGTGAGACCCCCGACCCCTCTGTGACCCCCTCTGTGAGACCCCCACCCACGGGGCGATTCAGGGACCCCCTGTGTGAGACCCCTGACCCCTCTGCGACCCCCTGTGTGAGACCCCCACCCACGGGGGATTCAGGGACCCCCTGTGTGAGACCCCCGACCCCTCTGCGACCCCCTGTGTGAGACCCCCGACCCCTCAGTGACCCCCTCCCCATTTCTCCCCCCGGGTTCCTTACATGAGACCCCCACCCACGGGGGGATTCAGGGACCCCTTTTTGAGACCCCCGACCCCTCTGCGACCCCCTGTGTGAGACCCCCACCCACGGGGGGATTCAGGGACCCCTTTTTGAGACCCCCGACCCCTCTGCGACCCCCTGTGTGAGACCCCCGACCCCTCTGTGACCCCCTGTGTGAGACCCCCACCCACGGGGGGGCTGCAGGGACCCCTCTGTGAGACCCCCGACCCCTCAGGGACCCCTGTGTGAGACCCCCGACCCCTCAACGACCCCTCCCCATTTCTCCCCACAGGTTCGTTCCCATTGCCAGAACCGCTCCTTCCCCCCTCCCCCTGCCCCACATTTGGAGACCCCCACCCACGGGGGGCATTCAGGGACCCCTTGTTTGAGACCCCCGACCCCTCAGTGACCCCCTCCCCATTTCTCCCCCCGGGTTCCTTACATGAGACCCCCACCCACGGGGGGGATTCAGGGACCCCCTGGATGAGACCCCCGACCCCTCTGTGACCCCCTGTGTGAGACCCCCGACCCCTCAGTGACCCCCTGTGTGAGACCCCCACCCACGGGGGGCTGCAGGGACCCCCTGTTTGAGACCCCCGACCCCTCAGTGACCCCCTGTGTGAGACCCCCACCCACGGGGGGCTGCAGGGACCCCCTGTGTGAGACCCCCGACCCCTTTAGCGACCCCTCCCCATTTCTCCCCCCAGGTTCCTTACATGAGACCCCCACCCACGGGGGTCCGCACTGGGGGGGTGTCAGCGCCCCTCAGCGACCCCTCCCCATTTCTCCCCACAGGTTCCCATTGCCAGAACCGCTCCTTCCCCCCTCCCCCTGCCCCACATTTGGAGACCCCCACCCACGGGGGGATTCAGGGACCCTTTTTTGAGACCCCCGACCCCTCCATGACCCCCTGTGTGAGACCCCCGACCCCTCAACGACCCCCTCCCCATTTCTCCCCACAGGTTCCCATTGCCAGAACCACTCCATCCCCCCCCCTCCCACCCCCCATTCGGAGACCCCCACCCCTCTAACGCTGCCCACCCGCCCGGGGGGCTCCTCCTGCGGTTCTTGGGGAGGGGTCCGCGTCTGGCCCGTGCCCACCTCCCTCTCCGCATCCCCCGGGACCCTCCTGAGCCTCGAGTGTCGCTTCGAGCCGTGGGACGCGGATGTCACCTGGCTGCAGGTGTGTCAGAACTCAAAATATCCCTCAGATATTTTTAAATGTTTCAAGCTTTAATCAAAATAATTTTAGACCCTGGCAAGCAGCTAAAAACAGTTCTAATCTTAAATTTGAACCATAAAATAAATTATCAACTTTAAAGGTAGAACAAACACAGAAAATTAGATGATATAATAAAAGTAGTCATAAATTAGAAGATAAAATATTTAATATTGTACAGGGGGGTTTTAACACCTGTACAAGGAAGTTTTACTTTCTACAGAGGGGTCAAGAATTCTAAAATAAAAGAAAGTAAAATTAATCCTGTTCTTCCTCCTTCTTCTTCCTTATCTCCATATTCTTAGTGATATCAGCATTTTTCTATTAGTTTAGGCTAAGGACACGCTATTCAACATAAATAATAAATATTAGCACATTATTATAAATATAATACACATAATTTCTAATATATAATATTTATACCATCCCACAAATTCCAACACAGGTGTGTCCCCGCGGCCGGGCCGGGGGCTGCCGCTGGCCCGAGGAGCTGCCGGCCCTGGGCGGGGGTCGCCAGGTAATGGGGGGGGTCCCGGGGGTCTCCAGGCTGAGCTTTGAGCCCCTGGAGCGGAACCACAGCGGACTCTACTTGTGCCGGGTGAGCTCCGGGAACGCGTCCGCGCAGTCCTGCGGCACCTTCGTCAGGGTCCGGGGTGAGTGGGGGTCTCCCCGGGGGGATTTGGGGGGCTCCGGGGGGCTTTGGGGGGCTTTGGGGGAGGTTTGGGGGGGTTTTGGGGGGGTTTTGGGGAGGTTTTGGGGGGGGTTTTGGGGAGGTTTTGGGGGGCGGATAACCCGGGGGGAGGATTTTGGGGAGGTTTTGGGGGGCGCCTGACCCTGTGGGGGTCTCCCCAGGGGGGTTTTGGGGAGGTTTGGGGGAGGTTTTGGGGGTCCTGCGGCACCTTCGTCAGGGTCCGGGGTGAGTGGGGGTCTCCCCGGGGGGGTTTTGGGGGCTTTGGGGGAGGTTTTGGGGAGGTTTGGGGAGCGGGTAACCCGGGGGGAGCATTTTGGGGAGGTTTTTGGGGGGCGCCTGACCCTTTGGGGGTCTCCCCGGGGTGGTTTTGGGGGCGGATGACCCTGTTGGGGGTCTCCCCGTGGGGGTTTGGGGGGGTTTTGGGGAGGTTTTGGGGGTCCTGCGGCACCTTCGTCAGGGTCCTGGGTGAGTGGGGGGCTCCGGGGGGATTTGGGGGAGGTTTTGGGGGGGTTTGGGGGGCGTCTGACCCTTTGGGGGTCTCTCCGGGGGGTTTTGGGGACGGTTTTGGGGGGGTTTTCGGGGTCCCGCGCAGTCCTGCGGCACCTTCGTCAGGGTCCGGGGTGAGTGGGGGGCTCCGGGGGTCTCCGGGGGGGTTTGGGGGGGCTTCGGGGGGCTTTTGGGGAGGTTTGGGGGAGGTTTTGGGGGTCCTGCGGCACCTTCGTCAGGGTCCTGGGTGAGTGGGGGTCTCCCCGGGGCGGTTTGGGGAGGTTTTGGGGGGGTTTGGGGGGCGGCTGGGCCTTTGGGGGTCTCCCCGGAGGGGTTTTGGGGAGGTTTTGGGGGTCCCGCGCAGTCCTGCGGCACCTTCGTCAGGGTCCGGGGTGAGTGGGGGTCTCCGGGGGGCTTTGGGGGGGTTTTGGGGAGGGTTTGGGGGGGGTTTTGGGGAGGTTTGGGGGAGGTTTTGGGGGTCCTGCGGCACCTTCGTCAGGGTCCGGGGTGAGTGGGGGTCTCCCCGGGGGGCTTTGGGGAGGTTTGGGGGGCTTTTGGGGAGGTTTGGGGGAGGTTTTGGGGGAGGTTTTGGGGGTCCTGCGGCACCTTCGTCAGGGTCCGGGGTGAGTGGGGGTCTCCCCGGGGGGGTTTGGGGAGGTTTTGGGGAGGTTTTGGGCAGGTTTTGGGGGGGCTTTGGGGAGGTTTGGGGGGCGGCTGACCCATTGGGGGTCTCCCCGGGGGGTTTTGGGGGGTTTTGGGGAGGGTTTGGGGGGCGTCTGACCCTTTGGGGGTCTCTCCGGGGGGTTTTGGGGACGGTTTTGGGGGGGTTTTGGGGGTCCCGCGCAGTCCTGCGGCACCTTCGTCAGGGTCCTCGGTGAGTGGGGGTCTCCCCGGGGGGATTTGGGGAGGTTTTGGGGAGGTTTGGGGGGCGGCTGACCCTTTGGGGGTCTCCCCGAGGGGCTTTGGGGGGGTTTGGGGGGCGGCTGAGTCGGTGGGGGTCTCCCCAGGGGGGTTTTGGGGAGGTTTTGGGGAGGTTTTGGGGGTCCTGCGGCACCTTCGTCAGGGTCCTGGGTGAGTGGGGGGCTCCCGGAGGGGTTTTGGGGGGGTTTGGGGGGCGCCTGACCCTTTGGGGGTCTCGGGTCGGATTTTGGGGTGCTCCTGACCCGGTTCGGCCCGGCAGAACCCGTGCCCGTGCCGTTCCTGGACCTGGCAGACGCCACCAAGAACAGGATCCTGACGGCGCAGGGAGCGCTGCTGCTGCTGTGCGCTGCGGGGCCGGGGCTGCTGCTGCTCTTCAGGGTGAGGAGGGGGCTCCGGGGGACCCCCGCCCCTAATTCCAGCCCTGGTGGCCCCAATCCCGGCCCTGCTGTCCCTGATGTTTCAGTCCTGACAACCCCAATTCCTCCTGGTTCCCCCAAAATCCCCTTTTTTTGCCCCAAATCCCCCTTTTTTTGCCCCTTTTTTCCCCCAAATCCCCCTTTTTTGCCCCTTTTTTCCCCCAAATCCCCCTTTTTACCTCCAAATCCCCTTTTTCTTTTTCCCCCAAATCCCCTTTTTTTCCCCCAAATCCCCCACTCAAACCCCGCCCCGTACCCCTTTTTTCCCCCATCACTCCAAATCCCCTTTTTTCCCCCCAAATCCCCTTATTTTTCCCCCCAAATCCCCCTTTTTTTCCCCCCAAATCCCCTTTTTTTCCCCCCAAATCCCCCTTTTTCCCCCCAAATCCCCTTTCCCCCCCCCCAAATCCCCTTTTTTTTTCCCCCCTTTGCACCCCTTTTTCTCCCCCAAATCCCCTTTTTTCCCTCCAAATCCCCTTTTCCCCCCCCCAAATCCCCTGTTTTTCCCCCAAATCCCCCTTTCTTTTCCCTCCAAACCCCCTTTTTCCTCCCCAAATCCCCTTTTTTTCCCCCAATCACCCCAAATCCCCTTTATTTCCCCCCAAATCCCCTTATTTTTCCCCCCAAATCCCCTTTTTCCCCCCTTTGCATCCCTTTTTTCCCCCCCAAATCCCATTTTTCCCCCCCAAATCCCCCTTTCTCCCCCAAAATCCCCTTTTTTTCCCCACCAAATCCCCCTTTTTTCCCCCCCATCACCCCAAATCCCCTTTTTTTCCCCCCAAATCTCCTTTTTTCCCCCCAAATCCCCTTTTTTCCCCCTCGTACCCCTTTTTCCCCCCAATCACCCCAAATCCCCTTTTTTCCCCCCAAATCCCCCCTTTTCCCCCCCAAATCCCTTTTTTTCCCCCAAATCTCCTTTTCCCCCCCAAATCCCCTTTTTTTCCCTCCCTGTACCCCTTTTTCCCCCTTTGCACCCCTTTTTTCCTCCCCCACCACCCAAAATCCCCTTTTTTTCTCCCCCCAATCCCCTTTTTTCCCCCCAAATCCCCTTTTTTTCCCCCCCCATCTCCCCAAATCCCCCTTTTTCCCCCTTTGCACCCCTTTTTTCCCCTTTTGCACCCTTTTTTTTCCCCCCAAATCCCCTTTTTTTTTCCCCCCTAAATCCCCTTTTTTCCCCCCCAATCACCCCCAAATCCCCTTTTTCCCCCCCAAATCCCCTTATTTTTCCCCCCAAATCCCCTTTTTCCCCCAAATCCCCTTTTTTTCCCCCAAATCCCCCTTTCTTTTCCCTCCAAACCCCCTTTTTCCTCCCCAAATCCCCTTTTTTCCCCCCATCACCCCAAATCCCCTTTATTTCCCCCCAAACCCCCTTATTTTTCCCCCCAAATCCCCTTTTTTCCCCCAAATCCCCCCTTTTCCCCCCCAAATCCCTTTTTTTTCCCCCCAAATCCCCTTTTTTTTCCCAAATCCCCCCATTTTTCCCCCCCAAATCCCCTTTTTCCCCCTTTGCACCCCTTTTTCCCCCCAAATCCCCTTTTTCCCCCCCAAATCCCCTTTTTTTTCCCTCCTGTACCCCTTTTTTCCCCCTTTTCTCCCCCAAATCCCCTTTTTTCCCCCTATCACCCCAAATCCCCTTTTTTTTTCCCCCCCATCACCCCAAATCCCCTTTTTTTCCCCCCTGTACCCCTTTTTTCCCCCTTTTCCCCCCCAAATCTCCTTATTTTTCCCCCCCAAACCCCCTTTTCCCCCCCTTTGCACCCCTTTTTTTCCCCCAAACCCACTTATTTTCTCCCCCAAACCCCCTTTTTCCCCCAACCCCCTTTTTTTTCCCCCTCATCACCCCAAACCCCCTTATTTTTCCCCCCAAATCCCCTTTTTTTTCCCCAAACCCCCTTTTTCCCCCTTTGCACCCCTTTTATCCCCCCATCACCCAAAATCCCCTTTTTTCTCCCCCAAACCCCCTTTTTCCCCCCTAAATCCCCTTTTCCCCCCCCCCCATCACCCCAAAATCCCATTTTCCCCCCCTTTACACCCTTTTTTTTCCCCCTCCCAGAAGCGCTGGGCCAACGAGCGTCTCCTCCAGCCCAAGAAAATCTCCCTGGAGGAGGAAAACCTTTATGAGGTGACCTGGGGCTGGGCAGGGACACCCCAAAACCCCCCAAAAAAGGGTCTGGGGGTGTTTTTGGGGGTCCTGACCCCAATTTCCCCCTCCCCAGGGGCTGAACCTGGACGAGTGCTCCATGTACGAGGACATTTCCCGGGGGGTCCAACCCACCTACCAGGACGTGGGGACCCCCCCCGCCGCCGAGGGGCTCCTGGAGAAGCCTTAAAAGACCCCCCAAAATGAGGGGGGGGTCCCCAAACCCCTGCGTGCCCCCCAAACCCCACAAAGGCTTTGCTTGGGTACCTCAATTAGCTGATAAATCGCTAATAATTAATCTTTCATCTCCATTTTACCCCATATTTTACCCTATTTTACTCAATTTACCCCCTTTTTACCCCATTTTACCCCACATTTTACTCAATTTTACCCCCATTTTACCCATTTTTACCCCATTTTACCCACATTTTACTCCCTTTTTTATCCCAATTTTACCATTTTACCTCCTTCTTACCCCATTTTACCCCCATTTTACCTCCCCATTTTACCCCTGAATTTACCCCATTTTACCCCCTATTTTACCCCATTTTACCCCCAATTTACCTCCAATTTTACCCCCATTTTACCCCTATTTTACTCCCTATTTTACCCAATTTTACCCCCTTTTTACCTCATTTTACCCCCGTTTTACCCCCAATTTTACCCCCCATTTACCCCAAATTTTACCCCCATTTTACCCCAAATTTTACCCCAAATTTACCCCATTTTACCCCAATTTTACCCCCATTTCACCCCCTATTTTACCCGATTTTACCCCCAGTTTACCCCACATTTTACCCCATTTTACCCCAAATTTTATCCAATTTTACCCCCATTTTACCCCAAATTTTACTCCTATTTTACCCCCTATTTTTACCCAATTTTGCCCCCCATTTTACCCCACTTTACCCCCATTTTACCCCCAATTTTACCTTCTATTTTACCCCATTTTACCCCCTATTTTCCCCCATTTTACCCCAAATTTTACTCAATTTTACCCCAAATTTTACCCCCTATTTTACCCCCATTTTACCCCAATTTTACCCCCAGGACCCTTCCCCAAACCCCTGCGTGCCCCCCACCCCCACCAAGGCTTTGCTTTGGTACCTCAAGGCAGCGCTGATCTAAACCCCCTCCCCAAAATAAAACTGCAGCTGAGAAATTGCTAATAATTCATATTTTACCCCATATTTTACCCGCATTTTACCCCAAATTTTACCCCCTTTTACCTCTATTTAGGCCATTTTACCCCAAATTTTACCTCCTATTTTACCCCATTTTACCCCAAATTTTACCCATTTTACCCACCATTTTATCTCATTTACCCCCCATTTTACCACCTATTCTACCCATTTTACCCCAATTTTACCCCAAATTTTACCCCCATTTTACTCCCCCATTTTAGCCCTGAATTTATCCCATTTTACCCCCATTTTACCCATTTTACCCCAATTTTACCCCCATTTCACCCCAAATTTTACCCCCAAATTTTACACCATTTTGCCTCGATTTTACCCCCCATTTTACCTCTATTTTACCCCAAATTTTACCCCATTTACCCCCCATTTTATCCCCTATTTTACCCAATTTACCCCAATTTTACTCCCCATTTTACCCAATTTTACCATTTTACCCAATTTACCCCCTTTTTACTCCATTTTACCCCAATTTTACCCCCCATTTCACCCATTTTACCCCATTTACCCCAAATTTTACCCCATTTTGCCTCCATTTTACCCCAATTTCCTTCTATTTTACCCCCAATTTTATCCCATTTACCCCCCATTTTACCCCCTATTTTACCCCAATTTTACACAATTTTCCCATTTTACCCCAATTTTACCCCAATTTTACCCCCATTTTACCCCATTTACCCCCCATTTTACTCCCTATTTTACCCCCAATTTTACCCCATTTTACCCAATTTACCCCCTATTTTACCTCCATTTTACCCCCTATTTTACCCCATTTACCCCCTATTTTACCCAATTTACCCCCTATTTTACCCAATTTACCCCCTTTTTTACCCCAATTTTACCCACCATTTTACCCCAAATTTTACCCCCATTTACCCCAATTTTACCCCCCATTTCACCCCATTTCACCCCAAATTTTACCCCTATTTTACCCCCTAATTGACCCATTTTACCCCATATTTTACCCATTTTACCCACAATTTTACCCCAAATTTTACCCCAATTTTACCCCAAGGACCCCGCCCCCAACCCCACCAAGGCTTTGCTTTGGTACCTCAAGGCAGCGCTGATGTCAAACCCCCTCCCCAAAATAAAACTGCAGCTGAGAAATTGCAAATAAAAAATTCATATTTTACCCCATTTGACTCCATTTTTACCCAAATTTTACCCATTTTACCCACCATTTTATCTCATTTACCCCCCATTTTACCGCCTATTTTACCCAATTTTACCCCCTTTTTACCCCTAATTTACCCCATTTTACACCCCAATTTTACCCCATTCTACCCCCCATTTTACCCCAAATTTTACCCCCTATTTTACCCCCAATTTTACCCCAAATTTACCCCATTTTACCCCAAATTTTACCCCCATTTTAACCCCTATTTTACCCCATTTTACCCACCATTTAACCCCAAATTTTACCCCCTATTTTACCCCATTTTTACCCCATATTTTACCCCCTATTTTAGCCATTTTTACCCATTTTACCCCATATTTTACCCCATTTTACCATTTTTTTACCCCATTTTACCCCCCTATTTTACGCTTTACCCCCAATTTTACCCCCATTTTACCCCAAATTTTACCCCCATTTTACCCCCTATTTTACCCAATTTACCCCAAATTTTACCCAATTTTACCCCCTATTTTACCCAATTTACCCCCAATTTTACCCCCCATTTTACCCATTTTACCCCCATTTTATCCCAAATTTTACCCCAATTTTACCCCATTTTACCCCATTTACCCCCTATTTTACCCAAATTTACCCTCTAATTTACCCCCTATTTTACCCATTTTACCCCAAATTTTTCCCTATTTTACCCCATTATCCCCCATTACCCACAGTTTCCCAAATTTTATCCCGTTTTTCCCATTTTCTCCTAATTTCTCACATTTTTAACCCAATTTCCCCAAATTTCCCCCATTTTCTGTGTTCACCTCCCATTTTCTTCAAATTTTCCCCATTTTTCCCCAATTTCCCCACTGTGAAAAATGCAGATTTTACTATTGGCTTTACCCAAATATTCCACTAAATATCATAAAGTGTAATATTAAAAACTTAATTTTCTATTAATTCTCTTAATCAACACATTAAATATAATTTTAAATCCCAACATGACATTAAAATAAACATTATTTATGCGGGGAAAGTTAATTTTTTTTTAGGAATTAAATACTCACTTCCAGGAGCACCTAAATTTTCCAAAAAAATGAATTTATGGTTTTTTTAATCAGAAAAAATTAATTTTTTCAAAGGCCTCAGGAATTAAACAAGTAATTGATACACAATAAATAGAACTTCTTGTTTTAAATAAAATATATGCATAACTATGAAATTTAAATAAAATATGAATATGCAACAAGCTGTTGTTTTTAAAGTTATTTTTTTGTTCAAAAAAAGGAATTTATTCACAATTCACGCCTTTTTTTTTATTATTTTTTTGGAGCATCCCAAAATCTGTGATTTTTTACTTTTTATTGTTTCATAATCCGTTCAAAACCCCCCAAAATTCGATTTCCCCCTCAAAAAAATTCACCCCAACCCCCAAAATTCACATTTTTCCCCCCAAAAAAAAGAGCCGAGACCCCAAAATTCCAGAGCAGTTCCTTTATTGGGGGAGGGGCCCCCGAATTTTCCCCAATTTTGGGGTTTTTTGGGAGGCATCCCGAAATTTTGGGATTTTTAGGGGGCAAAATCCTCAAATTTCCCCCAATTTTGGGGTTTTTTGGGGGCAAAATCCCCAAATTTTCCCGATTTTTTTTGATTTTTAGGAGGAACCCCCCAAATTTTAATTTTTTTGGGGAGGGGATCCCCAAATTTTGGGATTTTTTTGGGCAAAAATCCCCAAATTTTGGGATTTTTTGGGGCAAAATCCCCAATTTTCCCAAATTTTTGGGGTTTTTTGAGTCAGAACCCCCAAATTTTGGGGTTTTTAACATAGGAACCCCCAAATTTTCAGTTTTTTGGGGCAGAATCCCCAAATTTTCCCCAATTTTGGGGTTTTTTGAGTGAATATCCCCAAATTTTCCCAAATTTTTGGATTTTTTGAAACAGGACCCCCAAATTTTCCCAAATTTTGGGGTTTTTTTTATTTGTTTTAGGACGGATCCCCAATTTTCCCAAATTAGGAGGATTTTTTTGGGAATTTTGGGATTTTTTTGGGGAATTTGGGGATTTTTTTTGGAATTTGGGGATTTTTTTGGGATTTATTTAGAGATTTTTTCTTTTTTTTATTTTTTTGGGATTTTGGGGATTTTTTTGGGGTTTTTCCCCCGTTTTTTGGGGGGAGTGGGGGAGGGGCTGCCGGCAGCTGGCGAGGAGGAGGAGGAAAAATCCCGAACCCGCTGAGGCCGAAGGCTCAGGAGGAGGAGGAGGAGGAGGGAACATCCCGAACCCGCTGAGGCCGAAGGCTCAGGAGGAGGAGGAGGAGGAGGAGGGAAAATCCCAAACCCGACGAGGCCGAAGGCTCAGGAGGAGGAGGAGGAGGAGGGAAAATCCCGAACCCGACGAGGCCGAAGGCTCAGGAGGAGGAGGAGGGAAAATCCCGAACCCGCTGAGGCCGAAGGCTCAGGAGGAGGAGGAGGAGGAGGAGGAGGAAAAATCCCGAACCAAATGAGGCCGAAGGCTCAGGAGGAGGAGGAGGGAAAATCCCGAACCCGCTGAGGCCGAAGGCTCAGGAGGAGGAGGAGGGAAAATCCCGAACCCGCTGAGGCCGAAGGCTCAGGAGGAGGAGGAGGAGGAGGGAAAATCCCGAACCCGCTGAGGCCGAAGGCTCAGGAGGAGGAGGATGAGGAGGAGGGAAAATCCCAAACCCGCTGAGGCCGAAGGCTCAGGAGGAGGAGGAGGAAAAATCCCGAACCCGCTGAGGCCGAAGGCTCAGGAGGAGGAGGAGGAGAGAAAATCCTGAACCCGACGAGGCCGAAGGCTCAGGAGGAGGAGGAGGAGGAGGAAAAATCCCGAACCCGCTGAGGCCGAAGGCTCAGGAGGAGGAGGAGGGAAAATCCCGAACCCGACGAGGCCGAAGGCTCAGGAGGAGGATGAGGAAGAGGAGGATGATGAAGGCTTCTCTCTCATTTCACGGTGAGGAAGAGGAGGGTGACGGTCGGGACGACGAAGGGGATGAAGGTGAGGATGATGAAGGCGAAGGTGAATTCCCTTCGATGAAGATGAAGGTGACGAAGGTCGGGACGAAGATGAGGGCGATGAAGGTGATGAAGATGATGAAGATGAAGGTGAGGATGATGATGATGAAGGTCTCAGCCGATGGTGAGGCCGAAGCCGCAGTGGAACTTCTCCTTGCGGTGGTTGATGAGGATGATGATGGTGAGGATGATGATGACAATAATGAACAATAACGAAGCTCAGGATGAAGATGAGGTTGATGAGGATGATGAAGATGATGAAGATGAAGATGAGGATGATGAGGATGAAGGTCTCAGCCGATGGTGAGGCCGAAGCCGCAGTGGAACTTCTCCTTGCGGTGGTTGATGAGGATGATGATGGTGAGGATGAGGATGATGATAACGGGGATAACGAAGCTCGGGATGAAGATGATGATGAAGATGAAGGTGAGGATGATGAAGATGAGGATGAGGATGATGAGGATGAAGGTCTCAGCCGATGGTGAGGCCGAAGCCGCAGTGGAACTTCTCCTTGCGGTGGTTGATGAGGATGATGATGGTGAGGATGACGATGACGATAACGGGGATAACGAAGCTCAGGATGATGAAGATGATGAAGATGATGAAGATGAAGGTGAGGATGATGAAGATGATGAAGATGAAGATGAGGATGATGAAGATGAAGGTCTCAGCCGATGGTGAGGCCGAAGCCGCAGTGGAACTTCTCCTTGCGGTGGTTGATGAGGATGATGATGGTGAGGATGACGATGTCAATAACGAAGCTCGGGATGAAGATGAAGCTCAGGACGAAGATGAAGATGATGAAGATGAAGGTCAGGATGATGAAGATGAAGATGAGGATGATGATGATGAAGCTCAGCCGATGGTGAGGCCGAAGCCGCAGTGGAACTTCTCCTTGCGGTGGTTGATGAGGATGATGATGGTGAGGATGACGATAACGGGGATAACGAAGCTCGGGATGAAGATGAAGCTCGGGACGAAGATGAAGGTGATGAAGATGATGAAGATGAAGGTCAGGATGATGAAGATGAAGATGAGGATGATGATGATGAAGGTCTCAGCCGATGGTGAGGCCGAAGCCGCAGTGGAACTTCTCCTTGCGGTGGTTGATGAGGATGATGATGGTGAGGATGACGATAACGGGGATAACGAAGCTCGGGATGAAGATGAAGCTCAGGATGAAGATGAAGATGATGAAGATGAAGATGAGGATGATGAAGATGAGGATGATGAGGATGATGAAGATGAAGGTGAGGATGATGAGGATGATGATGAGGATGATGATGAAGGTCTCAGCCGATGGTGAGGCCGAAGCCGCAGTGGAACTTCTCCTTGCGGTGGTTGATGAGGATGATGATGGTGAGGATGATGATGACGATGACGATAACGAAGCTCAGGATGAAGATGAAGCTCAGGATGAAGATGAAGATGATGAAGATGATGAAGATGATGAAGATGAGGATGAGGATGATGATGATGATGCTCAGCCGATGGTGAGGCCGAAGCCGCAGTGGAACTTCTCCTTGCGGTGGTTGATGAGGATGATGATGGTGAGGATGATGATGACGATAACGAGGATAACGAAGCTCAGGATGATGATGAGGATGATGAGGATGATGAGGATGATGAAGATGAAGGTGAGGATGATGAGGATGATGATGATGAAGCTCAGCCGATGGTGAGGCCGAAGCCGCAGTGGAACTTCTCCTTGCGGTGGTTGATGAGGATGATGATGGTGAGGATGATGATGACGATAACGGGGATAACGAAGCTCAGGATGAAGATGAGGTTGATGAGGATGATGAAGATGATGAAGATGAAGGTGAGGATGATGAGGATGATGATGATGAAGCTCAGCCGATGGTGAGGCCGAAGCCGCAGTGGAACTTCTCCTTGCGGTGGTTGATGAAGGCTCCCAGCGCCAGCGTGAGGGGGAGGGGCGGCAGTTTCTTCTCCAGCACCGCCCCCACCTGCCACGAGCTGTCCAGGGAACCTGCGGAATTGGGGCAAAATCCCGCGGTTTTGGGAAAATCCCAGAAAATTCCCACATTTCCGGGAAAAATTCACAATTTTTTAGGGATTTTTCCCAAATTTTCGGAGATTTTCCCCCATTTTTCCCCCATTTTTTCAGATTTTTTTTCCCCATTTTTTTTGGATTTTCCCCCTATTTTTTCCCATTTTTCCAGATTTTTTTTCACTTTTTTTTTGGGATTTTCCCCTTCCCTTTTTTTGGATTGTTCCAATTTTCGGGGATTTTCCCCCATTTTTTCCCATTTTTCCAGATTTTTTTTCACATTTTTTGGGGATTTTCCCCTTCCCTTTTTTGGATTGTTCCAATTTTCAGAGATTTTCCCCATTTTTTCAGATTTTTTCCAATTTTTTTGGGGATTTTCCCCCATTTTTTCCCATTTTTCCAGATTTTTTTCCCATTTTTTTGGGGATTTACCCCCATTTTTTCCCGATTTTTCCAGATTTTTTTCCCCATTTTTTTGGGATTTTCCCCTTCCCTTTTTTGGATTGTTCCAATTTTTGGGGATTTTCCCCCATTTTTTCAGATTTTTTAACCATTTTTGGGGAATTTTCCCTCATTTTTTCCCTTCATTTTTCCCTTTTTTGGATTGTTCCAATTTTTAGGGATTTTCCCCCATTTTTTCCAGATTTTTTGGGGGTAATTTTCAGGGATTTTTGGGGGGGATTTTTGGGGAATTTCTGAGGGAATTTCAGGGATTTTTGGGGGGAATTTTTGGGGGAAATTTCAGGGAATTTTGGGGATATTTTTGGGGTTAATTTGAGGATATTTTGGGGATTTTTTTGAGGCTATTTTAGGGATATTTTGGGGATTTTTTTGGGTTATTTTTGGGCCATTTTTGGGGATATTTTAGGGATATTTTGGGCTGTTTTTGGGGCTATTTTGGGGATATTTTTGGCGCTATTTGGGGACTATTTTAGAGATATTTTGGGCTGGTTTTGGGGCTATTTTGGGGATATTTTTGGGGCTATTTGGGGACTATTTCAGGGCTATTTTGGGAATATTTTAGGGATATTTTGGGCCATTTTTGGGGCTATTTTGGGGATATTTTTAGGGCTATTTTTGGAATATTTTAGGGATATTTTGGGCCATTTTTGGGGCTATTTTGGGGATATTTTTAGGGCTATTTTTGGAATATTTTAGGGCTATTTTGGGAATATTTAAGGTATATTTATGGGAATTTTTGGGGCTATTTGGGGACTATTTTAGGGATATTTTGGGCCGTTTTTGGGGCTATTTGGGGACTATTTAGGGAATATTTTAGGACATTTTTGGGGATATTTTTTGGCCATATTTGGGCCGTCTCACCCCGGAACAGGAGGTTCCCGCGGGGCAGCTCCAGCTGGTAGCCGAAGGCGACGCTCGAGTCCTGGAGCCGCGTGCTGGCCTCAAACTCCACCCCCACCTGCAGCTGCGACACATTTGGGGGTCCCAAATCCCACCCACCCCAAATTTGGGGAATTTCCCCCATTTTTCACCATTTTCCCAAATTTTTTTATGGACATTTTCCATTTTTTTGCCGTTTTTTGGTGATTTTTCCTCAATTTTTGGAGATTTTTTCCTCCATTTTGGGAGCCCCACCCACACCTGGGCACACCTGGGGGTCCCACTGGCCCCAGGATCCCACCCAACCCAAATTTGAGGAGTTTTCCCCATTTTTCACCATTTTCCCAAAATTTTTTGGGATATTTCCCTTTTTTTTTGCCATTTTTTGGTGATTTTTCCCCAATTTTTGGGGGTTTTTCCCCCATTTTGGGAGCCCCACCCACACCTGGGCACACCTGGGGGTCCCACCGGCCCCGGGACCCCTCCCCAAATCCCACCCACCCCAAATTTGGGGAGTTTTCCCCATTTTTGGCCATTTTTTTGGTGATTTTTTCCCCAGTTTTTTGGATTTTGGGGTCCCATTCCCATTTTTGGGGTCCCCGGGTGGATTTTGGGGTCCCATTCCCATTTTGGGGTTCCCCATTCCCATTTTTGAGTTCCCCATTCCCATTTTGGGGTTTCCCAGGTGATTTTGGGGTTCCCCATTCCCATTTTGGGTTCCTGGGTACAATTTTGGGGTCCCCCAGGTGGATTTTGGGCTCCCCAGGTAAATTTTGGGATTCCCCGGGTACAATTTTGGGGTTCCCAGGTAAATTTTGGGGTTCCCCAGGTAAATTTTGGGGTCCCGGGGTACAATTTTGGGGTCCCCAGGTAAATTTTGGGGTTCCCCGGGTACAATTTTGGGGTTCCCCAGGTACATTTTGGGGTTCCCCATTCCAATTTTTGGGGTCCCTGTTCCCATTTATGGGTTCCCCAGGTAAATTTTGGGGGTCCCGGGGTACAATTTTGGGGTCCCCAGGTAAATTTTGGGGTTCCCCAGGTGATTTGGGGTTCCCCATTCCCATTTCTGGGTTCCCCAATCCCATTTTTGAGGTTCCCCATTCCCATTTTTGGGTTCCTGGGTACAATTTTGGGGTCCCTGGGTACAATTTTGGGCCCCCCGGGTACAATTTTGGGGTCCCAGGTGAGAATTTGGGGTACCTGGGTACAATTTTTGGGTCCCGGGGTACAATTTTGGGGTTCCCCAGGTAAATTCTGGGGTCCTGGGGTACAATTTTGGGGTTCCCCAGGTGAGTTTTGGTCCCTCCCGGTTCCATTTTTGGGGTTCCCCATTCCCATTTTCGGGTTCCCAGGTAAATTTTGGGGTTCCCCAGGTGATTTTGGGGTCCCCAGGTAAATTTTGGGGTTCCCCAGGTGCATTTCGGTTCCTGGTTCCATTTTTGGGGTTCCCCATTCCCATTTCTGGGTTTCCTGTTCCCATTTTGGGGTTCCCCAGGTGAGTTTTGGTCCCTCCTGGTTCCATTTTTGGGGTTCCCCATTCCCATTTTGGGTTTCCCCAGGTAAATTTCGGGGTTCTGGGGTACAATTTTGGGGTCCCAGGTGTGATTTTGGGGTTCCCCAGGTGAATTTGGGTTCCTCAGGTACAATTTTGGGGTTCCCCAGGTGAGTTCTGGTCCCTCCCGGTTCCATTTTTAGGGTCCCCATTCCCATTTTTAGGACTCCCATTCCCAATTTTGGGGTTCCCTGGTACAATTTTGGGTCCCCAGCTAAATTTTGGGTTCCCCAGGTAAATTTTGGGGTCCCTGGGTACAATTTTGGGTTCCCGGGGTACAATTTCGGGGTTCCCCAGGTGAGAATTTTGGGGTACCTGCTCGCTGGCTCGGTGGTAGTAGGTCAGGTGAGCTCCGGCCTGGCCCAATGTCACCGTCCCGATCCACGACGGAGCTGCGGGAGAGACGCACAGCTGGAACAGCTGGAACAGCTGGAACACACCTGGGCACACCTGGGCACAGCTGGGAGTACCTGGGCACACCTGAGGGCACAGCTGGCACACCTGGGGGTACCTGGGATACACTTGGGGCACACCTGGGGGTACCTGGGCACACCTGGGCGCACCTCAGGGCACCTGGGGGCACCTGGGGCACACCTGGGGGTACCTGGGATACACTTGGGGCACACCTGGGGGCACCTGGGCACACACCTGAGGGCACCTGGGCACACCTGGGCACAGCTGGGGACACCTGGGCACACTTTGGATACACCTGGGGACAGCTGGCACAGCTGGGGCAGGTGTGGGGCACACCTGGGAGTACCTGGGCACACCTGGGGGCACCTGGGCACAGCTGGGCACACCTGGGCACAGCTGGGGCACCTGGGATACACCTGGGCACACCTGGGGGCACCTGGGGGTACCTGGGAACACCTGGGCACACCTGGGCACACCTGGGCACAGCTGGGATACACCTGGGGCACACCTGGGCACACCTGGGATACACCTGGGCACACCTGGGGGTACCTGGGGGCAGCTGGGCACAGCTGGGCACACCTGGGCACAGCTGGGGCACCTGGGATACACCTGGGCACACCTGGGGACACCTGGGGGTACCTGGGGCACACCTGGGCACACCTGGGCATAGCTGGGGGTACCTGGGGGCACACACCTGGGGACACCTGGGCACACCTGGGGGTACTTGGGAGCACACCTTGGGGTACCTGGGGACAGCTGGGGGCACCTGGGGGCACCTGGGCACACACCTGGGCACAGCTGGGCACACCTGGGATACACCTGGGGGCATCTGGGATACACTTGGGGCACACCTGGACAGAGCTGGGCACACCTGAGGGCACAGCTGGGGGCAGCTGGGGCACCTCAGGGCACCTGGGGGCACACCTGGGCACAGCTGGGATATACCTGGGCACACCTGGGCACAGCTGGGCGTACCTGGGGCACACCTGGGGGCACCTGGGCAGACCTGGGGACACCTGGGCACAGCTGGGGGCACACCTGGGCATAGCTGGGGGCACAGCTGGGCACACCTGGGCTACATCTGGGGGCACCTGGGCACAGCTGGGCATACCTGGGGGGTACCTGGGCACACACCTGGGCACAGCTGGCACAGCTGGGAGCACCTGGGGGTACCTGGGGCACAGCTGGGCACAGCTGGGCACAGCTGGGGGCACCTGGGGGCACCTGGGGCCACACCTGGGGGTACCTGGGCACAGCTGGGGGGCAGTTAGAGCACACCTGGGGACACCTGGGGCACACCTGGGGGCACCTGGGCACAGCTGGGCACAGCTGGGGGCACGTGGGGGCACAGCTGGGGGTACCTGGGCACACCTGAGGGCACCTGGATTTTGGGGTGTTTTTCTCAGGATTTGGGGCTCACCCGAGTATCTCCCGGCCAGCGACAGCACCGCCCCCTCCCCCCCGTGTGATTTTGGGGTGTTTTTTGTCAGGATTTTGGGGTCCCACCTGGGGGATTTTGGGGTTTTTTTCTCAGGATTTTGGGGCTCACCCCTGAGGGATTTTGGGGTTTTTTTCTCATGATTTTGGGGTGTTTTTGTCAGGATTTGGGGCTCACCCGAGTATCTCCCGGCCAGCGACAGCACCGCCCCCTCCCCCCCGTGTGATTTTGGGGTGTTTTTCCCAGGATTTTTGTTTTTTTTTTTTCTCAGGATTTTGGGGTTTTTTTTCTCAGGATTTTGGGGTTTTTCTCTCAGGATTTTGGGATTTTTCCCTCAGGATTTTGGGTTTTTTTTTCTCACCATTTTGGGATTTTTCCCTCAGGATTTTGGGGTCCCCCCGATGGATTTTGGGGTGTTTTTGTCAGGATTTGGGGCTCACCCGAGTATCGCCCGGCCAGCGACAGCACCGCCCCCTCCTCCCCGTGTGATTTTGGGGTTTTTTTTCTCAGGATTTTGGGGTTTTTTTTCTCAGGATTTTGGGGTGTTTTCCTCAGGATTTTGGGGTCCCCTCTGAGGGATTTTGGGTTTTTTTTCTCAGGATTTTGGGGTATTTTTCTCTCAGGATTTGAGGTCCCCCCCGTGGGATTTTGGGGCATTTTTCTCAGGATTTTGGGGTCCCCCCTGTGTGATTTTGGGGTGTTTTTCTCAGGATTTTGGGTTTTTTTTCTCAGGATTTTGGGGTCTCTCTCTCTCAGGATTTTGGGGTCCCACCTGGGGGATTTTGGGGTCTCACCTGAGCAGTTTTGGGGTCTCTCTCTCTCAGGATTTTGGGTTTTTTTTCTCAGGATTTTGGGGTGTTTTTTCTCAGGATTTTGGGGTTTTCTCTCATGATTTTGGGGTCCCACCTGAGGGATTTTGGGGTGTTTTTGTCAGGATTTGGGGCTCACCCGAGTATCTCCCGGCCAGCGACAGCACCGCCCCCTCCCCCCCGTGTGATTTTGGGGTGTTTTTTTCTCAGGATTTTGGGGTCCCCCCTGAGGGATTTTGGGGTCTCTCTTTCAGGATTTTGGGTTTTTTTTCTCAGGATTTTGGGGGTTTTCTCTCAGGATTTTGGGGTTTTTGTCTCAGGATTTTGGGGTCCCCCCCTGTGTGATTTTGGGGTCTCTCTCTCTCAGGATTTGGGGGTTCTCTCTCAGGATTTTGGAGTCCCACCTGGGGGATTTTGGGGTTTTTTTCTCAGGATTTTGGTTTTTTTTTCTCAGGATTTTGGGGTCCCCCCTGTGTGATTTTGGGGTCCCACCTGAGGGATTTTGGGGTGTTTTTCTCAGGATTTTGGGGTGTTTCTCTCAGAATTTTGGGGTCTCTTTCTCAGGATTTTGGGGTGTTTTTCTCAGGATTTTGGGGTGTTTCTCTCAGAATTTTGGGGTCTCTTTCTCAGGATTTTGGGGTCCCACCTGGGGGATTTTGGGATTTTTTTCTCAGGATTTTAGGGTCTCTCTCTCTCAGGATTTTGGGTTTTTTTTCTCAGGATTTTGGGGTTTTTTTTCTCATGATTTTGGGGGTTTTCTCTCAGGATTTTGGGGTCTCTCTCTCTCAGGATTTTGGGGTTTCTTTTTCAGGATTTTGGGGTCCCACCTGAGTGATTTTGGTTTTTTTTTCTCAAGATATTGGGGTCCCCCCTGATGGATTTTGGGGTCTCTCTCTCAGGATTTTGGGGTCCCCCCCGTGTGATTTTGGGGTCCCACCTGAGGTATTTTGGGGTGTTTTTCCCAGGATTTTGGGTTTTTTTTCTCAGGATTTTGGGATTTTTCCCTCAGGATTTTGGGGGTTTTTTTTCTCAGGATTTCGGGATTTTTCCCTCATGATTTTGGGGTGTTTTTGTCAGGATTTTGGGGTCCCCCTGATGGATTTTGGGGCTCACCCGAGTATCTCCCGGCCAGCGACAGCACCGCCCCCTCCTCGCCGGGCCGCCGGTGGTACACGAGTTCGGCGCCGAGCGCCAACGCCGGCGTCACGCTCTGCAGGTAGTGCGCCACCAGGATCCCTGCGGTTTGGGGAGAATTCCGGGGATTTTGGGAAAATTCGGGGAAAATTCAGGGGATTTGGGGAAAAAATCCGCAAAAAATTAGGGGAAATTCGGGGGAAATTACAGAAAATTTTGGGGGAATTTGGGGGAAATTACAGAAAATTTTTGGGGGAATTTGGGAAAATTTGGGAGATTCTGGGGAAATTTGGGACAATTTGGGGAAAATCCAGGATATTTGGGAAAAAAAATCCCCCAAAAATCAAGGGAAATTCAGAGAAATTTGGAGACAATTCAGGAGATTTTGGGGAAAAATCCCCCAAAAATCGGGGGAAATTCAGAGGAATTTGGGGGAAATTATGGAAATTTTTGGGGGAATTTGGGGGAAATTACAGAAAATGTTGGGGGACTTTGGGAAAAATTCAGGAAGATTTGGGAGATTTTGGGAAAATTTGGGGGGAATTTGGGGCAAATTTCTGAACAATCGGTGAAAATTTGGGGAAAAATCAAGAGATTTTGGGAAAAAATCCACGAAATATCGGGGGAAATTACAGAAAATGTTGGGGGAGTTTGGGGGAAATGACAGAAAATGTTGGGGGAATTTGGGGGAAATAAGAGAAAATTTTGGGGGAATTTGGGGATTCTGGGGAAATTTGGGAAAAATCCCCGAAAATCTGCAGGTAGTGCGCCACCAGGATCCCTGCGGTTTGGGGGGAATTACGGGGGTTTTGGGAAAATCAGGGACAATTTGGGAAAAGCAGGGAAAAATTATGGGGATTTGGGAAAAAATCCGCAAAAAATTGGGGGAAATTCGGAGGAATTGGGGGGAAATTACAGAAAATTTTGGGGAATTTGGGGAAATTTAGGAAAAATCCAGGAAGATTCGGGAGATTTTGGGGAAAATCCCCGAAAAATCGGGGGAAATTCGGAGAAATTTGGGGGAAATTACAGAAAAGTTTGGGGGAATTTGGGTGATTTTGGGGAAATTTGGGAAAAATTCAGGGGAAATTACAGAAAACTTGGGGGGAAGTTGGGGAAAATTACAGAAAATTTGGGGGGAATTCGGGAAAAATCCAGGAAGATTCAGGAGATTTTGGGAAAAATCCCTGAAACTCGGGGGAAATTCGGAGAAATTCGGGGGAAATTACAGAAAATTTGGGGGAATTTGGGGGAAATTACAGCGAATTTTGGGGGAATTTGGGGGAAATAACAGAAAATTTTGGGGGATTTTGGGGAAATTTGGGAAAAATTCAGGAAATTTTGGGAAAAATCCCCGAAAAATCAGGGGAAATTCGGAGAAATTTGGGGACAATTCAGGAGATTTTGAGAGTATTTGGGGGGAATTACAGAAAATTTTGGGGGAATTTGGGGGATTTTGGGAGATTTTGGGGAAATTTGGGAAAAATTCAGGAAGATTTGGGGATTTCTGGAGCCATTTATTGGGGGATTTTTGGGGCCATTTTTTGGGGATTTTTGGGGCCATTTTTTGGGGATTTTGGAGATTTCTGGGGCCATTTTCTGGGGATTTTTGGGGCCATTTTTGGGGGGATTTTGGGGATTTCTGGGGCCATTTTTTGGGGGATTTTGGGGGCCATTTTTGGGGGGATTTTGGGGATTTCTGGAGCCATTTATTGGGGGATTTTGGGGCCATTTTTTGGGGGGATTTTGGGGATTTCTGGAACCATTTTTTTGGGATTTTTGGGGCCATTTTTTGGGGGATTTTTGGGGCCATTTTTGGGGGGATTTTGGGGATTTTTGGAGCCATTTTTTGGGGATTTTTGGGGCCATTTTTGGGGGGATTTTTGGGGCCATTTTTGGGGATTTTTGGGGCCATTTTTTGGGGGATTTTGGGGATTTTTGGGGCCATTTTTTGGGGATTTCTGGAGCCATTTTTTGGGGGATTTTTGGGGCCATTTTTGGGGGGATTTTGGGGATTTTGGAGCCATTTTTTGGGGATTTTTTGAGCCATTTTTGGGGGGATTTTGGGGGCCATTTTTTTTGGATTTTTGGGGCCATTTTGGGGGATTTTGGGGTCTGACCTGAGCCCATGAGGATGTCGGGGTTGCCCAGGGTCAGCGCCGCCGTGAAGTCGCCGCCCCGATATTCCCCATCCACCTGCCAGTTCACGAACTTGGACTGCTGAGTCTGGGGGAAAATCCGGGGATTTTGGGAAAAAAAAAAAAAATCCCCACTTCGGGGGAAAAATCCCCAATTTTGGGGAAAAAATCCTGATTTTTGGGGAAAAAAAATCCCAATTTTTGGAGCAAAATTTTAATTTTTGGGGAAAAAAATCCTGATTTTTGGAGAAAAAATTTTAATTTTTGGGGAAAAAAATAATCCTGATTTTTTTGGAAAAAAAATAGTTTTTTTTGGGGAAAAAAATCCCAATTGTTGGAGAAAAAAAATTTTATTTTTGGGGGAAAAAAATCCTGATTTTCAGAAAGAAAAATTGTAATTTTTGGGAAGAAACTTAGTGGTTTTTTTGGGAAAATTTCTATTTTTGGAAGAAATAAAATTCTGGGGGGAAAACTCCCCAGCAATTCCCAAAATATTCCCAAAGTCTACCAAAAGTTGGTGAAATTCCCCCAAAATTGCCAAAATTCCTGAAGTTCTAAAATATATTTCCCTAAAAATTCTTAATAAATGACAAAAATCCCTGAAAAATTCCCAAAATGCCACAGAAATTCAATTAAAATCTCAAAAAAAAAAAAAAAATCCCCCCAAAATCCCAAATACCTCCAAAAATCCCTGAAAAATTCCCCAAAAAAACCCCCAAATATCCCAGAATTCCCAAAAATCCGGGAATTCCGTACCTGGAAGGCGACCTTGGAGCTCATCCCCCAGAATTCCCAAAAAAATCCCTAAAATTTCCCAAAAAAACCCCAAAAATTCCCCCAAAAACCCAAAATAATCGCAAAAAAATCTCCCAAATCCCAAAAATCCATGGAAAATTCCCCAAATCCCCCTAAAATTCCCAAAATTCCACAAAAATTCCCTTAATATTTTAAAAAATCCTGAGAAAAATGCCCAAAAAATCCCCAAAAAATACCTAAAAAATCCCAAAAAACCCCAAAAAACCCTGAAAATGCCCCCCAAAAGTTCCCAAAACTTCCCCAAAAATTCCAGGAATTCCCCAAATTCCCAGATTTCCGTACCTGGAAGGCGATTTTGGAGCGGATCCGGGAGCTCACCCCCAGAATTCCCAAAAAAATCCCCAAAATTTCCCAAAAAAACATCAAAAATCCCAAAATAATCCCAAAAAAAATCTCAAAAATCCCAAAAATCCATGGAAAATTCCCCAAATCCCCCTAAAATTCCCAAAATTCCAGAAAAATTCCCTTAAAATTTAAAAAAATCTTAAGAAAAAATTCAAAAAAATCCCAAAAAAATACCTAAAAAACCCCCAAAAAAATCCCAAAAAACCCTGAAAATATCCCTGAAAATGCCCCCAAAAATTCCCAAAAATTCCCGGAATTCCCCAAATTCCCGAATTTCCGTACCTGGAAGGCGATTTTGGAGCGGATCCGGGAGCTCACCCCCCAGAATTCCCAAAAAAATCCCTAAAATTTCCAAAAAAAACCCCAAAATTCCCCAGAAAACCCAAAACAATCCCAAAAAAATCTCCCAAATCCCAAAAATCCATGGAAAAATTCCCAAATCCCCCTAAATTCCCAAAATTCCACAAAACTTCCCTTAATATTTCAAAAAATCCTGAGAAAAAAATTCCAAAAAATCCCAAAAAAATACCTAAAAAACCCCCAAAAAAATCCCAAAAAACCCTGAAAATATCCCTGAAAATGCCCCCAAAAATTCCCAAAAATTCCCGGAATTCCCCAAATTCCCGAATTTCCGTACCTGGAAGGCAATTTTGGAGCAAATCCGGGAGCTCACCCCCAGAATTCCCCAAAAAATCCCCAAAATTTCCCAAAAAACCATCAAAAATTCCCCAAAAAAATCCCAAAAAAAATCTCAAAAAAATCTCCCAAATCCCAAAAATCCATGGAAAATTCGCAAATCCCCCTAAAATTCCCAAAATTCCAGAAAAATTCACTTAATAGTTCAAAAAATGCTCAGAAAAAATGCACAAAAAATCCATAAAAATACCTAAAAAACCCCAAAAAAACCCCCAAAAAACCCTGAAAATACCCCAAAAAATTCCCAAAAATTCCCCAAAATTCCCGGAATTCCCCAGATTCCCAAATTTCCGTACCTGGAAGGCGATTTTGGAGCGGATCCGGGAGCTCACCCCTCAGAATTCCCAAAAAAATCCCTAAAATTTCCCAAAAAACCCCCAAAAATCCCAAAATAATCGCAAAAAAATCTCCCAAATCCCAAAAATCCATGGAAAATTCCCCAAATCCCCCTAAATTCCCAAAATTCCACAAAAATTCCCTTAATATTTCAAAAAATGCTCAGAAAAAATGCCAAAAAATCAAAAAAAAATCCCCAAAAAAACCCCAAAAAACCCTGAAAATGTCCCCAAAAATTCCCAAAAATTCCCAAAAAATTCCCGGAATTCCCCAAATTCCCGGATTTCCGTACCTGGAAGGCGATTTTGGAGCGGATCCGGGAGCTCACCTGGTGCACCACCTGCGCATTGAGGCTGCCGCTGTTGTCCATGTCCCCCACCAGCACCGGGAACGCCTGGAAAAAACCCAAATTTTGGGAATTTTGGGGAATTTTTTGGGAATTTTCAGGAGCTTCCCGATGGCGGAAATCCCCCAAATCCCAAAATCCTCAATTCCCAAAATTCCTTCCGCCCCAAATTCAGCAATTCAGGAATTGACTCGATTCCCAAAATTCCAAATTTCCCCCAAAATTTTCCCCAAAAATTCCCTGAAAAATTCCCCCCCAAATCCCAAAATCCCCACAAAAAATTCCCCAAAAAATTCCCCAAAAGTCTCCCCCAAAAATCCCAAAATTCCCCCAAAATTTTCCCTGAAAAATCCCCCCCAAATCACAAAATCCCCCCCAAAAATCTCCCCCAGAATTCCCAAAATTTTCCACAAAAAATTCCCCCAATTTTCCCCCCAAACTTCCCAAATTTTTGGGATTTTTTGGGAAATTTCGGGAGCTCCCCGATGGCAGAAATTCCCCAAATCCCAAAATTCCTCCTGCCCCAAATTCAACAATTCAAGAATTGACTCAATTCCTGAAATTTTCCATTTTCAAATGGTCAAATTCCCAAAATTCCAAATTCTCCCCAAGAATCCCAAATTTCCCAAAAGAATCCAAAATTTTCCCTGAAAAAAATCCCAAATTTCACCAAAACAACCCCAAATTTCATCAATTTTTCACCGAATTTTGCCCAAATTTTGCCCAAATTTCGCCCAAATTTCTCCGGATTTTTTCCAGATTCCCCCGGAATTCCCGAATTTTCCCAAAATTCCGGAATTTTCCCACCTCGGTGGGGCTGAGGTGTTTGGTGCCCACGTAAGTGGCCCCGAAGTGATAATTGGACTCGCCCAGGGTGCTCAGGGCCACCGTGTGATTCACCTGGAGGGGGAGAAAAACGTCAGGAAACGCCCAAAATTCACAAAATTCCCCAAAATTCCCCCAAAATTCCCGCCGGGAAAACCGAGCGACAAAAAATTCCCCGAGAAAACCCCAAAAAATTGCACAAAAATACCTTAAAAATCCCCCGAAATGACAAAAAAAATCCATTAAAATTCCATTAAAATTCAAAATAATTCCATAAAAATTCAAAATAATTCCATTAAAAATTCCATTAAAAATTCCATAAAAACAACAAAATCCATAATATTCCGTTTTAAAAAAATTGCATTAAAGTTCCTTTAAAATTCAAAATAATTCCATTAAAATTCACACTCATTCCATAAAAATAAAAAAAATCCATAAAAATTCCATTTTAAAATATTCCATTGAAATTCCTTTAAAATTCAAAATAATTCCATAAACATTCAAAATCATTCCATAAAAATAAAAAAAATCCATAAAATTCCGTTTTAAAAAATTCCATTAAAGTTCCATTAAAATTCCATAAAAATTCCATTGGAATTCAAAATAATTCCATAAAAATTCAAAATAATTCCAAAAAAATTCAAAATCACTCCATAAAAAAATTCCATTTAAAATTCCATAAAAATAAAAAAAAAACCCAAAAAATTCCCTTTTTAAAAATTCCATAAAATTTCCAAACCATTCCATAAAAACCCCACCAAAAATCCATAAAAATGCCATTAAAAATCCCATTGAAATCCATCAAAGTTTCAACATTTAAAAAATACATAAAAATAAAAAAAAACCATAAAATCCCATTAAAATGCCATAAAAATATTAAAATTCCATAAAAACTCAAATTAATTCCATAAAAATCCCATCAAAAAAATCCACAATAATATCCATTAAAAATTCCATTGAAATCCCATTAAAAATAAAAAAAAACTCCATAAATATTAAAAATAATGCCATTAAAATTCCATGAAAAGCCACAAAAATCCCATAAAAACTCCATGAAAAGCCACAAAAACTCCATAAAATTTCCGTAAAAATAAAAAAATTCCATTAAAATTCCGTTAAAATAAAAAAAACTCCGTAAAGATTCAAAATAATTCCATAAAAATTCAAAATAATTCCATGAAAATTCAAAATAATTCCATTAAAATCCCTTAAAAATAAAAAAAATCCATAAAATCCCCCAAAAAATCAAAAAAAATCCCTCAAAAATGGTTCAAAGTTCCATAAAAGACCCAAAAAATTCCCAAAATTCCCGAAATTCCCCAAAATTTGGGAATTCTGACCTGGAAGTGGTTACTGAGCCCTTTGTTGACCGTCAGCTTCACCCCCTCCATCTGCACCGGGAACAGCTCTGCGGAAATCCCAAAAATTCCCACGTTTTGGGGGAAATTTGGGAATTTGGGGGAAAATTTGGGAATTTGGGGGAAATTTGGGAGAAAATTTGGGGATTTTGGGAGGGAAAATTGGGGGATTTTGATGAATTTGGGGAGGGAAATCAAATTTTCTGGGGAATTTTGGGGGGAAAATTTGGGGATTTGGGATGAAAATTTGGGGATTTGGGGGGAATTTTGGGGAGGAAATGGAGAATTGGGGGAATTTTGGGGGCATTTGGGGGAAAAATTGGGGATTTGGGGAATAAATTGGGGGTTTTGGGGGCAAATTTGGGGATTTTTTGGGAATTTTGGGGGGGAAACTGGGAATTTTTGGGAATTTGGGGAATTTTTGGGAATTTTGGTCAGGAAAAATGGGAATTTGGGGGAAAAACTGGGAATTTTGGGGGGGAATTGGGAATTTTGGAAAAAAATTTGGGGATTTGGGGGGAAATTTGGGAATTTTGGGAGAAAATTTGGGGATTTGGGATGGGGAAATTGGGAATTTTTGGGGCTTTTGGTGGGTAAATTGGGAATTTGGAGAGGGAAAATGGGAAATTTGGGGAACTATGAGAGAAAATTTGGGAATTTTGGAGGAAAATGGGAATTTCAGTGGGGAAAATGGGAATTTTTGGGAAATTTGGGAATTCTTGGGTAACATTTTGGGATTTTTGGTGGGGTTTGGGCCAATTTTGGGGCTGATTTTTGGGATTTTGGGGCTGATGTTTTGGTGATTTTTAGGGCATTTTGGGGCTGATTTTTGGGCCGATTTTTTTGAATTTTGGGGCTGTTTTTTTGGGATTTTGGGGCTGAATTTTTGGGATTTTGGGGCTGATTTTTGGGGCTTTTTAGGGGAATTTTTTTTTGATTTTTAGGGCATTTTGGGGCCCATTTTTCGGTGATTTTTAGGGCATTTTGGGGCCCATTTTTGGGATTTTGGGGCTGATTTTTTGGGGATTTTTGGGCCGATTTTTTTGGATTGTGGGGCTGATTTTTGGGGGGATTTTGGGGCCGATTTTTTGGGGATTTTTAGGGCATTTTGGGCCGGTTTTGGAGCTGATTTATGGGGATTTTGGGGCTGATTTTTGGGGATTTTTAGGGGAATTTTTGGGGGATTTTTAGGGGATTTTGGGGCCGATTTTTGGGATTTTGGGGCTGATTTTGGGGGATTTTTGGGGCTGATTTTTGGGGATTTGGGGGCTGATTTTTTTGGGATTTTTAGGGTATTTTGGGGCCCATTTTTGGGATTTTGGGGTTGATATTTGGGGCTTTTTTGGAGATTTTGGGGCTGATTTTTTCGGTGATTTTTAGGGCATTTCGGGCCGGTTTTGGGGCTGATTTTTTGGGGATTTTTAGGGCATTTTGGGGCCCATTTTTGGGATTTAGGGGCTGATTTTTAGGGAATTTTGGGGCTGATTTTTTGGGATTTTGGGGCTAATTTTTGGGGATTTTTAGGGGAATTTTTGGGGGATTTTTAGGGCATTTTGGGGCCAGTTTTTTTTGCTTTTGGGGCTGATTTTTGGGGATTTTCAGAGGAATTTTTTGGGGATTTTTAGGGCATTTTGGGGCCAGTGTTTTGGGATTTTGGGGCTAATTTTTGGGGATTTTTAGGGGAATTTTTTTGGGATTTCTAGGGCATTTTGGGGCCTATTTTGGGGGATTTTTGGGCTGATTTTGGGGGATTTTTAGGGTATTTTTTGGCCGGTTTTCCGGTGATTTTTAGGGCATTTTGGGCCAGTTTTGGGGCTGATTTCTGGGGATTTTTGGGGCTGATTTTTTGGGATTTTGGGGCTGATTGTTTGGGGGGATTTTTAGGGGATTTTGGGGCTGATTTTGGGGGCTTTTTAGGGGATTTTTTTGGGGGATTTTTAGGGCATTTTGGGGCTGATTTTTTGGGGATTTTGGGGCTGATTTTTTGGGGATTTTTAGGGCATTTTGGGGCCCATTTTTGGGATTTTGGGGCTAATTTTTGGGGCTTTTGGGGCCGATTTTTTTGGCATTTTGGGGACCATTTTTGGGATTTTGGGGCTGATTTTTTGGGGATTTTTTGGGATTTTGGGGCTGATTTTTTTGGGGGATTTTTAGGGGATTTTGGGGCTGAATTTTTGGGCTTTTGTGGCTGAATTTTTGGGGATTTTTAGGGCATTTTGGGGCCCATTTTTGGGATTTTGGGGCTGATTTTTGGGGATTTTTGGGGGCTTTTTCAGGGACTTGGGGGCTGATTTTTTTGGGATTTTTAGGGCATTTTGGGGCCCATTTTTGGGATTTTGGGGGCCCATTTTTGGGATTTTGGGGCTGATTTTTGGGGCCCATTTTTGGGATTTAGGGGCTGATTTTTTGGGCATTTTTAGGGCATTTTGGGGCTGATTTTTTTGGGATTTTTAGGGGAATTTTTGGGGGATTTTTTGAGATTTTGGGGCTGATTTTTTGGGATTTTGGGGCTGATTTTTTTGGGGATTTTCCGGGGAATTTTTGGGGCATTTTTAGGGCATTTTGGGGCTGATTTTTGGGGATTTTTAGGGGAACTTTTGGGGGAGTTTTTGGGGCTGATTTTTGGGGATTTTTAGGGCATTTTGAGGCCGTTTTTTTTATATTTTGGGGCTGATTTTTTTGGATTTTGGGGCCGATTTTTCAGTGATTTTTAGGGCATTTTGGGGCCCATTTTTGGGATTTTGGGGCTGATTTTTTGGGGCTTTTTAGGGGATTTTGGGGCTGATTTTTGGGGCATTTTTAGGGCATTTTGGGGCCCATTTTAGGATTTTGGGGCCAGTTTTTTGGGATTTTGGGGCTAATTTTTGGGGATTTTTAGGGGAATTTTTTGGGGATTTTTAGGGCATTTTGGGGCCGATTTTTGGGCGGATTTTTGGCTTTTTCGGCCCCTCACTGACCTTTGCAGCGCCGGTGGCACTCCTCGAAGGCTCCAGGGTTGGGGAGGGGTTCCCCCCCCTCGGGGGGCCGGGGGGGGAGGGGCGCCCCTCCCCCCACCCCGCTCAGGGGGGGCGGGGCCGCGAACCCGGGGGGGGGCACGGGCAGCAGGGGGGGAGGGGGCGACCCGGCGGCCCACACGTTGCCCATGCTGGGGGAGGGGCTGCCAAAACAAAAACAACCAAAAATTGTAATTTTCCGACCCCAAAATCCTCTTATTTCACCCCAAAATCGCCTCTCCCGCCCTTCCCGCCACCGCGCCGCTTTTCCCGCCAAATCGCCGCGCCAAAACCGCCCGCGCCACGCGGCGCGCCACGCCCCCTCCCGCAGCCCGCTGGGGGTGGCACAAAAAAGACTCAAATTTGCCCAAAATCGCCCAAATTCGCCCCAAAATCGCCGCAGCCCCTCCCCCCTCACGCCGAACTCACGCGGCGGCGGCCGGAGAGCGCCCAGCTCCAGGCCACGCCCACCGCGCGCTCCCATTGGCCAGCGCTTCCCCGCCCGCGCGCGCCTATTGGCTCATTCCCCCTTAGTCCCGCCCATTAGCGCTTCTCATTGGTTGTTCCCTCAGGGTTGAGTTCCCGAACCACCTTCGCGGGTCAGGGGCGGTGTGGGCCACGCCCTCTTGGTGACGTTGCGCTGTTTGATTGGTTAAATCGCGAGTTGGCGCCGCCTTTAAGGGGTTCCTATTGGTTGAGGAGAGCGACCATAGAGGCGCCAAGGGCGCGCGGGGCGGAGCGGCCGTCCATGGGCGCCGCCATCTTGGGGCGGGCGGCGCTGGAGGACCGTCGCCATGGCAACGGAGAAAGGGCGGGAAATGAGCCGCTCTGTGACGTCACGACGCATGGAGTGACGTCATTTTCGGTGCCACAGATGTGATTGCGTCATCGCGCCAGGCAGATTTGGGGGATTTTTGGGGGATTTTTTTGGGAGAATTTTTGGGGGAATTTTTGGGATTTTTAAAAGAATTTTTGGGGAATTTTGGAGGCATTTTGGGGATTATTTGGCGGGTTTTTTAGGGGGATTTTTTGAGGATTTTGGGGGGATTTTTTGGGTTTTTTTTTTGAGATTTTAAAAATAATTTTTGGACGAGTTTTGGGGCTTTTTGGGATTTTTTTTTAGGATTTCTTGGGGATCTTTTGGGGGGTTTTTGGGGGAGTTTTTTGTGGCATTTTTTGAGAATTTTGGGAGGATTTTGGGGCATTTCTGGGGGAATTTTGGGGAGATTTTTTTGGGGATTTTTTGAGGATTTTTTGGCGAGATTTTTCTGGATTTTTTGAGGCTTTTTGGGGGGATTTTGGGGGGATTTTTTAGGGTGATTTTTGTGGCATTTTTGGGGATATTTTGAGGATTTCTTGGGGAGTTTTGGAAGCATTTTTGGGGGAATTTTAGTGCAATTTTTGGTGGCATTTTGAGGATCTTTTGGGGATTTTTTGGGGGGATTTTTTTGCAATTTTTTGGGGAATTTTTAAAGAATTTGGGGAATTTTTTGAGGATATTTTTGAGGGTTTTTTGGGGGGGTTTTTTGAGATTTTTTTGAGGATTTTTGGGGGATTTTTTGGGATTTTTTTGAGGATTTCTTGGGTAGTTTTGGAAGCATTTTTGGGGGAATTTTAGCGCAATTTTTGGTGGCATTTTGAGGATCTTTTGAGGATTTTTGAGGAAAATTTTGGGGATTTTTTTGGGATTTTTTTCAGGTTATTTTGGGGATCTTTTTGAGGACTTCTCAGGGATTTTTTTGGGATTCTTTGGGGATTTTTGGGGGGATTTTTGAGGGTTTTTTGGAGGATTTTTTGGGATTTTTTAGGGAGGTCCCCAGGTGGTCCAGGAGGTCCCAAAATGTCCCCAAAATGTCCCCAAATGTCCCCAGAAGGGCCCAAAATGTCCCCTAGAGTTCCCAAATTTACCCCAAATGTCCCCAAAACGTCCCAAATGTCCCCAAAATGTCCCCAAAATGTCCCCAAATGTCCCCAAAATGGAAATTGGGGTGGGGGAGGGGCGTGGGAAACAACTCCCGGCCCCTCCCCCACCCCCCAAATCCCCTCCTGACCCCTCCCCCCACCGCGCCCCCAAATTTTGGGGAGAAAAATCCCGAAAATCGCTCAAAAAACAGAAAAAATTCCCAGAAAATCGGTTGGAAAATTCCTTTATTTGGGCAAAACCCGGAAATCCACGATGGGGGCGGATTTGGGGCGAATTTCGCCAAATTTGGGGTCCCCGGGAATGATTTGGGGCGAATTTGGCCAAATTTGGGGTCCTCGGGAAGGATTTGGGGCCAATTCCGCCAAATTTGGGGTCCCCGGGAAGGATTTGGGGCAGAATTTGGGGCAGAATTTGGCAAAATTTGGGGCAGATTTTGGGGTCCCCCGGGTCCCATTTTGGGCAGAATTTGGGGTGAATTTGGCAGAATTTGGGGTCCCCGGAGCAGGATTTTGGGGCAGAATTTTGGGGTCCCCGAGTCCAATTTGGGGCCGATTTTGGGGTGGGGATTTGGGGCAAATTTGGCAGAATTTGGAGCCGATTTTGGGGTCCCCGGGTCAGAATTTGGGGCCGATTTTGGGGTCCCCGAGTCCAATTTGGGGCCGATTTTGGGGTCGGGATTTGGGGCAAATTTGGCAGAATTTGGGGCCAATTTTGGGGTCCCCGGGTCCCATTTGGGGCAAATTTTGGGGTCGGGATTTGGGGCGAATTTGGGGCGGATTTTGGGGTCCCCAGGTCCCATTTGGGGTGAATTTTGGGATTCCCGGGTCCCATTTGGGGCCGATTTTGGGGTCGGGATTTGGGGCGAATTTGGCAAAATTTGGGGCTGATTTTGGGGTCCCCGGGTCAGGATTTTGGGCAGAATTTTGGGGTTCTGGGGACCCATTTGGGGCCGATTTTGGGGTCGGGATTTGGGGCGAATTTGGCCGAATTTGGGGCGGATTTTGGGGTCCCATTTGGGGCCGATTTTGGGGTCGGGATTTGGGGAAAATTTGGGGTCGATTTTGGGGTCCCTGGGTCAGGATTTTGGGGTCCCCGGGGTCCCATTTGGGGCCGATTTTGGGGTCGGGATTTGGGGAAAATTTGGCAGAATTTGGGGCCGATTTTGGGGTCACCGGGTCAGGATTTTGGGGTCCCTGGGGTCCCTATTTGGGGCCAATTTTGGGGTCGGGGTTTGGGGCAAATTTGGCAGAATTTGGTGCCGATTTTGGGGTCGGGATTTGGGGCAAATTTGGCAGAATTTGGGGCCGATTTTGGGGTCCCCGGGTCAGGATTTGGGGCCGATTTTGGGGTCGGGATTTGGGGCAAATTTGGCAAAATTTGGGGCTGATTTTGGGGTCCCCGGGGCAGGATTTGGGGCAGAATTTTGGGGTCCCCGGGTCAGAATTTGGGGCTGAATTTTGGGGTCGGGATTTGGGGAAAATTTGGCAGAATTTGGGGCCGATTTTGGGGTCCCCGGGTCAGGATTTTGGGGACCCTGGGGTCCCATTTGGGGCTGAATTTGGGGTTGGGATTTGGGGCAAATTTGGGGCAGATTTTGGGGTCCCCGAGTCCCATTTGGGGCAGATTTTGGGGTCAGGATTTGGGGTGAATTTGGCCGAATTTGGGGCGGATTTTGGGGTCTTGGGGTCCCATTTGGGTCCAATTTTGGGGTCGGGATTTGGGGCGAATTTGGCCGAATTTGGGGCGGATTTTGGGGTCCCCGTGTCCCATTTGGGGCCGATTTTGGGATCGGGATTTGGGGGAATTTGGGGCGGATTTTGGGGCGAATTTGGCCGAATTTGGGGCGGATTTTGGGGTCACAGGAGCCGCCCCTCCCCCCCCGAGTGGACGCTGAAATATTCGGGGCCCCCCCCGTGGGGGAGGGGCGCTTTGGGTGGGGGAGGGGCGGGGGGCGCCCGGACCCCTCCCCCCCCTCCCGCGGGGGTCTCCTCCACCTGCGGCCGCACCTGGGGGGGGAGGGGCGATTTTGGGGCGATTTTGGGGGGATTTTGGGGTCCCCCCAACCCCTCCAACCAAAATTTTGGTTTTTTCCCAATTTTAGCCTCCCCCACCCGCTGGAACCAAAATTTTGGGGTTTTCCCCCAATTTTGGGCCCCCCCAACCACTGAAAATGAAATTTTGGATTTTTCCCCCCAATTTTGGGGTCCCTCCCCAACCCCCGGAACCAAAATTTTGGATTTTTCCCCAATTTTGGGGTCCCCCCAGACTCTGGGATATTTTTTCCCAAAATTTCGGGGTTTTCCCCCAAATTTTCTCCCATCACTCACACTGGGCCGTGTTTTCCCTCATTTCCACCATTTCTTCCCCATTTCCACCCCAAATTTTCGTTTTTTCCCCCCATTTTTCGTGTTTTTTCCCCATTTTTTGGTGTTTTCCCCCAAATTTCAGGATTTTTCCCGAAATTTCAGGATTTCCCCCCAAATCGTTCCCCATCACTCACACTGGGCTGTGTTTCCCCCATTTCTCCCAATTTTTGTGACTTTTCTCCCCAATTTTAGGTATTTTTTCCCATTTTTTGGCGTTTTCCCCCGTTTTTCCCCGTTTTTTGGTGTTTTTTCCCATTTTTTCCCAAAATCGGTGTTTTTCACCCCAAATCTCACCGGCTGGGGCCCCGGGGGGGGGATGACGAAGAGCTCGGTGAACCCGGGGCCATTTCCCCCCATTTTTGGGTTATTTTCCCCATTTTTTCCCCGTTTTTTAACGTTTTTTGCCCGTTTTCCCCCCAAATTTCGGGTTTTTTCCCAAAATCGGTGTTTTTCACCCCAAATCTCACCGGCTGGGGTCCCGGGGGGGGGATGACGAAGAGCTCGGTGAACCCGGGGCCATTTCCCCCCATTTTTGGGTTATTTTCCCCATTTTTTTGCCCGTTTTTCCCCGTTTTTTAGCGTTTTTTGCCCGTTTTTGCCCATTTTTTCCCAAAATCGGGGTTTTTCACCCCAAAATCTCACCGGCTGGGGCCCCGGGGGGGGGATGACGAAGAGCTCGGTGAACCCGGGGCCATTTCCCCCCATTTCTGGGTTATTTTGGGTTATTTTCCCCATTTTTTCCCCGTTTTTTAGCGTTTTTTGCCCGTTTTTTCCCCATTTTTTCCCAAAATCGGTGTTTTTCACCCCAAATCTCACCAGCTGGGGCCCCGGGGGGGGGATGACGAAGAGCTCGGTGAACCCGGGGCCATTTCCCCCCATTTTTGGGTTATTTTTGGGTTATTTTCCCCGTGTTTTAGCGTTTTTTGCCCGTTTTTCCCCGTTTTTTTTGCATTTTTTCCCAAAATCGGGGTTTTTCACCCCAAATCTCACCGGTTGGGGCCCCGGGGGGGGGGATGACGAAGAGCTCGGTGAACCCGGGGCCATTTCCCCCCATTTTTGGGTTATTTTCCCCATTTTTTGGGCGTTTTTTCCCATTTTTTGCCCGTTTTTTGGCGTTTTTTCCCGTTTTTTCACCCAAATTTCGGGTTTTTTTCCCAAAATCGGGGTTTTTTCACCCCAAATCTCACCGGTTCTGGCCCCGGGGGGGGGATGACGAAGAGCTCGGTGAACGCCCCGCCCCCGTCGCCCACGAAGGAGACGTTCCGGTAGCCGCGGGTGGGGGAGGGGCCCGGGGCCGCCCCTCCCCCCCCCGGGCCGATCTGCGCGCGCCGCACGTGGAACGGGAAATTCTTATTGGCCGCCGAGGGCCGCGTCAGCAGCTGCGGTTTGGGGAGAAAAACCCGGATTTTGGGCAAATTCGGCAATGGGGGGGAAAGTACGGGGGGGTGGGGGAAAATTCCGGGGGTTTTGGGGGGAAAATTTGGGGAAAAATTGGGATTTTGGGGGGGAAAATTCGGGAAAAATTGGGATTTTTTTGAGAAAAATTGGGAGTTTTTGGGGGAAAAATTGGGGATTTGGGGGGTAAAAATCGTGGTAAAATTGAGATTTTTTTGGGGGGGGAAATTGAAGTTTTTGAGGGGGTGAAATTTGGTTTGGGGTGGTTTTGGGGCCAAAAATCCGGATTTTGGGCAAATTCAGCAATGGGGGGGAAAGTACGGGGGGGGTGGGGGAAAATTCCGGGGGTTTTGGGGAGGAAATTTGGGATTTTGGGGGGAAAATTGGGGGTTTTTGGGGGGAAAATTTGATTTTTTTGGGGAAAATTTGGGATTTTTGGGGGAAAAATTGGGGATCTTGAGGGGAAAAATTGGGGTTTTTGGGGAGGAAAGTTGGAATTTTGGGGGGAAAAATCGTGGGAAAATTGGGATTTTTTTGGGGAAAATTGGGGATTTTTAAGGGGAGAAATTGAGGTTTGGAGAGGAAAAATTGAAGTTTTTGAGGGGAAAATTGGGGTTTAGGGGTGGTTTTGGGGCCAAAAATCCGGATTTTGGGCAAATTCGGCAATGGGGGAGAAAGTACGGGGGGGTTGGGGGAAAATTCCGGGGGTTTTCGGGGGAAATTTGGGGGTTTGGGGAGGAAAATTGGGATTTTGGCGGGAAAAATCGTGTGAAAATTGGGATTTTTTGGGGGAAAATTGGGGATTTTGGGGGAAAAATTGGGGTTTTTGGGGGGGAAAAATGGGATTTTGGGGGTAAAAATCATGGGAAAATTAGGATTTTTTTAAGGGGGAAAAATTGGGGGTTTTAGGGGTGATTTTGGGAAAAAATCTGGGGTTTGGGGAGAAATTCTTGATTTTGGCGGGAAAATTCTGGGATTTTGGGGAGAAAAACGGGGATTTTGGGCAAATTCGGCAATGGGGGGGAAAGTACGGGGGGGTGGGGGAAAATTTCGGGGGTTTTGGGGGGAAATTTGGGGAAAAATTGGGATTTTGGGGGGAAAATTCGGGAAAAATTGGGATTTTTTGAGAAAAATTGGGAGGTTTTGGGGGGAAAATTGGGGATTTTGGGGGTAAAAATCGTGGGAAAATTGAGATTTTTTTTGCGGAGCAAAAATGCCGATTTTGTGGGAAAATTTGGATTTTTTGGGGGAAAATTGGGGATTTTTAAGGGGAGAAATTGGGGTTTGGAGAGGAAAAATTGAAGTTTTTGAGGTGAAACTGGGGTTAGGGGTGGTTTTGGGGCCAAAAATCCGGATTTTGGGAAAATTCACCGGGCTGGGGTGATTTAGGGCATTTGGGGGAAAATTTCAGGGGGTTTGGGCAAAAATTCCGGGGGTTTTTAGGGGTAAATTGGGGTTTTTGGGGAGGAAAATTGGGATTTTGGGGGGAAAATTGAGATTTTGGAGGATTTAAGGGAAATTTTGGGGGAAAATTGAGATTTTTGGGGTAAATTTGGGAGGAAATTGGGATTTTTGTGGGGAAAATTGGGATTCTGGGGGATTTAGGGGAAATTCTGGGGGAAAATTGGGATTTTTGGGGTAAATTTGGGAGGAAATTGGGATTTTTGTGGGGAAAATTGGGATTTTGGGGGATTTAGGGGAAATTTTGGGGGAAAATTGGGATTTTTTGGGGTAAATTTGGGAGGAAATTGGGATTTTTGTGGGGAAAATTGGGATTTTGGTGGATTTAGGGGAAATTCTGGGAGAAAATTGGGATTTTTGGGGTAAATTTGGGAGGAAATTGGGATTTTTGAGGGGAAAATTGGGATTTTTTGAGGGATTTTTGTGGAAAATCGTGATTTTGGGGTGGATTTTTGGGGCAATTTTTGGCAATTTTGGGGCTCAGGGTTTTGGGGTGTTTTTTTGGGGGGTTGAGGTGGATTTTGGGGAATTTGGGGAATTTGGGGAGGGGTCTCCCCGCACCAGGAAGACGCCGTGGGCGTACAGGTGGGTCCCCAGCTGGATCCCGTTCACGATTTTCTCCCGCGCCCATTTGGGGATCCCAAAATTGGCCACGAGCGCCGAGACCGGGACGGCCAAAAACCTGCGGGGACACCCCAAAAATACCCCAAAAAACACCTGGTCAGACCCCAAAAATACACCCCAAAATACCCCAAAGAAACCCCTGGTGAGACCCCAAAAACCTGCGGGGACACCCCAAAAATACCCCAAAAAAAACCCGGTGAGACCCCAAAAAATACCCCAAAATGGCCCAAAAAACCCCAGGTGAGACCCCAAAAAACCAACCCAAAACCCCCCAAAAAACCCCAGGTGAGACCCCAGAAAAAAACCCCCTAAAACCCCCAGGTGAGACCCCAAAAAATCCCCCAAAAAACCCCCAGGTGTGCCCAAAATCCCTAATTTTCACTGATTTACCCCAATTTTCCCCTATTTCCGCCCAATTTTCCCTATTTCCCCCCAATTTTCACCGATTTTCCCCAAATTTTCCCCGATTTTCCCCAATTTTCCCCTATTTCCCCCCAATTTCCCCCATTTCCCCCCAATTTTCAATGATTTTCCCCTATTTCCCCTCAATTTTCCCCTTTTTCCCCCAATTTCCCCCCAATTTTCCCCTATTTCCCCCAATTTCCCCCGATTTTCCCCAAATTTTCACTATTTTCCCTCAATTTTCCCCCTTTTTTCCCCATTTCTCCCCCCCAGGTGTGCCCAGGTGTGCCCAGGTGTGCCCAGGTGTGCCCAAACCCCCAATTTCCCCCTATTTCCCCCAAATTTTCCCCTATTTCCCCCATTTTTTCACCGATTTTCCCCATTTTTTCACCGATTTCCCCCATTTTTTCACCGATTTTCCCCAAATTTCCCCCATTTCTCCCCCCAGGTGTGCCCAGGTGTGCCCAAACCCCCCAAATTTCCCCCTATTTCCCCCATTTTTCCCCCTATTTCCCCCATTTTTTCACCAATTTTCCCCCAATTTTCACCGATTTTCCCCCAATTTTCCCGATTTCTCCCCCCCAGGTGTGCCCAGGTGCCCTCAGGTGTGCCCAGGTGTGCCCAAACCCCCCAATTTCCCCCTATTTTCCCCCAATTTCCCCCTATTTTCCCCAAATTTTCACCGATTTACCCCGAATTTTCACCGATTTTCCCCCTTTTTTCCCCATTTCTCCCCCCCAGGTGTGCCCAGGTGTGCCCAGGTGTGCCCAGGTGTGCCCAAACCCCCAAATTTTCCCCTATTTCCCCCATTTTTTCACCGATTTTCCCCCAATTTTCACCGATTTTCCCCCAATTTTCACCGATTTTCCCCAAATTTTCACCGATTTTCCCCAAATTTTCACCGTTTTACCCCCAATTTTCCCCGTTTTTCTCCCCCAGGTGTGTGCCCAGGTGTGTTTACCCTGCCCAGGTGTGCCCAGGTGCCCTCAGGTGTGCCCAGGTGTGCCCAAACCCCCCAATTTCCCCCTATTTTCCCCATTTTTTCCCCTATTTTCCCCAAATTTTCACCGATTTTTCCCCAATTTTCCCCCTTTTTTCCCCATTTCTCCCCCCCAGGTGTGCCCAGCTGTGCCCAGGTGTGCCCAGGTGTGCCCAGGTGTGCCCAAACCCCCAAATTTCCCCCTATTTCCCCCATTTTTTCACCGATTTTCCCCAAATTTCCCCCTATTTCCCCCATTTTTTCACCGTTTTCCCCCCAATTTTCACCGTTTTCCCCCCAATTTCCCTCTATCTCCCCCATTTTTTCACCGATTTTCCCCATTTTTTCACCGATTTTTCCCCAATTTTTGCCCTTTTCCCCCTTTTTTGCCCCCCAGGTGTGCCCAGGTGTGCCCAGGTGTGCCCAAGCCCCCCAATTTCCCCTATTTCCCCCATTTTTTCCCCTATTTCCCCCATTTTTTCACCGATTTTCCCCATTTTTTCACCGATTTCCCCCCAATTTTCACCGATTTTCGCCATTTTTTCCCCATTTCTCCCCCCAGGTGTGCACCAGAAGGCGTAGGCGGCCAGGAAGGGCAGGTAGAAGCGGCGGCGCTCGGGCACGGCGCTGAGCCCCCCCAGGTGTGCCCAAAACCCCCAATTTTCCTCTATTTCCCCCAAATTTTCCCCTATTTCCCCCAAATTTTCACAGTTTACCCCCAATTTTTGCCATTTTTTCCCCGTGTCTCCCCCCCAGGTGTGCCCAGGTGTGCCCAGGTGTGCCCAAACCCTCCAATTTCCCCCTATTTTCCCCATTTTTTCACCGATTTTCCCCAAATTTTCACCGATTTTCCCCATTTTTTCACCGATTTTTCCCCAATTTTCCCCCTTTTTTCCCTTTTTTGCCCCCCAGGTGTGCCCAGGTGTGCCCAGGTGTGCCCAGGTGTGGCCAGGTGTGCACCAGAAGGCGTAGGCGGCCAGGAAGGGCAGGTAGAAGCGGCGGCGCTCGGGCACGGCGCTCAGCGTGGCGCCCACGGCGGCGCAGAACCAGCCGAAGGCGCCGAACTGCAGCGCGATCAGGCCGTACCCTGCCGGGGACTCGTAGGTGTACAGCACCTGCCCGGGGTCAAAGAACTGCCCCAAACACGGCACCGGGTCAGGGAAAAACGGGAAAAAATAGCCCTGAAATAGCCCTGAAATAGCCCTGAAATATTCCCAAAATATTCCCAAAATATTCCCAAAATATCCTCAAAATAGCCCTGAAATAGCATCAAAATATCCCCAAATAGAGCCCCCAGGTGAGGAAAAAACAGCCCAAAATAGCCCTGAAATATCCCTGAAATATTCCCAAAATATTCCCAAAATAGCCCTGAAATGGCCTCTAAATATCCCCGAAATATTCCCAAAGTAGCCCTGAAATAGCCTCAAAATATCGTCAAAATGTTCCCAAAATATTCCAAAAATAGCCCTGAAATGGCCTCAAAATATCCCCAAAATATCCTTGAAATAGCCTCAAAATATTCCCAAAATAGCCCCGAAATATCCCCGAAATATTCCCAAAAGAGCCCTGAAATATCCCTGAAATATCCCCAAATAGCCCTGAAATAGCCCCAAAATATTCCCCAAATTTACCCAAAATATTCCCAAAATAGCCCCAAAATATCCCTGAAATAGCGCCATAATATAGTCAAAATATCCCCAAAATATCCCTGAAATTTCCTCAAAATATCATCAAAATATTCCCAAAATATCCCCGAAATAGCCTCAAAATATTCCCAAAATATTCCCAAAATATCCTCGAAATAGCCTTGAAATAGCTTCAAAATAGCCCTGAAACATCCCCAAAATATCCCTGAAACAGCTTCAAAATAGCCCTGAAACATCCCCAAAATATCCCTGAAATAGCCTCAAAATAGCCCTGAAATAGCCTCAAAATATTCCCAAAATATTCTCAAAATATCCCCAAAATATTCCCAAAATAGCCCTGAAATGGCCTCAAAATATTCCCAAAATATTCTCAAAATATTCCCAAAATATCCCCAAAATAGCCCTGAAATATCCCCAAAATATCCCTGAAATAGCCTCAAAATACCCTCAAAATATTCCCAAAATATTCCTGAAATATCCCCAAAATATCAAAAAAAAATTCCACAAAATTTGGGTGAATTTGGGGTCTTTGGGGGTGAATTTTGGGGTGAATTCGACGGTTTTGGGGTGAATTTTGGGGCGAATTTTGGGGATTTTGGGGCGGATTTTGGGATAATATTTGGGGTGAATTTTGGGTTTTTCGAGTGGGATGTTGGGGTTTTTGAGGGGGATTTTGGGGTTTTTTGGGGGGGATTTTGGGGTTTTTTGGGGAGATTTTGGGTTTTTTTGAGTGGAATTTTTTTGGGTGAAATTGAGGCCGATTTTGGGGTGATTTTGGGGTGAATTTGGGGTTTTTGGCGTACCTGTGCCTCGTAGGTGAGCAGCGCCACGTGGGCCAGGCTGAGCCCCCAATTTGGGGTGAATTTTGGGGCTTTTGGGGGGATTTTGGGGATTTTTGAGTGGAATTTTTTTGGGGGGTATTTTGGGGCAGATTTTTGGGGTAATTTTGGGGTGAATTTGGGGCAGATTTTGGGGTGAATTTTGGGGTTTTGGGGGGTGGATTTTGGGGTTTTTGAGGGGGATTTTGGGTTTTTTTAGGAGGATTTTGGGGTTTTTTGGGGTTTTTTTGGGAGGGATTTTTTAGGGTAATTTTAGGATGATTTTGGGGTGAATTTGGGTATAATTTTGGGGTGAATTTGTGGGATTTTGGCGTACCTGTGCCTCGTAGGTGAGCAGCGCCACGTGGGTCAGGCTGTAGAGGGTCATGTACACCGAGAGCCGGACGGAGCCCCCGGCGCTGATACGGCCCCTGAGCGACCCCGGTGACCCTGAGTGACCTCTGACCTCTGACCCCTGAGTGACCCCTGACCCCGAGTGACCAATGAGTGACCCTGAGTGACCCCTGAGTGACCCTGAGTGACCAATGAGTGACCCTGAGTGACCCTGAGTGACCCTGAGTGACCAATGAGTGACCCTGAGTGACCCTGAGTGACCCCTGAGTGACCAATGAGTGACCCCTGAGTGACCCTGAGTGACCCTGAGTGACCCCTGAGTGACCCTGAGTGACCAATGAGTGACCCTGAGTGACCCTGAGTGACCCTGAGTGACCCCTGAGTGACCAATGAGTGACCCTGAGTGACCCTGAGTGACCAATGAGTGACCCTGAGTGACCCTGAGTGACCCCATAGTGACCAATGAGTGACCAATGAGTGACCCCGAGTGACCCTGAGTGACCAATGAGTGACCAATGAGTGACCCTGAGTGACCCCTGAGTGACCCTGAGTGACCAATGAGTGACCCTGAGTGACCCTGAGTGACCCCTGAGTGACCCTGAGTGACCAATGAGTGACCCTGAGTGACCCTGAGTGACCCCATAGTGACCAATGAGTGACCAATGAGTGACCCCGAGTGACCCTGAGTGACCAATGAGTGACCAATGAGTGACCCTGAGTGACCCCTGAGTGACCCTGAGTGACCAATGAGTGACCCCTGAGTGACCCTGAGTGACCCTGAGTGACCCTGAGTGACCCCTGAGTGACCCCTGAGTGACCAATGAGTGACCAATGAGTGACCCTGAGTGACCCTGAGTGCCCGATGAGTGACCCTGAGTGACCCTGAGTGACCCCTGAGTGACCAATGAGTGACCAATGAGTGACCCTGAGTGACCCTGAGTGACCCTGAGTGACCAATGAGTGACCAATGAGTGACCCTGAGTGACCAATGAGTGACCCTGAGTGACCCTGAGTGACCCCAGAGTGACCCTGAGTGACCCTGAGTGACCCCTGAGTGACCCCTGAGTGACCAATGAGTGACCCTGAGTGACCCTGAGTGACCCTGAGTGACCAATGAGTGACCCCTGAGTGACCCCTGAGTGACCCTGAGTGACCCTGAGTGACCAATGAGTGACCCTGAGTGACCCTGAGTGACCCCAGAGTGACCCTGAGTGACCCCTGAGTGACCCTGAGTGACCAATGAGTGACCCCCGGGTGACCCCTGACCCCCGGGTGACCCCTGACCCCGGGTGACCCCACCTGGTGACGGAGAAGCCCTTGCCCAGCAGGATCAGCATCAGGAGGAAGATGAGGAAGCTGATGGAGAACAGGAGCTTCCCTGGGGGGGCAAAGATCCCCCCAAAATCCCCCCAAAAGTTCCCAAAAACCTTCCCAAAACGGCCCCAAAATCCCCCCAAAAATCTCCCCCAAAATCCCCCCAAAAGTTCCCAAAACCTTCCCAAAACAGCCCCAAAAATCCCCCCAAAATCCCCCCAAAAGTTCCCAAAACCTTCCCAAAACGGCCCCAAAAATCCCCCAAAAATCCCCCCAAAAGTTCCCAAAACGGCCCCAAAAATCCCCCCAAAAATCCCCCCAAAATTTCTCAAAACCTTCCCAAAACAGCCCCAAAAATTCCCCCCAAAATCCCCCCAAAACCTTCCCAAAACCGTCCCAAAAATCCCCCCAAAAATCCCCCCCAAAAGTTCCCAAAACCTTCCCAAAACGGCCCCAAAAATCCCCCCAAAAATCCCCCCAAAACCTTCCCAAAACGGCCCCAAAAATCCCCCCAAAAATCCCCCCAAAAGTTCCCAAAACGGCCCCAAAAATCCCCCCAAAATCCCCCCAAAAGTTCCCAAAATGGTCCCAAAAATCCCCCCAAAATCCCCCCAAAAGTTCCCAAAACCTTCTCAAAATGGTCCCAAAAATCCCCCCAAAATCCCCCCAAAAATTCCCAAAAACCTTCCCAAAACAGCCCCAAAAATGCCCCCCAAAATTCCCAAAAATCCCCCCGAAGTTCTCAAAACGGTCCCAAAAATCCCCCCCCAAAATCCCCTCAAAATCCCCCCAAAAATCCCCCCAAAATTTCCCAAAACAGCCCCAAAAATCCCCCCCAAAATCCCTTTAAATACCCCAAATTTCCCCTAATTTTCTCCCAAAATTTGCCCAATTCTCACCCAAATTTTCACCCAAATTTGCCCAAATTTCCCCCAAATTTTTCCCATATTCCCAAATTGCCCAAAATCCCCAGAATTGCCCCCAAATCCTCCCCAAAATCTCTCAAATCTTCCCAAAATCCCTCCAAAATCCCCCCAAAATCCCTTTAAATGCCCCAAATTTGACCTGATTTTTGCCCAAATTTCACCCAATTTTCACCCAAATTTCCCCCAAATTTCCCCCAAATTTCCCCAATTTCCCCCAAATCCTCCCAAATTCCCGAATTTCCCAAAATCGCCAGAATTTGCCCCAAATCCTCCCCAAACCTCTCAAATCCTCCCAAAATCCCCCAAAAATCCCTTTAAATGCCCCAAATTTCACCCAATTTTCACCCTATTTTCGCCCAATTTTCCCCCAAATTTCCCCAAATTTTCCCCAAATCCTCCCGAATTCCCGATTTGCCCAAAATCCGCGGAATTGGCCCCAAATCCGTACCCAGGAGTTTGAGGGGGCCGTGCCCGACCCCGTCGCAGCCGTACTGACCCCAATAGGCGCAGCTCAGGAGGAGGCTCAGGACTGGGGGGAAAGGGGGTGAGACCCCTCCCCAAATTCCCCCAGACCCCTCCCCAAATTACCCCGAGACCCCAGACCCAAATCACCCAAAAACCCCAAAATTTCAACCAAAAAAACCCACAATTCCCCCCTAAAAACAACAAAATTTCCACCCAAAATCCCCAAATTCTCCCCCCAAATTCCCCCCCCAGAATTGGGGAGGGGGCGCGAAAAGGGGGGTGAGACCCCTCCCCAAATTCCCCCAGACCCCTCCCCAAATTCCCCCAGACCCCTCCTCAAATTCCCCCCGGGACCCCAGACCCAAATCACCCAAAAAAACCCAAATTTATCCCAAAATACCCCAAAATTTCCACCCAAAATCCCCAAATTCTCCCCCCAAATTCCCCCCCCAGAATTGGGGAGGGGGCGCGAAAAGGGGGGTGAGACCCCTCCCCAAATTCCCCCAGACCCCTCCCCAAATTTACCCCGAGACCCCAGACCCAAATCACCCAAAAAACCCCAAATTTACCCCAAAAAACACCAAAATTTCCACCCAAAAAACCTCAAAATCCCCAAATTCCCCCTGACCCCTCCCCAAATTCCCCCCAGACCCCAGACCCAAATTCCCCCAGACCCCTCCCCAAATCCCCCCAGACCCCTCCCCAAATTACCGCCGGGACCCCAGACCCAAATCATCCAAAAAACCCCCAAATTTACCCCAAAATTTCCACCCAAAACCCCCCAAAATCCCCAAATTCTCCCCCCAGTTCCCCTCCCAGAATTGGGGAGGGGGCGTGAAAAGGGGGGTGAGACCCCTCCCCAAATTCCCCCCAGACCCCTCCCCAAATTCCCCCCAGACCCCTCCCCAAATTCCCCCCGAGACCCCAGACCCAAATCACCCAAAAAACCCCAAATTTACCCCAAAAAACCCCAAAATTTCCACCCAAAACCCTCCAGATTTGCCCCAGAAATCCCCAAATTCCCCCCCCAAGAATTGGGGAGGGGGCGTGAAAAGGGGGGTGAGACCCCTCCCCAAATTCCCCCCAGACCCCTCCCCAAATTCCCACAGACCCCTCCCCAAATTTACCCCGAGACCCCAGACCCAAATCACCCAAAAAAACCCCAAATTTACCCCAAAAAAACCCCAAAATTTCCACCAAAAAACCTCAAAATCCCCAAATTCCCCTCCCAGAATTGGGGAGGGGGCATGAAAAGGGGGGTGAGACCCCTCCCCAAATTCCCCCCGGGACCCCAGACCCAAATTCCCCCCGGGACCCCAGACCCAAATCACCCAAAAAACCCCAAATTTACCCCAAAATACCCCAAAATTTCCACCCAAAATCCCCAAATTCTCCACCCAGAGACCCCCCCAGAATTGGGGAGGGGGCATGAAAAGGGGGGTGAGACCCCTCCCCAAATTCCCCCCAGACCCCTCCCCAAATTCCCCCCAGACCCCTCCCCAAATTTACCCCGAGACCCCAGACCCAAATCACCCCAAAAAACCCCAAATTTCCCCCAAAAAAACCCCAAAATAATCCCAATTCCCCCCCCAAGCCCCCAGACCCAAATTAACCCCCCCAAATCTGCCCAGCCTGAGCCCCCCCGAAGCCCCCAGACCCAAATCCCTCCCCCGAAGCCCCCAGACCCAAATTAACCCCCCCAAACCCCCCCAAATCCCTCTCCCAAAGCCCCCAGACCCAAATCCCTCCCAAAGCCCCCAGACCCAAATCCACCCCCAAAGCCCCCAGACCCAAATCCCTCCCCCGAAGCCCCCAGACCCAAATCCCCCCCGAAGCCCCCAGACCCAAATCCCCCCCAGCCCCCAGACCCAAATTAACCCCCCCAAATCTGCCCAGCCTGAGCCCCCCCGAAGCCCCCAGACCCAAATACCCCCCGAATCCCCCAGACCCAATCCCCCCTCCCGAAGCCCCCAGACCCAAATCCTGCCCCCGAAGCCCCCAGACCCAATTCCCCCTCCCGAATCCCCCAGACCCAAATACCCCCCGAATCCCCCAGACCCAATCCCCCCTCCCGAAGCCCCCAGACCCAAATCCTGCCCCCGAAGCCCCCAGACCCAATTCCCCCTCCCGAATCCCCCAGACCCAAATCCCCCTCCCAAAGCCCCCAGACCCAAATTAACCCCCCGAAGCCCCCAGACCCAATTCTCACCCTCCAGCCCGGCCGCCGCCATGAACATCTTGTAGGTTGTGTGGAGCAGCTGCCGCCCCTTGAGCTGGTCTGGGGAGGGGGCGGGGGGCTCGGAGACCCCTCCCCAAATTCTCTGAGCCCCCCCGAGACCCCTCCCCAAATTCCTGAGACCCTCGAGACCCCTCCCCAAAAAAACGGAGGTTTTGGAGCCCAAAAAAGCCTCAAAAGAGCCCAAAAAAAGCCTCAAAAGAATAAAAAAACCCCCGAATTTTGGGACTTGAGACCCCTCCCCAAATTGCCCCAAGACCCCTCCTCAATATGTCTGAGACCCCTCCCCAAATTCCCCCCGAGACCTTCGAGACCCCTCCCCAAAAAACCCGGAGGTTTTACCGCCCAAAAAACCTCAAAAGAGCCCAAAAAAAGCCTCAAAAGAACCCAAAAAAACCCGAATTTTGGGACTTGAGACCCCTCCCCAAATTCCTGAGACCCCTCCCCAAATTGTCTGAGACCCCTCCCCAAATTCCCCCCGAGACCCCTCCCCAAAAAACCCGGAGGTTTTAGAGCCCAAAAAAGCCTCAAAAGAGCCCATAAAAAGCCTCAAAAGAGCCCAAAAAACCCGAATTTTGGGACTTGAGACCCCTCCCCAAATTGCCCCCGAGACCCTCGAGACCCCTCCCCAAAAAAACCGGAGGTTTTAGAGCCCCAAAAAGCCTCGAAAGAACCCAAAAAAAGCCTCAAAAGAATAAAAAAAAATCCCGAATTTTGGGACTTGAGACCCCTCCCCAAATTCCCCCGAGACCCCTCCCCAAATTGTCTGAGACCCCTCCCCAAATTCCCCCCGAGACCTTCGAGACCCCTCCCCAAAAAACCCGGAGGTTTTAGAGCCCAAAAAAGACTCAAAAGAGCCCAAAAAAAGCCTCAAAAGAGCCCAAAAAACCCCCGAATTTTGGGCCTTGAGACCCCTCCCCAAATTGCCCCGGGACCCCTCCCCAAATTCCCCCGAGACCCCTCCCCAAATTCCCGAGACCCTCGAGACCCCTCCCCAAAAAACCCGAAGGTTTTAGAGCCCAAAAAAGCCTCAAAAGAGCCCAAAAAAACCCGAATTTTGGGACTTGAGACCCCTCCCCAAATTCCCCCGGGACCCCTCCCCAAATTCCCCCGAGACCCCTCCCCAATATGTCTGAGACCCCTCCCCAAATTCCCCCCGAGACCCTCGAGACCCCTCCCCAAAAAACCCGGAGGTTTTAGATCCCAAAAAAGCCTCAAAAGAACCCAAAAAACCCCGAATTTTGGGACTTGAGACCCCTCCCCAAATTCCCCTGAGACCCCTCCCCAAATTGTCTGAGACCCCTCCCCAAATTGCCCCGAGACCCCTCCCCAAATTCCTGAGACCCTCGAGACCCCTCCCCAAAAAACCCGGAGGTTTTAGAGCCCAAAAAAGCCTCAAAAGAGCCCAAAAACCCGAATTTTGGGACTTGAGACCCCTCCCCAAATTGCCCCGGGACCCCTCCCCAAATTGCCCCGGGACCCCTCCCCAAATTGCCTGAGACCCCTCCCCAAATTCCTCCTGAGACCCTGGAGACCCCTCCCCAAAAAACCCGGAGGTTTTAGAGCCCAAAAAAGCCTCAAAAGAGCCCAAAAAAAGCCTCAAAAGAACCCAAAAAACCCCGAATTTTGGGACTTGAGACCCCTCCCCAAATTGCCCCGAGACCCCTCCCCAAATTGCCCCGAGACCCCTCCCCAAATTCCCCCGAGACCCCTCCCCAAATTCCCCCCGAGACCCCTCCCCAAATTCCTGAGACCCTCGAGACCCCTCCCCAAAAAACCCGGAGGTTGTAGAGCCCAAAAAAGCCTCAAAAGAACCCAAAAAAACCCGAAATTTGGGACTTGAGACCCCTCCCCAAATTGTCTGAGACCCCTCCCCAAATTGCCCCGGGACCCCTCCCCAAATTCCTGAAACCCTGGAGACCCCTCCCCAAAAAACCCGGAGGTTTTAGAGCCCAAAAAAGCCTAAAAAAAAACAAAAAAAACCCCGAATTTTGGGACTTGAGACCCCTCCCCAAATTCCCCCGGGACCCCTCCCCAAATTCCCCCGGGACCCCTCCCCAAATTCCCCCCAAGACCCCTCCCCAAATTCCCCCGGGACCCCTCCCCAAATTCCCCCGGGACCCCTCCCCAAATTGCCCCGGGACCCCTCCCCAAATTCCTGAGACCCTCGAGACCCCTCCCCAAAAAACCCGGAGGTTTTAGAGCCCAAAAAAGCCTCAAAAGAACCCAAAAAAACCCGAATTTTGGGACTTGAGACCCCTCCCCAAATTCCCCCGAGACCCCTCCCCAAATTCCCCCGAGACCCCTCCCCAAATTGCCCCGGGACCCCTCCCCAAATTCCTGAGACCCTCGAGACCCCTCCCCAAAAAAACCGGAGGTTTTAGAGCCCAAAAAAGCCTCAAAAGAACCCAAAAAAACCCGAATTTTGGGACTTGAGACCCCTCCCCAAATTCCCCCGAGACCCCTCCCCAAATTCCCCCGAGACCCCTCCCCAAATTGCCCCGGGACCCCTCCCCAAATGGCGCCGCTCACAGCCGCAGTAGCAGGAGAGGAGGAAGATGAGGATGAAGATGAGGAGGAAGGTGATGTCGGTCTCCAGGATCCCTGCGAGGGGCGGGAATTGGGTCTGGGGGCTTCGCGGGACCCCCCCGAGACCCCTCCCCAAATTCTGGGCAGCCCCAGGAGGCGGCCGAAAAAAACCCGGAGTTTTTACACCCCAAAAAACCCCAAAAAAACCCAAAAAGAGCCCAAAAAATCCCCAAAGTTTCCAGCTGAGACCCCTCCCCAAATTCCCTGAGACCCCTCCCCAAATGCCCCGGGACCCCTCCCCAAATTCCTGAGGAGCCCTGAGACCCCTCCCAAATTCCCTCAGACCCCTCCCCAAAAAACCCGGAGTTTTTAGACACCAAAAAAACCCCAAAAAAGCCCCAAAACCCAGAAAAATCCCCAAATTTTCGAGCTGAGACCCCTCCCCAAATTCCCTGAGACCCCTCCCCAAATTCCCCAGGACCTCCCAGACCCCTCCCCAAAATCCCCGAGACCCCCGAGACCCCTCCCCAAAAAACCCGGAGTTTTTAGAGCCCGAAAAGAACCAAAAAAGCCTCAAAATTTTATCAATGGAGCCCCCAGACCCAAATGGAGCCCCCAGACCCAATTGAAGCCCCCAAAAAGCCAAAAAATCCCAAATAAACCCAAAAAATCCCAAATAAACCCCCAAAAATCCCCAAAATCCCCAAAACTGAAGCCCCCAGCCCCAATTGAAGCCCCCAGCCCCAAATAAACCCCAAATAAACCCCCTTAAAAAAGCCCTAAAAACCCCCAATAAACCCCAAAAAATCCCAAATAAACTCAAAAAAAATCCCAAATAAACCCCAAAAAATCCAAAATAAACCCCAAAAAACCCCAAAACTGAAGCCCCCAGCCCCATTTGAAGCCCCCAGCCCCATTTGAAGCCCTCAGCCCCAAATAAACCCCCCAAAAACTCAAAAAAATCCTCTAAAAACCCCCAAAAAATCCCAAATAACCCCCCAAAAAACCCAAAAAATCCCAAAAAATCCCCCCAAAATTCTCCAAAATCCCCCAAACTGAAGCCCCCAGCCCCAATTGAAGCCCCCAGCCCCAAATAAACCCCAAATAAACCCGAAATAAACCCGAAAAAATCCCCTAAAAAAGCCCCAAAAATCCCAAATAAACCCCCAAAAAAACCCCAAAAATCCCAAATAAACCCCCAAAATCCCCCAAACTGAAGCCCCCAGCCCCAATTGAAGACCCCAGACCCAAATAAACCCCAAATAAACCTGAAAAAATCCCCTAAAAAAACCCAAAAAAATCCCAAATAAAGCCCCAAAAAAACCCCAAAAATCCCAAATAAACCCCAAAAAAACCCCCCAAAAATCCCCAAAATCCCCCCAAAACCCCCCAAAATCCCCCAATTGAAGCCCCCAGACCCAATTGCAGCCCCCAGCCCCAATTCACCGAACTCGTCGGCCGAGAAGTGGCGGGTCCAGAAGGAGTCGCCGTTGGTCAGAACCATCTCGTACTCCAGCTCCAGCCCCCCGCCCTGTTTGGGCAAAATTTGGGCCTTTTTGGGCAATTTCGGGATTTGGGGATTTTGGGGAATTTTTTGGGAATTTTTTTGGGTTTTTTTCCGGCAGGTTTGGGGCTTTTTTTGGGGGTTTATTTGGGTTTTTTTGGGATTTTATTTTGATTTTTCTGTGATTTTTCTGTGATTTTTTGGAGTTTTTTGGGAGATTTGTGGGGTTTTTTTTGGTGTGGATTTGGGGATTTTGGGGATTTTTGGGATTTTGGATTTTGGGGTTTTTGGGAGATTTTTGGGGGATATTTTTTTTTCTGTGAGGTTTTTTTTTTAATTTTTTTTTTTTTTCCTATTTTTTTTCCTGTGATTTTTGGTAAATTTTTTTTTTGGTGCTTTTTGTGGTTTTTTTGGGAGCTTTGAGGGGTTTTTTGGGGTTTTTTTGGGGTGGTTTTGGGTTCTTTTGGGGTTTTTTGGTTATTTTGGGGTCTTTGGTGTGGATTTGGGACTTTTGGGATATTTTGCTTTATTTTGGGGGGATTTTGGGGCATTTTGGGTTTTTTAGGGCGGTTTTTGGGGCGGTTTTTGGGGTGGATTTTGGGATGGATATTTTGGTTGATTTTGGGGTGGATTTTGGGGTGAATTTTGGGGATTTTGGGTCACTCACCCCACATTTGCTCAGTGCCACGTACCACCAGCGCTCCCGCACCGAGCTCGGGGCTTTTGGGGGGATTTTGGGGAATTTTGGGGTTTTTAGGGCGGTTTTTGGGGTGGATTTTGGGGTGGGGTTTGCGGTGAATATTTTGGCTGATTTTGGGGTGGATTTTGGGGTGAATTTGGGGGATTTTGGGTCACTCACCCCACATTTGCTGAGCGCCACGTACCACCAGTGCTCCCGCACCGAGCTCGGGGGTTTGGGGGGATTTTGGGGAATTTTGGGGTATTTTGGGATGGATTTTGGGGATTTTGGATTATTTTGGTTATTTTGGTTAATTTTGGGGTGGATTTTGGGGTGAATTTGGGGGATTTTGGGTCACTCACCCCACATTTGCTGAGCGCCACGTACCACCAGCGCTCCCGCACTGAGCTCGGGGCTTTTGGGGGATTTTGGGGAATTTTGGGGTTTTTAGGGCGGTTTTTGGGGATTTTGGATTCTTTAGGATATTTTGGTGGATTTTGGGATGGATTTTGGGGTGAATTTGGGGGATTTTGGGTCACTCACCCCACACTTGCTCAGTGCCACGTACCACCAGCGCTCCCGCACCGAGCGGAAGCTGCGGCCGCTGGAGCAGCTCAGGACCCTCCCCGAGACCCCCGGCAGCACCTGGGGAGGGGGCGGGGTCAGCCCTGGAGACCCCAGACCCAAAATTCCCAGACCTGCGACCCCTCCCCAAAAAAACCCCGGAGGTTTTAGACCCAAAAATGCCCCAAAAAAGCCCAAAAAAGTCCCAAAAGAGCCCAAAAAACGCCCCAAAATTGCCCCAAAAAAAAGTCCCCAAAGTGCCCAAAAAAGTCCCAAAAAAAGTGCCAAAAATTGACCAAAACCCCCCGAATTTTAGAGCTGAGACCCCTCCCCAAAATATCCCGAGACTCCTGAGACCCCTCCTCAAATTCTCTGGGACCCCTCCCCAAAAAATCCGGGGTTTTCAGACCCAAATAGCCCCAAAAAAGCCCAAAAATCCCCAAAGTTTCGAGCTGAGACCCCTCCCCAAATTGCCTCAGGCCCCTGAGACCCCTCCCCAAAATATCCCCGGGCCCCTGAGACCCCTCCCCAAATTCTCTGGGACCCCTCCCCAAAAAATCCGGGGTTTTCAGCCCCAAATAGCCCCAAAAAAGCCCAAAAATCCCCAAATTTTTGAGCTGAGACCCCTCCCCAAATTGCCTCAGACCCCTGAGACCCCTCCCCAAAATATGCCCGGGCCCCTGAGACCCCTCCCCAAATTCTCTGGGACCCCTCCCCAAAAAAAACTGGAGTTTTTCGACCCCAAAAAGCCCCAAAAGTGCCCAAAAAAGCTCCAAAATTGCCCCGAAAACCTCCGAATTTTTGGGCTGAGACCCCTCCCCAAATTGCCACGGACTCCTGAGACCCCTCCCCAAATTCCATGAGACCCCTCCCCAAAATATGCCCGGACCCATGAGACCCCTCCCCAAATTCTCTGGGACCCCTCCCCAAAAAATCCGGGGTTTTCAGACCCAAATAGCCCCAAAAAAGCCCAAAAATCCCCAAATTTTCGAGCTGAGACCCCTCCCCAAATTGCCTCAGACCCCTGAGACCCCTCCCCAAAATATCCCCGGGCCCCTGAGACCCCTCCCCAAATTCTCTGGGACCCCTCCCCAAAATATCCAGGGTTTTCAGACCCAAAAAGTCCCAAAAGAGCTCAAAAAAAGCCCCAAAAAAGCCCAAAAAGTCCCAAAAAAGCGGCAAATTTTGGGGCAGAGACCCCTCCCCAAATTGTCCCGGAAGCCCCCAGACCCAATTCGCACCTGGCAGCCGGACCAGGCGTACTGCGTGGTCAGGTTGATCACCTGGTTGTTCTCGGGCCGGATCACCGACTCCTTGGCCAGGCAGTCCTGGGGACCCCTCCCCAAATTAACCGGAGACCCCTCCCCAAATTCACCCCGAGACCCCTCCCCAAATTAACCGGGGACCCCTCCCCAAATTAACCCCGAGACCCCTCCCCAAATTCACCCTGAGACCCCTCCCCAAATTCACCCCGAGACCCCTCCCCAAATTAACCCCGAGACCCCTCCCCAAATTCACCCCGAGACCCCTCCCCAAATTAACTGGAGACCCTTCCCCAAATTAACCCTGAGACCCCTCCCCAAATTCACCCCGAGACCCTCCCCAAATTCACCCCGAGACCCCTCCTCAAATTCACCCGAGACCCCTCCCCAAATTAACTGGAGACCCTCCCCAAATGAACCCCGACACCCTTCCCCAAATTAACCCCGAGACCCCTCCCCAAATTCATCCCGAGACCCTTCCCCAAATTAACCGGAGACCCCTCCCCAAATTAAATCCCCAGCCCCAAATAATCCCCAAATATCCCCCAAAGCCCCCAGCCCCAAATGAAGCCCCCAGCCCCAAATATCCCTCAAAGCCCCCAGCCCCAATTACTCCACCAGACTGCCCCCAAAGCCCCCAGCCCCAATTGAAGCCCCCAGCCCCAAATATCCCCCAAAGCCCCCAGCCCCAATTGAAGCCCCCAGCCCCAATTGAAGCCCCCAGCCCCAATACTCCCCCAAAAGCCCCCAGCCCCAATTACTCCACCAGACTGCCCCCAAAGCCCCCAGCCCCAGTTGAAGCCCCCAGCCCCAAATACCCCCAAAGCCCCCAGCCCCAAAAGAATCCCCCAGCCCCAATTGAAGCCCCCAGCCCCAAATATCCCCCAAAGCCCTCAGATCCAAAAGAAGCCCCCAGCCCCAAAAGAAGCCCCCAGCCCAAAACGAAGCCCCCAGCCCCAATACTCCCCCAAAAGCCCCCAGCCCCAAATACCCCCCAGATTCCACCAAAGCCCCCAGCCCCAAATGAAGCCTCCAGCCCCAATTGAAGCCCCCAGCCCCAATTGAAGCCCCCAGCCCCAATACTCCCCCAAAAGCCCCCAGCCCCAATTACTCCACCAGACTGCCCCCAAAGCCCCCAGCCCCAAATGAAGCCCCCAGCCCCAATATTTCCCCAAAAGCCCCCAGCCCCAAATACCCCCCCAGATTCCACCAAAGCCCCCAGCCCCAATTGAAGCCCCCAGCCCCAAAAGAAGCCCCCAGCCCCAAACGAAGCCCCCAGCCCCAACTGAAGCCCCCAGCCCCAATACTCCCCCAAAAGCCCCCAGCCCCAAATACCCCCCAGATTCCACCAAAGCCCCCAGCCCCAAAAAAAGCCCCCAGCCCCAAAGGAAGCCCCCAGCCCCAAATATCCCCCAAAGCCCCCAGCCCCAAATACCCCCCAGATTCCACCAAAGCCCCCAGCCCCAATTGAAGCCCCCAGCCCCAAATGAAGCCCCCAGCCCCAAATACCCCCCAGATTCCACCAAAGTACCCAGCCCCAAATGAAGCCCCCAGCCCCAATACTCCCCCAAAGCCCCCAGTCTCAAATGAAGCCCCCAGCCCCAAATATCCCTCAAAGCCCCCAGCCCCAATTGAAGCCCCCAGCCCCAATTCGGACCTTGCCCCCCCTCCTGTAGACCGCCGGCCACTGGGAGGGGTCGTCGAAGTAGAGCAGAATGTTCTGGCAGCACTTGGCCTAAATTGGGGAGGGGTCCCGCTGGGGGGGATTTGGGGCTGGGGGCTTCTTTTGGGGCTGGGGGCTTTGGGAGAGTTTGGGAGGTATTTGGGGCTGGGGGCTTTGGGGGAGTTAGGGGGGTATTTGGGGCTGGGGGCTTTATTTGGGGCTGGGGGCTTTGGGGGGTATTTGGGGTGTATTTGGGTCTGGGGGCTTTGGGCGAGTTTAGGGGAATATTTCGGGCCAGGGGCTTTATTTGGGTCTGGGGGCTTTGGGGGAGTTTGGGGGATATTTGGGGCTGGGGGCTTTATTTGGGGCTGGGGGCTTTTGAGGAGTTTGGAGGGGTATTTGGGGCTGGGGGCTTCTTTTGGGGCTGGGGGCTTTGGGGGAGTTTGGGGGGTATTTGGGGCTGGGGGCTTTATTTGGGGCTGGGGGCTTTGGGGGAGTTTGGGGGGTATTTGGGGCTGGGGGCTTTATTTGGGGCTGGGGGCTTTGGGGGTGTTTTGGGGGATATTTGGGGCTGGGGGCTTTATTTGGGGCTGGGGGCTTTATTTGGGGCTGGGGGCTTAGGGGGAGTTTGGGGGTTATTTGGGGCTGGGGGCTTTATTTGGGGCTGGGGGCCTTGGGGGAGTTTGGGGGGTATTTGGGGCTGGGGGCTTTATTTGGGGCTGGGGGCTTTGGGAGATATTTGGGGCTGGGGGAGTTTGGGGGAGTTTGGGGGGCATTTGGGGCTGGGGGCTTCTTTTGGGGCTGGGGGCTTAGGGGGAGTTTGGGGGTTATTTGGGGCTGGGGGCTTTATTTGGGGCTGGGGGCTTTGGGGGCTATCTGGGAGGTATTTGGGGCTGGGGGCTTTATTCGGGGCTGGGGGCTTTGGGGGAGTTTGGGGGGTATTTGGGGCTGGGGGCTTCATTTGGGGCTGGGGGCTTTGGGGGAGTTTGGGGGATATTTGGGTCTCGGGGCTTTGGGGGTGTTTGTGAGGTATTTGGGGCTGGGGGCTTCATTTGGGGCTTGGGGCCTTGGGGGAGTTTGGGGAGTATTTGGGGCTGGGGGCTTTATTTGGGGCTGGGGGCTTTGGGCAAGTTTAGGGGAATATTTTGGGCCAGGGGCTTTATTTGGGTCTGGGGGCTTTGGGGGAGTTTGGGGAGTATTTGGGGCTGGGGGCTTTGGGGGTATTTGGGTCTGGGGGCTGTGGGGTATTTGGGTCTGGGGGCTTTGGGGGGTATTTGGGTCTGGGGGCTAAGGGGGTATTTGGGTCTGGGGGCTCTGGGGTATTTGGGTCTGGGGGCTTTGGGGGATTTCGGGGTTGGTATTAGGGGGATATTTGGGTCTGGGGGCTTTGGGGGTATTTGGGTCTGGGGTCTTTTGGGGGGTATTTGGGTCTGGGGGCTTCATTTGGGTCTGGGGGCTTTGGGGGGTATTTGGGGCTGGGGGCTTTACTTGGGGCTGGGGGCTTTGGGGGATTTTGGGGGGTATTTGGGTCTGGGGGCTTTGGGGGTATTTGGGGGGTATTTGGGTCTGGGGGCTTTGGGGGTATTTGGGGCTGGGGGCTTTGGGTGTATTTGGGTCTGGGGGCTTTGGGGGATTTCGGGGGTGATATTAGGGGGTTATTTGGGTCTGGGGTCTCTGGGGATATTTGGGTCTGGGGGCATTGGGGGATTTCAGGGGTGGTATTAGGGGGATATTTGGGTCTGGGGGCTCTGGGGGTATTGGGTCTGGGGGCTTTGGGGTATTTGGGTCTGGGGGCTTTGGGGGATTTCAGGGGTGGTATTAGGGGGATATTTGGGTCTGGGGGCTCTGGGGATATTTGGGTCTGGGGGCTAAGGGGGTATTTGGGTCTGGGGGCTCTGGGGGTATTTGGGTCTGGGGGCTCTGGGGTATTTGGGTCTGGGGTGTCTGGGGGTATTTGGGTCTGGGGGCTCTGGGGGTATTTGGGTCTGGGGTCTCTGGGGGTATTTGGGTCTGGGGGCTTTGGGGATATTTGGGTCTGGGGGCATTGGGGATATTTGGGTCTGGGGGCTCTGGGGGTATTTGGGTCTGGGGTCTCTGGGGTATTTGGGTCTGGGGGCTTTGGGGGGGTATTTGGGTCTGGGGGCTGTGGGTGTATTTGGGTCTGGGGGCGTTGGGGGATATTTGGGTCTGGGGGTATTTGGGTCTGGGGGCTTTGGGGTTATTTGGGTCTGGGGGCTTTGGGTGTATTTGGGTCTGGGGGCTTTGGGTGTATTTGGGTCTGGGGGCTTTGGGGGATTTCGGGGGTGGTATTAGGGGGTTATTTGGGTCTGGGGGCTTTGGGGAATTTGGGTCTGGGGTCTCTGGGGGTATTGGGTCTGGGGGCTCTGGGGGTATTTGGGTCTGGGGTCTCCCCGGGACCCCTCCCCAATTGTTCTGACCTCGGGGTAGCGGAAGTGGAAATCCAGACGGCCGAAATCCGACAGGAAACAGAAACGGGTCAGGAACACCCAGTCCTGGGGAGACCCCAGACCCAAATGGAGACCCCAGACCCAAATGGAGACCCCAGACCCAAATAGGGACCCCTGAGCCAAATGGGGACCCCAGACCCAAAAAAAATCCCCCCAAGGAACTCCCAAAACCCCCCCCCAAATGCCTCCCCCCAAATTCCCCAGGGCCCCTCACAGAGACCCCAGACCCAAATGGGGACCCCAGACCCAAATTGGGACCCCAGACCCAAATGGAGACCCCAGACCCAAAAAAAAATCCCACAAGGAACTCCCCAAAACCTCCCCCAAAGCCCCTCCCCAAATTCCCCAGGGGCCCCTCCCAGAGACCCCAGACCCAAATAGGGACCCCAGACCCAAATAGGGACCCCTGAGCCAAGTGGAGACCCCAGACCCAAAAAAAAATCCCCCCAAGGAACTCCCCAAAACCTCCCCCAAACCCCCCCCCAAATTCCCCAGGGGCCCCTCCCAGAGACCCCAGACCCAAATGGGGACCCCAGACCCAAATGGGGACCCCAGACCCAAAAAAAATCCCCCCAAGGAACCCCCCAAAAACCTCCCCCAAACCCCCCCCCCAAATTCCCCAGGGGCCCCTCCCAGAGACCCCAGACCCAAATGGGGACCCCAGACCCAAATGGGGACCCCAGACCCAAATGGGGACCCCAGACCCAAAAAAAATCTCCCCAAAGAACTCCCCAAAACCCCCCCCAAACCCCCTCCCCCAAATTCCCCAGGGGCCCCTCCCAGATACTCCCAGAGACCCCAGACCCAAATTGGGACCCCAGACCCAAATGGAGACCCCAGACCCAAATCCCACCCCACGCCCCCTCCCCAAAACCGCGGTTGCCATGGCAACGGCCGCACCGCGTTCCTGTGGCAACCGGAGGGGATTTGGGGAGGGGTCCCCATAGAAATGGGGGTTCGGTGTAATTTGGGGAGGGGTCTCCATAGAAATGGGGGGTCCGGTGTAATTTGGGGAGGGGTCCCGATATAAATGGGGGGGGTCCCGATATAAATTTGGGGAGGGGTCCCGATATAAATGGGGGGTGCGGTGTAATTTGGGGGGGGGTCCCGATATAAATTTGGGGAGGGGTCCCGATATAAATTTGGGGAGGGGTCCGGATGTAAATTTTGGGGGGGGTCCCGATATAAATGGGGGGTCCGGTGTAATTTGGGGAGGGGTCTCCATAGAAATGGGGTGGTCCCGATATAAATGGGGGGTCCGGTGTAATTTGGGGGGGTCCCGCTATAAATTTGGGGAGGGGTCTCTCCCTATCGAACGCAGCACACCGCGATATAACGGGGTGGGGAGGGGTCTCGCCATTAAATCAAATTAAATTAATTAATTCCAATCAAACCCCCGCTCCTCCCGGGGGGGGGGTCCCCACCCGTACCTGGGGGATCCCCCCGCCTCCCCCCCGAAGCCCCCTCCCCAAATTCCCCGCTGACCTCCTTGGTGCTGATGCGGCCCCGCACGTACTTGGGGGCGGCTCGGGCGGGCAGCAGCAGCAGCAGCAGCGGCAGCAGCGCCGGGGACCCCCCCCGGGAGCCCCCCGGGACCCCCCCCGGGCCCCCCAAAACCCCCGCGACCCCCCCCGGGCCCCCCAAAAGCCCCGGGAGCCCCATCGCCCCCCGGCCCTGCGCGCCCGGCCACGCCCACTGCGACAGGCCACGCCCACTGAGCCCGGCCACGCCCACTGCGACAGGCCACGCCCACGGGGCGGGGCTGCGGCTCGGCTCCGGGGGGGATTTTGGGGGGATTTTGGGGAGATTTGGGGGATTTGGGGGGATTTTGGGGGATCTTGAGTGATTTTGTGGGATTTTGTGGGGATTTTGGGGGGTTTGCGGGGATTTGGGGGGATTTTGGGGGGATTTTTGGGGGGATTTGGGGGGTCTTGAGAGAATTTGGGGGGATTTTGGGGGGGATTTGGGGGGTTTGGGGGGATTTTTGGGGGGTTTTGGGGGGGATTTTGGGGGGTTTGGGGAGTCTTGAGAGGTTTTGGGGGGGTTTTGGGGGGATTTTGGGGGGATTTGCGGCGATTTGGGGGGGATTTTGGGGGGATTTTGGGGGTTTGGGGGGTCTTCAGAGGTTTTGGGGGGACTTGCGGGGATTTGGGGGGGATTTTTGGGGGTTTCGGGAGTCTTGAGAGATTCTGGGGGGATTTTTGGGAGGATTTTGGGGGGATTTGGGGGGGATTTTGGGGGGTTTTGGGGAGTCTTGAGATATTTTGGGGGTTTTGGGGAGGATTTGGGGAGTCTTGAGAGATTTTGGGGGGTTTTAGGGAATTTTGGGGGGATTTTGGGAGTTTTGAGAGAATTTAGGGGGGTTTTTGGGGGGATTTTGGGGGGATTTTGGAGGGATTTGGAGAATCTTGAGAGGTTTTGGGGGGATTTTGGGAGTCTTGAGAGGTTTTGGGGGATTTTTGGGGGGATTTGGGGAGTCTTGAGAGGTTTTGGGGGGAATTTTGGGGGGATTTTGGGGGGATTCGGGGAGACTTGAGAGGTTTGGGGGGATTTTGGAGGGATTTTGGGGAGTCTTGAGAGATTCTAGGGGGGGTTTGGGGGGATTTGGGGAGTCTTGAGAGATTTTGGGAAGGTTTAGAAGATATTGGGAAGTTTTGGGGTGATTTGGAGCGATTTTGGGGCAATTTTTGGGAGTCTTGAGAGGTTTTGGGGGGTCGTGAGTCAATTTGGGGGGGTTTAGAAGATATTGGGAATTTTTTGGGTGATTTGGAGCGATTATTGGGTGATCGAGGCGATTTTGGAGAGATTTTGGGGCGAATTTGGGCGGGTTTGGGGGGATTTGGAGAGATTTTGGGAGTCTTGAGAGATTTTTGGGGATTTTTGGGGGGATTTGGGGAGTCTTGAGAGATTTTGGGGGATTTTTGGGGGGATTTGGGGAGTCTTGAGAGATTTTTGGGGGGATTTTTTGGGGGTGTTTTTTTGAGGCTGAGGACAAGGAGGATGAACGCTCTGAGGAGGCCGAATTGGAGCAGCCCCACTCTGGAGCAAACGTGACCATTCCCTATCCCAAAATCCACCTTTTTCACCCCAAAAATCCCCAATTTTCCCGCTGGTAAACAGCCCCTGGAGCCGATTTGATGATGAGGAGGATGAAGACTGCCAGGAGAACACACATCTGCCTTAGCATCGCCTCACCCTGGAGCAAACGAGACCCTCGGAGACGTTTTTTGTCCCAAATTTCCCATTTTTTACCCCAAAACCACCGAATTTCCTCCGGCCCCGCCCACACCGCAGCGCAAGCCCCGCCCACTCCATGACCACGCCCACATTCAGATGACCACGCCCATTTTCCGTCCCAGCCCATTTCCCGCCTCTTTTTGGCCCCGCCCCCCGCGCTGGCCCCGCCCCCTCCGCCGCCGCCTCAGGAGCCGCCGCCAGCGGGTGAGGGGGGAGGGGCCGCGCCTATCGCGAGTCTATCGCGACATAATCGCCGCTTTATCGCCGCTTTATCGTCGCTTTTCGGCGCTTAGCGGAGCTCTCCCGGCGGCCCCGCCGAGCTCCCGCTGCTCCCGGGGCCTGGCAGAGCCCGTGAGGCCTGCGGGACCCCTGCGGGCCCGCTGCGGGCGGTGGGGCTGAGGGGAGGCGGGGATGGGGGGTTTGGGGGGGGTCGTGAGGGGATGAGGGGGTTTAGGGGGTCATGAGGGTGTTGTGAAGGGGTTTTGGGGAGTCGTGAGGGGGTTTGGGGGGTCGTGAGGGGGTTTGGGAGGTCGTGAGGGGGTTTGGGGGGTCGTGAGGGGATGAGGGGGTTTAGGGGGTCATGAAGGGGTTGTGAAGGGGTTTTGGGGAGTCGTGAGGGGGTTTGGGGGGTCGTGAGGGGGTTTGGGGGGTCGTGAGGGGATGAAGGGGTTGTAGAGGGTCGTGAGGGAATCGTGAGGGGATGAGGGGGTTTTGGAGGGTGGTGAGGGAATTGTGAGGGGTTTTGAGGGGTCGTGAGGGGATGAGGGGGTTTAGAGGGTCATGAGGGGGTTGTGAAGGGGTTTTGGGGAGTCGTGAGGGGGTTTGGGGGGTCGTGAGGGGATGAGGGGGTTTAGGGGGTTATTAGGGGGTTGTGAAGGGGTTTTGGGGAGTCGTGAGGGGGTTTGGGGGGTCGTGAGGGGATTAGGGGGTTGTAGAGGGTCGTGAGGGGGTTTGGGGGGTCGTGAGGGGATGAGGGGGGTTTAGAGGGTCATGAGGGGGTTGTGAAGGGGTTTTGGGGGCTCGTGAGGGGGTTTGGGGGGTCGTGAGGGGGTTTGGGGGGTTGTGAGGGGATTTGGGGGTTGTAGAGGGTCGTGAGGGAATGAGGGGGTTTTGGGGGGTCATGAGGCAATCGTGAGGGGATTTGGGGGTTGTAGAGGGTCGTGAGGGAATCGTGAGGGGATGAGGGGGGTTTAGGGGGTCATGAGGGGGTTGTGAGGGGGTTTGGGGGGTCGTGAGGGGATGAGGGGGATTTAGGGGGTCGTGAGGGGGTTGTGAAGGGGTTTTGGGGGGTCGTGAGGGGGTTTGGGGGGTCGTGAGGGGATGAGGGGGTTGTAGAGGGTCGTGAGGGAATCGTGAGGGGATGAGGGGGTTTAGGAGGTGGTGAGGGAATTGTGAGGGGGTTTTGGGGGGTCGTGAGGGGATGAGGGGGTTTAGGGAGTCGTGAGGGGGTTGTGAAGGGGTTTTGGGGAGTCGTGAGGGGGTTTTGGGGGGTCGTGAGGGGATGAGGGGGTTTAGAGGGTCATGAGGGTGTTGTGAGGGGGTTTTGGGGAGTCGTGAGGGGATGAGGGGGTTTAGGGGGTCATGAGGGGGTTGTGAACGGTTTTGGGGAGTCATGAGGGGGTTTGGGGGGTCGTGAGGGGATGAGGGGGGTTTAGAGGGTCATGAGGGGGTTGTGAAGGGGTTTTGGGGGGTCGTGAGGGGGTTTGGGGGGTCGTGAGGGGATGAGGAGGATTTGGAGGGTGGTGAGGGAATTGTGAGGGAGTTTGGGGGGTCGTGAGGGGATGAGGGGGTTAGAGGGTCATGAGGGGGTTTTGAAGGCGTTTTGGAGAGTCGTGAGGGGGTTTGGGGGGTCGTGAGGGGATGAGGGGGTTTAGGGGGTCATGAGGGGGTTGTGAAGGGGTTTTGGGGAGTCGTGAGGGGGTTTGGGGGGTCGTGAGGGGATGAGGGGGTTTGGGGGGTCGTGAGGGGATCGTGAGGGGATGAGGGGGTTTAGAGGGTCATGAGGGGGTTGTGAAGGGGTTTTGGGGAGTCGTGAGGGGGTTTGGGGGGTCGTGAGGGGCTGAGGGGGGTTTAGGGGGTAATGAAGGGGTTGTGAAGGGGTTTTGGGGAGTCGTGAGGGGGTTTGGGGGGTCGTGAGGGGATGAGGGGGTTTAGGGGGTCATGAGGGGGTTGTGAAGGGGTTTTGGGGAGTCGTGAGGGGGTTTTGGGGAGTCGTGAGGGGGTTTGGGGAGTCGTGAGGGGATGAGGGGGTTGTAGAGGGTGGTGAGGGAATCGTGAGGGGATGAGGGGGGTTTAGAGGGTCATGAGGGTGTTGTGAGGGGGTTTGGGGGGGTCGTGAGGGGATGAGGGGGTTTAGAGGGTCATGAGGGGTGAAGGGGTTTTGGGGGGTCGTGAGGGGGTTTGGGGGGTCGTGAAGGGATGAGGGGATTTAGGGGGTCATGAGGGGGTTGTGAAGGGGTTTTGGGGAGTTGTGAGGGGGTCGTGAGGGAATCGTGAGGGGATAAGGGGGATTTAGGGGGTCATGAGGGGGTTGTGAAGGGGTTTTGGGGAGTCGTGAGGGGGTTTTGGGGGGTCGTGAGGGGATGAGGGGGTTGTAGAGGGTCGTGAGGGAATTGTGAGGGGGTTTTTGGGGACTGAGGGGATCGTGAGGGGATTTTAGGGGATCATGAGGGATGAGGAGGTTTTAGGGGGTCGTGAAGGGATGAGAAGTTTTTGGGGGGTCGTGAGGCGTTCATGAGGGGGGTGAGGAGATCCTGAGGGAATTTGGGGAGATTTGAGGGGTCCTGAGGGGATTGTGAGGGAATTTGGGGATCCTGAGGGGATCCTGAGGGAATTTGGGGAGATTTGGGGGATCCTGAGGGGATCGTGAGGGAATTTGGGGATCCTGAGGGAATTTGGGGAGATTTGAGGGGTCCTGAGGGGATCGTGAGGGAATTTGGGGAGATTTGGGGGTTCCTGAGGGGATCGTGAGGGAATTTGGGGATCATGAGGGGATCATGAGGGAATTTGGGGAGATTTGAGGGGATCCTGAGGGGATCGTGAGGGAATTTGGGGATCCTGAGGGGATTTGGGGGTCCTGGGGTAGGGTTCAACATCCTGGGAGTGGGGTCTGGAGCATCCCGTTAAATTTTAGGGGGGTTTTAGGGGTTTCTGAGGGATTTTTGGGGTGTTTGAGGGATTTTTGGGGTGTTTGAGGGGATCCTTGTGGCCTTTTGGGGTTTCTTTGCGATTTGGGATCCCCTCTGAACTTTAAAACATTTTCAGCACCTCCTGCCCCCAATTCCCCTCTTTTTAACCCCAAATTTTCTCTTCCAGCTCCCCCCCAACCTGGAACCATGGGGGTGCCCGGGGCGCTGTTTTTGGGGCTTTTTTGGGTGTTTTTTGGGGTTCCTCCCCGGGCAGGAGCCGGGGATTGCAAAGGGCAGCGGCAGATCCTGACGGGACCCCGCGGCTTCGTCACCGACGGCCCCGGCAACTACTCGGTCAACGGCAACTGCGAGTGGCTGATCCAGGGTGAGGGACCCCGAAATGCCCCGAATTCACCCCAAAATCGGGCTCGGCGCCCCCGAAAACCACAAAATCGGCCCCAAAACCCCCAAAATCCTGGGGGAAACGAAGCTTTCCCAGCCCAAACTCTGCCGTGAGGGGGAAGCGTGAGGGGGTGGTGGAGAGGGAGAGACCTCAAAATGTGCCCCCAAAACCCCTCAGATGCCCCAAAAACCCCCGAATTCACCCCAAAATCAGGCTCGGTGCCCCCAAAAACCCCAAAATCGGCCCCAAAAACCCCAAAATCCTGTGGGAAACGAAGCTTTCCCAGCCCAAGCTCTGCCGTGAGCGGGAGGCGTGAGTGGGTGGTGGAGGGGGACAGACCTCAAAATGTGCCCCCAAAACCCCTCAGATGCCCCAAAAACCCCCGAATTCACCCCAAAATCGGGCTCGGCGCCCCCGAAAACCTCAAAATCGGCCCCAAAAGCCCCAAAATCCTGTGGGAAACGAAACTTTCCCAGCCCGAACTCTGCCGTGAGGGGGAAGCGTGAGGGGGTGGTGGAGAGGGAGAGACTTCAAAATGTGCCCCCAAAACCTTCAGATGCCCCAAAAATCCCCAAATTCACCCCAAAATTTGGCTCGGCGCCCCCAAAAACCCCAAAATCCCCTCACAGAAACCCAATTTGGTTTTTCAAGATTTTTTTTGGGATTTCCCAATTTTAACAGGATTTTTTTGGGAATTTCAGGATTTTTTTTGGGATTTCGGGATTTTTTTTGGGATTTTGGGATTGTTATAGAATTTCCCAATTTTAACAGGATTTTTTTGGGAATTTCAGGATTTTTTTTGGGATTTCGGGATTTTTTTTGGGATTTTGGGATTTTTATAGAATTTCCCAATTTTAACAGGATTTTTTTTGGGATTTCAGGGTTTTTTTTGGGACTTCCCAATTTTAAGGGGATTTTTTTTGGGATTTCAGGAATTTTTTGGGATTTCCCAATTTTAACAGGACTTTTTTGGGATTTCCCAACTTTAACGGGTTTTTTTTGGGATTTTGGGATTTTTTTTGGATTTCCCAATTTTAGTGGGATTTTTTTTGGGATTTCAGGAATTTTTGTGGATTTCCCAATTATAACAGGATTTTTTTGGGATTTCCCAATTTCAGCGGGATTTTTTTTGGATTTCCCAATTTTAACACGATTTTTCCTGGGATTTCAGTGTTTTTTTGGTATTTCCCAGTTTTACTGGGATTTTTTTGGGATTTCCCAATTTTAACAGGATTTTTTTTGGGATTTCAGGATTTTTTTGGGATTTCCCAATTTTAACAGGATTTTTTTGGCATTTCCCAATTTTATCAGAATTTTTTTGGGATTCTCCAATTTTAACAGGATTTTTTTTTTTGGATTTTGGGATTTTTTGGGGATTTCCCAATTTTAGTGGGATTTTTTGGGATTTCCCGATTTTAGTGGGATTTTTTTGGGATTTCAGGAATTTTTGGGGATTTCCCAATTTTAACAGGATTTTTTTTTTTGGATTTCTCTATTTCAACTGTTTCTTTTTTTTTTTTTTTTTTTAGATTTTCCAATTTTAGTGGGATTTTTTCTGGGATTTTGGGATTTTTTTTGTGGATTTTGGTATTTTTTCGGGATTTTTTTGAGATTTCGTGATTTTAACAGGATTTTTTTTGGGATTTCAGGATTTTTTTTTGGGATTTCCCAATTTTAACAGGATTATATTGGGATTTTTTTGGGATTTCCCAATTTTATTGGGATTTTTTGGGATTTCCCAATTTTAACAAGATTTTTTGTTGGGATTTTGGGAATTTTTTGGGATTTCCCAAATTTAGTGTGATTTTTTTGGGATTTCAGGAATTTTTTGGGGATTTCCCAGTTTTAACGGGATTTTTTTGGGATTTTGGGATTCTTTGGGATTTCCCTATTTTAGTGGGAATTTTTATGGGATTTCAGGAATTTTTTGGGATTTCCCAATTTTAACAAGTTTTTTTAAGGATTTCTCTATTTCAATTTTTTTTTTTTTTTTTTGAGATTTCCCAATTTTAAGGGGACGTTTTTTCTGGGATTGTGGGATTTTTATGGGGATTTCGGGATTTTTATGGGATTTTTTTGAGATTTTGTGATTTTAACAGGAATTTTTTAGGGGAATTTCGGGATTTTTTTGGGGATTTTTTCTGGGATTTTGGTGTTTTTTTTGTGGATTTTGGTATTTTTTCGGGATTTTTTTGAGATTTCATGATTTTAACAGGATTTTTTTTGGGATTTGGGTTTTTTTTGTGTCCCCTGTGACCCCTCCCCACAGCCCCCAGCCCCCGTCACCGGATCCTGCTGAGCTTCACCTTCATGGACACGGAGTGCACCTACGATTACCTGTTCGTCTACGACGGCGCCTCCACCCGCAGCCCGCTGCTGGCGGCCCTGAGCGGGAGCAGCCTGCCCGCGCCCCTGGAGGCCACCTCGGGACAGGTGAGCACACCTGGGCACACCTGGGCACACCTGGGAACACACCTGGGCACACCTGGGGAAAGGTGGGACACAGCTGCTGGCGGCCCTGAGCGGGAGCAGCCTGCCCGCGCCGCTGGAGGCCACCTCGGGACAGGTGAGCACACCTGGGCACACCTGAGCCCCAATTAACCTCACCTGGGCACACCTGGGGAAAGGTGGGACACAGCTGCTGGCGGCCCTGAGCGGGAGCAGCCTGCCCGCGCCCCTGGAGGCCACCTCGGGACAGGTGAGCACACCTGGGCACACCTGAGATACACCTGGGCACACCTGAGCCCCAATTAACCTCACCTGGGCACACCTGGGCACACCTGGGCACACACCTGAGCACATGGGGAACACACCTGGGCACACCTGGGCACACACCTGAGCACATGGGGAACACACCTGGGCACACCTGGGAACACACCTGGGCACACCTGGGCACACCTGGGCACACCTGGGAACACCTGGGCACACACCTGGGCACACCTGGGGACTCACCTGGGAACACCTGGGCACACACCTGGGCACACCTGGGCACACTTGGGCACACCTGGGCACACCTGGGCACACACCTGGGCACACCTGGGCGATGCCAACTCCAACCCTTCCATCCCAAACCTCCCCAGATACCCCAAACCTCCTCTAATAACCCAAATTTCCTAAATTTCAGTGACGCCAACTCCAACCCTTCCCTCCCAAACCTCCCCAAACCATCCCAAACCTCCCCCAAAACCCCCAAAATTCCCAAATTTCACAATTTCCAGATGCTGCTGCACCTGTTCAGCGACGCCAACTCCAACCCTTCCATCCCAAACCTCCCCAAACCTCCCCAAAACCCCCAAAATTCCCAAATTTCCCTATTTTCCAGATGCTGCTGCACCTGTTCAGTGTCCCCAAACCCCCCAAAACCTCCCCAAAAACCCCCAAAAACCCCCAAAATTCCCGATTTTCCCCATTTTGCAGATGCTGCTGCACCTGTTCAGCAGCGCCAACTCCAACCTTTCCATCCCAAACCTCCCCAAACCTCCCTAAACCTCCCCCAAACCCCAAATTTCAGCGATGCCAACCCCAACCCTCCCATCCGAAACCCCCCCAAACCTCCCCAAACCCCCCAAACCCCCAAAATTCCCGATTTTCCCTATTTTCCAGATGCTGCTGCACCTGTTCAGCGACGCCAACTACAACCCTCCATCCCAAACCTCCCGAAACCTCTCCAAACCTCCCCAAAACTCCCCAAAACCCCAAATTTCCTAAATTTCATCCATGCCAACTCCAACCTTTTCATCCCAAACCTCCTTAAATTCCCTACATTTCATCCATGCCAACTCCAACCTTTCCATCCCAAACCCCCCCAAAAACCCCCTGAAACCCCCAAAGCCCCCAAAATTCCCGAATTTCCCATTTTCCAGATGCTGCTGCACCTGTTCAGCGACGCCAACTCCAACCCTTCCATCCCAAACCCCCCCAAAACCCCCCAAAACCCCCCAAATACCCCAAATTTCCTAAATTTCTTGCATGCCAACTCCAACCCTTCCATCCTAAACCTCCAAAAAGCCCTAAAATTCCAGAATACCCCAAATTTCCTAAATTTCAGTGACGCCAACTTCAACCCTTCCATTCCAAACCTCCCCAAAACCCCAAATTTCCTAAATTTCATCCATGCCAACTCCAACCTTTCCATCCCAAACCTCCCCAAATTTCCTAAATTTCATCCACACCAACTCCAACCCTTCTATCCCAAACCTCCCCAAACCTCCCCAAAACCCCCAAATACCCCAAATTTCCTAAATTTCAGTGACGCCAACTCCAATTTTTTCCATCCCAAACCTCCCAAAATTCCCGAATTTCCCAAAATTGACGAGTTTCCAGATGCTGCTGCACCTGTTCAGCGACGCCAACTCCAACCCTTCCATCCCAAACCTCCCCAAACCCCCAAATTCCCTAAATTTCAGCCATGCCAACTCCAACCCTTCCATCCCAAACCTCCCCAAACCTCCCCAAAGACCCAAATTTCCTAAATTTCATCCATGCCAACTCCAACCTTTCCACCCCAAACCTCCCAAAATTCCCAAATTTCCCAAAATTGATGAATTTCCAGATGCTGCTGCACCTGTTAAACGACTCCAACCCTTCCCTCCCAAACCTTCCCAAATTCCCTACATTTCATCCATGCCAACTCCAACCTTTCCATCCCAAACCTCCCCAAAACCCCCAAACCTCCCCAAAAGCCCCCGAATTTCCTGATTTTCCCGAAATTCCCTGTTTTCCAGATGCTGCTGCACCTGTTCAGCGACGCCAACTACAACCCTTCCATCCCAAACCCCCCAAATCCCCCCAAATACCGCAAATACCCCAAATTTTCTACATTTCATCCATGCCAACTCCAATCTTTCCATCCCAACCCCCCCAAAACCCCCAAACCTCCCCAAAACCCCAAATTTCCTAAATTTCTGTGATGCCAACTCCAATCTTTCCATCCCAAACCTCCCCAAAACCCCAAATTTCCTAAATTTCTGTGATGCCAACTCCAATCTTTCCATCCCAAACCTCCCCAAAACCCCCAAAATTCCCGATTTTCCCGATTTTCCCCATTTCCAGATGCTGCTGCACCTGTTCAGCGACGCCAACTACAACCTGCTGGGCTTCAACGCCTCGTGGCGGCTCTCGCTGTGTCCCGGCGGCTGCTCGGGCCGGGGCCGCTGCGTCCCGCCGGGGCTGTGCCGCTGCGCCCCGGGCTGGGCCGGGCCCGCCTGCACCGCCCGCTCCTGCAGCGCGCACTGCCGCCCGCCCGGCGGGGCCTGCAACCAGGTGCGTGTTTTGGGGTGATTTATGGGGTTTTTGGGGTTTTTAGAGGGGTTTTATGGGGATTTTTTTTGGGTTTTATGGGGGGTTTATGGAGGATTTTTCTGGGTTTTATAGAGGTTTTTTTGGGGTTTTATGGTGGTTTTTTGGGGGTTTTATGGAGCTTTTTATGGGGTTTTTAGGATGTGTTATGGAGTTTTTTTTGGGGGTTTTATGGGATTTTTTGGGGATTTTATGGAGGTTTTTTTTTGGGTTTTATGGGATTTTTTGGGGTTTTTTTGGAGGTTTTTATGGAGTCTTTTGGGGGTTTTATGGAGCTTTTTATGGGGTTTTGGGGGGTTTTATGGAGTTTTTTTTGGGGGGTTTTATGGGGTCGTTATGGGAGTTTTATGTGGGTTTTATAGGGGTTTTATGGGGTGATTTATGGGGTTTTTGGGGTTTTTATGGGGGTTTATGGGGGTTTGGGGTGCGTCCCGCCGGGGCTGTGCCGCTGCGCCCCGGGCTGGGCCGGGCCCGCCTGCACCGACCGCTCCTGCAGCGCGCACTGCCGCCCGCCCGGCGGGGCCTGCAACCAGGTGCGTGTTTTGGGGGGATTTATGGGGTTTTTGGGGTTTTTATGGGGTTTATGGGGGTTTTATGGGGGTGCGTCCCGCCGGGGCTGTGCCGCTGCGCCCCGGGCTGGGCCGGGCCCGCCTGCACCGACCGCTCCTGCAGCGCGCACTGCCGCCCGCCCGGCGGGGCCTGCAACCAGGTGGGGATTTTGGGGTGATTTATGGGGTTTTTGGGGTTTTATGGGGTGTTTTTGGGGGTGCGTCCCGCCGGGGCTGTGCCGCTGCGCCCCGGGCTGGGCCGGGCCCGCCTGCACCGACCGCTCCTGCAGCGCGCACTGCCGCCCGCCCGGCGGGGCCTGCAACCAGGTGCGTGTTTTGGGGAGATTTATGGGGTTTTTGGGGTTTTTATGGGGGTTTATGGGGTTTTATGGGGGTGCGTCCCGCCGGGGCTGTGCCGCTGCGCCCCGGGCTGGGCCGGGCCCGCCTGCGCCATCCCCGCCTGCAGCGCGCACTGCCGCCCGCCCGGCGGGGCCTGCAACCAGGTGCGGGTTTTTGGGGTTTTTGGGGTTTTTGGGGTTTTTGGGGGGTTTCGGGTTTTTTTTGGGGTTTTTATGGGGTGTTTTGGGGGTTTTATAGAGGCTTGTTTTGGTGTTTTATGGGTTGTTTTGCGGGTTTTTGGAGGTTTTTTGGGGGGTTTATGGGGTGTTTTGGGGGTTTTATGGGGATTTTATAAGTTTTTGGGGGTTTTTTTGGGGGTTTTATGGGGGTTTATGGGGGTTTTATGGGGGTTTTTGGGGGGTTTTTGGGGGGTTTTATGGGGTGTTTTGAGGGATTTATGGGGGTTTTATCGGGGTTTTATGGGGGTCTTTATGGGGGTTTATGGGGGTCTGCGGGTCCCTGCCTGCAGCGCCCGGCGGGGCCTGCAACCAGGTGCGTGTTTTGGGGGGATTTATGGGGTTTTTGGGGTTTTTATGGGGGTTTTATGGGGGTTTATGGGGGTGCGTCCCGCCGGGGCTGTGCCGCTGCGCCCCGGGCTGGGCCGGGCCCGCCTGCACCGACCGCTCCTGCAGCGCGCACTGCCGCCCGCCCGGCGGGGCCTGCAACCAGGTGCGGGTTTTGGGGGGATTTATGGGGTTTTTGGGGTTTTATGGGGGGATTTATGGGATTTTTTTTGGTTTTTTTGGGGGTTTATGGGGGTTTATGGGGGTGCGTCCCGCCGGGGCTGTGCCGCTGCGCCCCGGGCTGGGCCGGGCCCGCCTGCACCGCCCGCTCCTGCAGCGCGCACTGCCGCCCGCCCGGCGGGGCCTGCAACCAGGTGCGTGTTTTGGGGGGATTTATGGGGTTTTGGGGTTTTTAATGGGGGTTTTTATGGGATTTTTTTTGGTTTTTTTGGGGGGTTTTATGGGGGTTTTACAGAGGTTTTTTTCGAGTTTTTGGGGTTTTTTATGGCATGTTTTGAGGGATTTATAGGCCTTTTAGAGGGGTTTTATGGGATTTTTTGGGGTTTTTTGGGGGTTTTTGGGGGTTATATGGGTTGGTTTTGGGGTTTTTATGGGGGTTTTATGGAGGTTTTCTTTGGGTTTTATGGAGGTTTTTTGGGGGCTTTTACGGGATTTTTTGGTGGTTTTTTGGGGGTTTTTGGAGGTTTTTTGGGGGGTTTTATGGGGTGTTTTGGGGGTTTTTTGGGGTTTTTATGGGGTGTTTTGGGGGTTTTATAGAGGCTTGTTTTGGTGTTTTATGGGTTGTTTTGGGGGTTTTTGGAGGTTTTTAAGGGGTTTTTATGGGGTGTTTTGGGGGGTTTATGGGGGTTTTATGGAGGTTTTCTTTGGGTTTTATGGAGGTTTTTTGGGAGGTTTTATGGGGTGTTTTGGGGGTTTTATGGGGATTTTATAAGTTTTTGGGGGGTTTTTTGGAGGTTTTATGGGGGTTTATGGGGGTTTTATGGGGGTTTTTGGGTGGTTTTTGGGTGGTTTTTGGGGGGTTTTATGGGGTGTTTTGAGGGATTTATGGGGGTTTGATCGGGGTTTTATGGGGGTCTTTATGGGGGTTTATGGGGGTCTGCGGGTCCCTGCCTGCAGCGCCCAGCGGGGCCTGCAACCAGGTGCGTGTTTTGGGGGGATTTATGGGGTTTTTGGGGTTTTAATGGGTTTTTTTTGAGGTTTTATGGAGGATTTTTTGGGGTTTTATAGAGGTTTTTTGGGGGTTTTATGGTGGTTTTTTGGGGGTTTTATGGAGCTTTTTATGGGGTTTTTAGGATGTGTTATGGAGTTTTTTTTGGGGTTTTTTATGGGGTTTTTTGGGGGTTTTATGGATTTTTTTTTGGCTTTTATGGGATTTTTTGGGGGTTTTTTTGGAGGTTTTTATGGAGTCTTTTGGGGGTTTTATGGAGCTTTTAATGGGGTTTTTGGGGGTTTTATGGAGGTTTTTTTTGGGTTTTATGGGATTTTTTGGGGGTTTTTGGGGGTTTTATGGGGTCTTTTGGGGGTTTTATGGAGGTTTTTTTGGGGTTTTATGAGGTTTTTGGGGGGGTTTGGGTTTTATGGCATTTTTTCGGGGTTTATGGGGTTTCTTGTGGGTTTTATGGGATTTTTTGGGGGGTTTTATGGGATTTTCAGGGGGTTTTGGGGTCTGTGCTTGTGCCCAGCTCCACTGACAGGAGGTCAAAGGACACCTGGGGTCAGGTGAGACCCTAAAATTGGGGAGATTGGGGGCGTTTTGGGGGGTTTATGGGAGTTTTGGGGTTTTACGGGATTTTTTTCTTTAATGGGGGTTTTATTGTATTTTTTGGGGGTCTTATGGGGGGTTTTATGGGGGAATTTTATGGGGAAATTTCGGAACTGAGAGACCCCAAAACTCGTGTGCAGACCCCAAAATGGGACTGAGAGACCCCAAAACTTTTGGGACTGGAACTGAGAGACCCCAAAACTTGTGTGCAGACCCCAAAATGGAACTGAGAGACCCCAAAACTTGTGTGCAGACCCCAAAATGGAACTGAGAGACCCCAAAACTTGTGTGCAGACCCCAAAATGGAACTGAGAGACCCCAAAACTTGTGTGCAGACCCCAAAATGGAACTGAGAGACCCCAAAACTTGTGTGCAGACCCCAAAATGGGACTGAGAGACCCCAAAACTTGTGTGCAGACCCCAAAATGGGACTGAGAGACCCCAAAACTTGTGTGCAGACCCCAAAATGGAACTGAGAGACCCCAAAACTTGTGTGCAGACCCCAAAATGGGACTGAGAGACCCCAAAACTTGTGTGCAGACCCCAAAATGGGACTGAGAGACCCCAAAACTTGTGTGCAGACCCCAAAATGGAACTGAGAGACCCCAAAACTTGTGTGCAGACCCCAAAATGGGACTGAGAGACCCCAAAACTTGTGTGCGGACCCCAAAATCTCCCAAAATGGGACTGAGAGACCCCAAAACTTTTGGGACTGGAACTGAGAGACCCCAAAACTCGCGGGGACGCCCCAAAACCATCCGCTAGCCCCTTTTTAACCAAAATTTGTGTTTTTTTCAGGAGACGGGGGCGTGCGAGTGCCGGGCGGGGTTTTTGGGGTTCAGCTGCGACCTGCGGCTGGGGGACCCCCGGGGCGGGGGGCGCTGGTACCGCCTCAGCGACGGGGACCCCCAGTTCCGGCCCCGCGCCGCCGCCGCCGGCGCCGTGCTGCCGGGGACAGGGATGCTCTACGTGTTCGGGGGTGAGTTTGGGGCAAAAACGGGGAGAATTGGTGAAATTGGGGAGAAAATGGGGAAAATTGGGGAAAAAATGGGGAAAAAACAAAGTTTTGGGGGGATTGGGGGGGATTTTGGGGGCTGCCGGGGACCGGCATGCTCTACGTCTTCGGGGGTGAGTTTGGGGCAAAAACGGGGGGGTTTGGGCAAAAAAGGGAAAATTGGGGGAAAATGGGGGGAAAATTGGGGAAAAAACAGGGAAAAAAGGGGGAAAAAACAAAGTTTTGGGGGGATTTGGGGGGGATTTGGGGGCCATCGGCGCCGTGCTGCCGGGGACAGGGATGCTCTACGTGTTCGGGGGTGAGTTTGGGGGAAAAACAGGGAAAAACGGGAAAAACGGGGAAAAAACAGGGAAAAAATGGGGAAATATGGGGGAAAAATGGGGGGGGGAAATGTAAAAATTGGGGAAAAACCAAAGTTTTGGGGGCCATCGGCACCGTGCTGCCGGGGACCGGCATGCTCTATGTGTTCGGGGGTGAGTTTGGGGGAAAAACGGGGGGTTTTGGGCAAAAAAGGGGAGAAAATGGGAAAAAATTGAAAAATATGGGGAGAAAATGGGGAAAAATCAAAGTTCTGGGAGGATTTGGGGGGGATTTGGAGGCCATCGGCACCGTGCTGCCGGGGACAGGCATGCTCTACGTGTTCGGGGGTGAGTTTGGGGGAAAAACGGGGAAAATTGGGAAAAACGAGGAAAAAATGGGAAAATATGGGGGAAAATTGGGGAGAAATTTGGGAAAAAGTGGGGAAAAAACAAAGTTTTGGGGCCATCAGCGCCATGCTGCCGGGGACAGGGATGCTCTACGTGTTCGGGGGTGAGTTTGGGGGAAAAACGTGGGGTTTTGGGCAAAAAAGGGGAAAAAACGGGGAAAAACGGGGAAAAAACAAAGTTTTGGGGGGATTTGGGGGGATTTGGGGGGGATTTGGGGGGGGATTTTGGGGGGATTTGGGGGCCATCGGCGCCGTGCTGCCGGGGACCGGCATGCTCTACGTGTTCGGGGGTGAGTTTGGGGGAAAAACGGCAAAAAACGGGAAAAACGGGGAAAAAATGGGAAAAAATGGGGAAAAACGGGGAAAAATTGGGGAAAAAATGGGGAAAAACCAAAGCTTTGGGGGTCATTGGTGCTGTGCTGCCGGGGACAGGCATGCTCTACGTCTTCGGGGGTGAGTTTGGGGGAAAAACGGCAAAAAACGGGAAAATTGGGGAAAAAATGGTGAAAAATGGGGAAAAAACAGGGAAAAAATGGGGAAATATGGGGAAAAAATGGGGAAAAATTGGGGAAAAGCCAAAGTTTTGGGGGCCATCGGCGCCGTGCTGCCGGGGACCGGCATGCTCTACGTGTTTGGGGGTGAGTTTGGGGGAAAAACGGGGGGTTTTGGGCAAAAAAGGGGAAAACTGGGGAAAATGGGGAAAAATTGGGGAGAAAATGGAGAAAAAACAAAGTTTTGGGGGGATTTGGGGGGGATTTGGGGGCCATCGGCGCCGTGCTGCCGGGGACAGGCATGCTCTACGTGTTCGGGGGTGAGTTTGGGGGAAAAATGGGGGAAATTGGGAAAAATGGGGAAAAAATTGGAAAAAATTGAAAAATATGGGGAGAAAATGGGGAAAAAATGGGGAAAAAATGGGGAAAAATGGGGAAAAATTTGGGAAAAACCAAGGTTTTGGGGGTCATCAGTGCTGTCCTGCCAGGGACTGGGATGCTCTACGTGTTCGGGGATGAGTTTGGGGGAAAACGGGGAGAAAACGGGAAAAAATGGGGAAAAAATGGGGAAAAAACGGGGAGAAAATGGGGAAAATTCGGGAAATATGGGGAGAAAATGGGGAAAAACGGGGAGAAAATGGGGAAAATAGGGAAAAAGGGGAGTGGAGAAAACTGGGAGAAAATGGGGGGAAATAGGGAAAAATAGGAAAAAAATTAGGGCAAAATAAGGAAAAATAGGGGGAAGTGGGAAAAAAATGATGAAATATGGGGAGAAATGGGGAAAAATGGGGAAAAGGGTAAAATGGGGGAAATGGGGGGATTTGGGGTAGAAATGGGAGTGATTTGGGGAGTTTTTGGGGAGAATTAGGGAATTTTGGGAAAAAATGGCAAAAAAATTGGATTTTGGGGGGGTTTGAGGGGATTTTGGGGGGATTTGAGGGGATTTTTTTGGGGGTTTTTTGGGGGGTTTTTAATGGGAATTTTTGGGGTTTATTTTGGATTTTGGATTTTGGATTTTTTTTTGGATTTTGGGGAATTTCGGGAGGGGTCCTGAGCGTGTCCCCCTCCCCAGGACTGGACCTGAACGAGGCCCTGGGGGATTTTTTGGTCTTTTTTTGGGTTTTTTGAGGATTTTTTGGGGTTTTTTTTGGGGTTTTTAATGGGAATTTTTTTGGGGTTTTTTCGGTGGATGGATTTATGGGATTTGGGGAATTTGGGGAGGGGTCCTGAGCGTGTCCCCCTCCCCAGGACTGGACCTGAACGAGGCCCTGGGGGATTTTTTGGTCTTTTTTTGTGTTTTTTTGAGGATTTTTTTGGGGTTTTTAATGGGAATTTTTTGGGGTTTTTTTTGGTGGATGGATTTAGGGGATTTGGGGAATTTGGGGAGGGGTCCTGAGCGTGTTCCCCTCCCCAGGACTGGACCTGAACGAGGCCCTGGGGGATTTTTTGGTCTTTTTTTGGGGTTTTTTGGGGTTTTTTTGGGGTTTTTAATGGAAATTTTTTGGGGTTTTTTTGGATTTTGGATTTTTTTTGGATTTTGGGAAATTTGGGGAGGGGTCCTGAGCGTGTCCCCCTCCCCAGGACTGGACCTGAACGAGGCCCTGGGGGATCTGGTCAGGTACAACTTCAGCTCCAACCGCTGGGAACGAATCCCTGAGACCCCCGGGAGCCCGGCCCCGGTGAGACCCCTCCCCAAATTACCCAAAATACCCAAAAATACCCCAAAATACCCCAAAATATCCCTGCCCCGGTGAGACCCCTCCCCAAAATACCCAAAAAACCCCAGAAATACACCAAAATACCCAAAATACCCCAAAAATACCCCAAAAATCCCGGCCCCGGTGAGACCCCTCCCCAAAATACCCAAAATACCCCAAAATATCCCAAAAATATCCCAAAAATACCCCAAAATACCCCAAAAATACCCCAAAAATACCCCAAAAATCCCTGCCCCAGTGAGACCCCTCCCCAAAATACCCTAAATACCCCAAAATACCCCAAAAATCCCTGTCCCGGTGAGACCCCTCCCCAAAATACCCAAAATACCCCAAAATATCCCAAAATATCCCAAAATACCCCAAAATACCCCAAAAATCCCTGCCCTGGTGAGACCCCTCCCCAAATTACCCAAAATACCCTAAAATACCCCCAAATATCCCAAAAATCCCGGCCCCGGTGAGACCCCTCCCCAAATTACCCCAAAATATCCCAAAATACCCCAAATACCCCAAAATACCCCAAAAATCCCTGCCCCGGTGAGACCCCTCCCCAAAATACCCCAAAATACCCCAAAATACCCCCAAATACCCCAAAAATCCCTGCCCCGGTGAGACCCCTCCCCAAATTACTCTAAATACCCCAAAATACCCCAAAATACCCCAAAAATCCCTGCCCCGGTGAGACCCCTCCCCAAAATACCCCAAAATACCCCAAAATACCCCAAAAATCCCAGCCCCGGTGAGACCCCTCCCCAAATTACTCCAAATACCCCAAAATACCCCAAAATACCCCAAAAATCCCGGCCCCGGTGAGACCCCTCCCTAAATTACCCTAAATACCCCAAAATACCCCCAAATACCCAAAAAATACCCCAAAAATCCCTGCCCCGGTGAGACCCCTCCCCAAAATACCCCCAAATACCCCAAAAATCCCTGCCCCGGTGAGACCCCTCCCCAAATTACCCAGATATCCCCCAAATAACCCAAAAATATCCCAAAATACCCCGAAAATCCGAATGCCCCTAAATTTTCCCCCAAATCCCCCCAAGGCCCCCCAAACTCCCCCCAAGCCCCTCCAAAACCCCAAACCCCCCCAAATTTCCCCCCAAACCCCCCCAAATTTCCCCCCTAACCCCCCCAAATTTCCCCAAAATCCCCCCAAACTTCCCCCAAACCCCCCCAAAACCCCAAACCCCCCCAATCCCCCCAAATTTCCCCAAACCCCCCAAATTCCCCCCAAGACATCAAAGCCCCTCAAATGTCCCCCCAAACCCCCACAAATTTCTCCCCAAACCTTCCCCAAACCCCCCAAATTTCCCCCAACACCCCCCAAACCCCCGAATTTTCCCCCAAAACCCCGATCCCCCCCAAATTTCCCCCCTAAACCCCAAACCCCCCCAAATTTCCCCCAAACCCCCCCAAATTTCCCCCCTAAACCCCAAACCCCCCCAAATTTCCCCCCAACCCCCCCCAAACCCCCCCAAACCCCCCCAAATTTCCCCCAAACCCTCCCAAAACCCTGATCCCCCCCAAATTTTCCCCAAACCCCCCCAAATCCCCCCAAATTTCCCCCCAAATCCCCCCAAAACCCCGATCCCCCCCAAATTTTCCTCCAAACTCCCAAATTTCCCCCCAAACCGCCCCTAAACCCCAAAGCCCCCGAAATTTCCCCTCTAACCCCCCCAAATTTCCCCCCAAATCCACTCCAAAGACTCCAAATCACGCCAAATTTCCCCCCTAACCCCCCAAATTCCCCCCCAAAACCCCAAAGCCCCCCAAATTCACCCCCAAACCCCCCAAATTTCCCCCAAATCCCCCAAACTCCCCCCAAATTTCCCCACAACCCCCCCAAACCCCCCCAAATTTCCCCTCAAACCCTCCCAAAACTCCGATCCCCCCCAAATTTCCCCCCAAATCCACTCCAAAGACCCCAAATCACCCCAAACTCCCCCAGCCCCCCAAATTTCCCCCCAAACCCCCCCAAATTTTCCCCCCAAATCCACTCCAAAGGCCCCAAATCACCCCAAATTTCCCCCCAAACCCCAAACCTTCCCCAAACTCCCCCCAAACCCCCCCAAAACCCCCCAAATTTTCCCCAAACTCCCCCCAAATCCCCCCAAATCCCCCCCAAACTCCCCCCAAAGCCCCCCAAACCCCCCCAAATTTCCCCAAATCCCCCCAAATCCCCCCAAATCCCCCCAAACCCCCCCAAACTCCCCCCAAACTCCCCCCAAATTTCTCCCAAACTCCCCCCAAAACTACCAAACTCCCTGAAATTCCCCCCCAATCCCCCCAAATTTCCCCCCTAACACCCCAAATTCCCCCCAAATTTCCCCCAAACTCCCCCCAAACCCCCCCAAAACCCCGATCCCCCCCAAATCCCCCCAAAATCCCCCCAAACCCCCCAAATCCCCCCAAATTCCCCCCTGACCCGCCCCCTCCCCGCAGGCCGCCCGTCACTCGCACTCGGCCGTGGCCTGGGGGGACACGCTGCTGATTTTCGGGGGGCAGCTGCGGGGGGGGGCCCTGACCAACGACCTGTGGGGCTGGGGACCCCCCGAGGAGGGGCGGGGGTCCCCCGAGGAGGGGCGGGGGTCCCCCGGGGGGGGCTGGCGGCTGCTGCAGCCCCCCCAAAACGGAGCCCACGGACCCCCGGGGCTGGCCGGGCACGCGGCCGCGCTGGTGGATGGGGACTGGCTCTACGTCTTCGGGGGTGAGTGGGGGGCTTGGGGGGATTTGGGGGGTTGTTTGGGGTTTTTGGGGGGTTTGGGGGGTTTGGGGGGTTTGGGGGGTTTTTGGGGGGTTTGGGGGGGATTTGGGGGGATTTGGGGGGCATTTGGGGGATTTGGGGGGGCTGGCCGGGCACGCGGCCGCGCTGGTGGATGGGGACTGGCTCTACGTCTTCGGGGGTGAGTGGGGGGCTTGGGGGGATTTGGGGGGTTTTGGGGGGGATTTGGGGGGTTTGGGGGGGTTATTTGGGATTTTTGGGGGGTTATTTGGGATTTTGGGGGATTTGGGGGGGCTTGGGGGGGATTTGGGGGGGCTTGGAGGGGCTGGCCGGGCACGCGGCCGCGCTGGTGGATGGGGACTGGCTCTACGTCTTCGGGGGTGAGTGGGGGTTTGGGGGGGATTTGGGGGGGTTATTTGGGGTTTTTGAGGGGGTTATTTGGGGTTTTTGGGGGTCTGGGGGGGATTTGGGGGGATTTGGGGAAGGTTTGGGGGGATTTGGGGGGGCTGGCCGGGCACGCGGCCACGCTGGTGGATGGGGACTGGCTCTACGTCTTTGGGGGTGAGTGGGGGGTTTGGGGGGGTTATTTGGGATTTTGGGGGGTTATTTGGGGTTTTTGGGGGGTTTTGGGGGTTATTTGGGTTTTTTGGGGGGATTTGGGGGGGATTTGGGGAAGGTTTGGGGGCTTGGAGGGACTGGCCGGGCACGCGGTCACGCTGGTGGATGGGGACTGGCTCTACGTCTTTGGGGGTGAGTGGGGGTTTGGGGGGGATTTGGGGGGAAATTTGGGGTTATTTGGGGTTTTAGGGGGTTTTTGGGGGGTTTGGGGGGCTTTGGGGGGGTTTGGAGGGGTTTTGGGGGGGATTTGGGGGGTTTGGGGAAGGTTTGGGGGTTTTTTAGGGGAGGTTTGGGGAAGGTTTCGGGGAGTTTGGGGGGATTTGGGGGGGTTTTGGGGGGGATTTGGGGGGTTTTGGGGGGGATTTGGGGGAGATTTGGAGGAGATGTGGGGGTTGTTTGGGATTTTGGGGGGGTTTGGGGGACTCTGGGGGGGATTTTGGGGGGATTTGGGAGGATTTGGGGAAGGTTTGGGGAGTTTGGGGGTTTTTGGGGGGTTTGGGAGAGGATTTGGGGGGGTTTTGGGGAAGGTTTGGGGAGTTTGGGGGGGATGTGGGGGGATTTGTGGGAGTTTCAGGGGGGATTTGGGGAAGGTTTGGGGGGCTTGGGGGGCTTTTGGGGGGGATTTGGGGGAGATTTGGGGGGAATTTTGGAATTCTTTGAGCTTTTTGGGGGGTTTAGGGGGATATTTCGGGGTTTGGGGGTTTTAGGGGAAATTTTGGGGGATTTGGGGGGCTTTTGGGGGGAATTTTGGAATTATTTGGAATTATTTCTGGGATTTTTGGCCTTTCCCAACTTCCCAAATCTCCTCAAAATTTGGGATTTTACCCCCAATATTGGCAATAATCCCCCAAAATTTGGGATTTTCCCCTCAAAATATGCGATTTTTTCCCCAAAACTTGGGATTTTTTCCCCGTAAAATTGTGGATTTTCCCCAAAATTCAGGATTTTTCCCCAAAATCGTGGATTTCCCGTTCCAGGCCGCACCTCCTCTGATGTGTTCTCCCCGGATCTGTTCCGGCTGCTCCTGCCCGGGGGTCCCTGGGAGGAATTTGGGGCAAATTCGGGTCTCAAAATCCCAATTTTTTTGAGCTGTTTCCTGGGATTTTTGGCCTTTCCCAACTTCCCAGATCCCCTCAAAATTTGGGATTTTTCCCCCAAAATCCATGATTTTCCCCTTTCCAGGCTGTGTTCTCCCATTTTAGGGCAGATTTTGGGGCCTTTCGAGGCGATTTTGAGTGGGATTTTTGCAGAATTTGGGTCTCTAAAATTCCCAATTTTTTTGAGCAGTTTCCTGGGATTTTTGGCCTTTCCCAACTTCCCAAATCCCCTCAAAATACGGGATTTTCACCCCAAAATTCAGGATTTTCCCCCCAAAATATGTGATTTTCTCCCCAAAATATGGGATTTCCCCCCCAAAACTTGGGATTTTTTCCCCCAAAATTCAAGATTTTTCCCCCCAAAAGTCAGGATTTTTTCCCCCCAAATATGGGATTTTCCCCCCCAAAATTCAGGCGTTTTTTTCCCCCAAAAATCAGGATTTTCCCCCCAAAATTTGAGATTTTCTCCACAAAATTCAGGATTTTCCCCCCAAAATCTGGGATTTTCCCCCCAAAACTTGGAGTTTTTTTCGTCCAAAATTCAGGATTTTTTTTCCCAAAATTCAGGAGTTTTTTCCCCCCAAATTTAGGAATTTTCCCCCAAAATATGCGATTTTCCCCCCAAAATATGCGATTTTCTCCCCAAAACTCGGGATTTTCCCCCCAAAATATGCGATTTTCTCTCCAAAATTCAGGATTTTCCCCCCAAAATATGTGATTTTCTCCCCAAAATATGGGATTTCCCCCCCAAAACTTGGGATTTTTTCCCACCAAATTTCAGGATTTTTCCCCCCAAAATTCAGGATTTTTTTCCCCCCAAATATGGGATTTCCGCCCCAAAATTCAGGAGTTTTTTTCCCCAAAAAATCAGGATTTTCCACCTAAAAATCAGGATTTTCCCCCCAAAATATGCGATTTTCTCCCCAAAACTCGGGATTTTTTCCCCTAAAATTCAGGATTTTTTTCCAAAATCCAGTATTTTCCCCAAAATTCCGTATTTTCCCCAAACCCCCTGATTTCCCCCCAAATTTCCCGTTCCAGGCCGCACCTCCTCAGACGTGTTCTCCCCGGATCTGTTCCGGCTGCTGCTGCCCGGGGGTCCCTGGGAGCGCGTCGGGGTCTGGGGGGGCAAAGCCCCGCGGGCGGCGGGACACGCCCTGCTCTTCCTGCCCCACGCCCGCAGCCTGCTGGTGTACGGGGGGCACCGGCCCTCCACCGCCAGGTCTGGACTGGTTTGTACTGGGAGGGACTGGGAGGGACTGGGAGAGAGATTTGGGGGAGATCTGGGGGGGTTTGGGGGAGGTTTGGGGGCATATATGGGATTTTAGATGGATTTTACATTGATTTTAGGGGGAATTTAGGGGATTTTAGGGAGCTTTTATGGGGATTTTGGGGTAGTGAAAGGGACTGGGATGAACTGGTTTATACTGGTTTGTACTGGGAGGGACTGGTTTGTACTGGGAGGGAGATTTGGGGGGGTTTGGGGGGGTTTGGGGGGGCAAAGCCCCGCGGGCGGCGGGACACTCCCTGCTCTTCCTGCCCCACGCCCGCAGCCTGCTGGTGTACGGGGGGCACCGGCCCTCCACCGCCAGGTCAGCACTGGTTTGTACTGGTTTGTACTGGGAGGGACTGGGAGAGAGAGCTGGGGGGGTTTGGGGGAGGTTTGGGGGGGTTTTAGGGGGTTTGGGGGGTTTTGGGGGGTTCTGCTGTTCCTGCCCCACGCCCGCAGCCTGCTGCTCTACGGGGGGCACCGGCCCTCCACCGCCAGGTCTGTACTGGTTTGTACTGGTTTGTACTGGGAGAGAGAGCTGGGGGAGTTTAGAGGGGTTTTGGGGGGGTTTTAGGGGATTTTGGGGGGATTTTATTGGATTTTATTGGGATTTTGGGGAGAATTTAGGGGATTTTAGGGGATTTTGCGGTGGTGAGAGGTACTGGTTTATACTGGTCTGTACTGGTTCGTTACTGGTTTGTTACTGGTTTGTACTGGGAGGGACTGGTTTGTACTGGGAGGGACTGGTTTGTACTGGGAGGGACTGGGAGGGAGATCTGGGGGGGGTTTGAGGGGGTTTTAGTGGGTTTAGAGGGGTTTCAGATGGGATTTTAGGGGATTTTATGGAGGTTTGATGGGATTTTGGGGTAGTGAGCGAGACTGGTTTGTACTGGTTTGTTATTGGTTTGTTACTGGTTTGTACTGGTTTGTACTGGTTTGTACTGGGAGAGAGATTTGGGGGGGTTTGGGGGAGATTTGAGGGAGATTTGGGGGGGTTTTGGGGGGTTCTGCTCTTCCTGCCCCACTCCCGCAGCCTGCTGGTGTACGGGGGGCACCGGCCCTCCACCGCCAGGTCTGCACTGGTTTGTACTGGGAGGGACTGGGAGGGACAGCTGGGGGGCTTTGGGGGAGATTTAGGGGGAATTTAGGGCCTTTTATGGGATTTTAGTGGGATTTTGGGTGGGAATTTGCTGATTTTGGTGCTTTTTTGGTGCAGGTTCAGTGTGAGGGTGAACTCCTCCGACCTTTTCCACCTTTGCCTTTTTCTGGGCTCCTTTTTAGGGGAAACTTTTGGGATTTTTGGGCTCATTTTGGGCTCATTTTGGGGTAATTTGTGGGAATTTTGAGGTCTTGTTTTGAGGGATTTTTGTGGGGTTTTATTTTGGATTTTTCTGATATTTTCCCCGTTTTTTCCCCGTTTTTTCTCATTTTTTCTCCATTTTTTCTCATTTTTTGGTCATTTTTTCGCTGGGAGCTCTGTTTTTTCCCCGTATTTTTGGTATTTTGGGTGGGAATTTGCTGATTTTGGTCCTTTTTTTGGTGCAGGTTCAGTGTGAGGGTGAACTCCTCCGACCTTTTCCACCTGGAGCGGCGCCACTGGAGCTCCCTGAGGGCCCGGGGGGAATTTGGGGGGGGGTCCCAGGGGGGACCCCGGGAAAGAGCCTTCCACAGCGCCTCCCTCATCGGGGACTACATGGTGGTGTTCGGTGAGAGCCCAAAATTCCCGCAATTCCCAAAAAAATTCCCGAAAAAATGGGAAAAACACAAAAATCCCCATCAAAATCCCATTAAAAATGGTGAAAATCCCATAAAATCCACAAAAATCCCAAATTTTGGGGAATTTTTATGGGGTTTCTGAAGGTGTCGCCATCACTGGGAGATTTGGGGAGAGCCCAGATCCCAAAATTCCCAGAATTCCCAAAAAAATTCCCAAAAAAATTCCCAAAAAATGGGAAAAAACAAAAAATGCCCATCAAAATCCCATTAAAAATGGTGAAAATCCCATAAAACCCCACAAAAATCCCAAATTTTGGGGGTTCGGGGCCTCCCTCATTGGGGACTACATGGTGGTGTTCGGTGAGAGCCCAAAATTCCCGCAATTCCCGGGAAAATTCCCGAAAAAACGGGAAAAACCCAAAAATCCGCATCAAAATCCCATTCAAAATGGTGAAAATCCCATCGAATCCCAAATTTTGGGGAATTTTTATAGAGTTCTGAAAGTGTCGCCATCACTGGGAGATTTGGGGAGAGCCCAGATCCCAAAATTCCCAGAATTCCCAAAAAAAAATCCCAAAAACATGGGAAAAATGCAAAAATCCCCATCAAAATCCCATTCAAAATGGTGAAAATCCCATAAAATCCCAAATTTTGGGGAATTTTTACAGACTTCTGAAGGTGTCACCATCACTGGGAGATGTGGGGAGAGCCCAGATCCCAAAATTCCCAGAATTCCCGAAAAATTCCCCAAAAAAAAAGGGAAAAATCCAAGAATTCCCATCAAAATCCCATTAAAATGGTGAAAATCCCATCAAAATCCCAAATTTTGGGTAATTTTTATAGAGTTTAGATGGTGTCGCCATCACTGGGAGATTTGGGGAGAGCCCAGATCCCAAAATTCCCGCAATTCCCAAAAAAATGGGAAAAATCCCCAAAATCCCATAAAAATCCAATTAAAAATCAGCAAAATCCCACAAAAATCCCAAATTTGGGGAATTTTTGGGGTTTCTGAAGGTGTCATCATCACTGGGAGATGTGGGGAGAGCCCAGATCCCAAAATTTCTGGAATTCCCAATAAAATTCCCAAAAAAAATTTCCAAATTCCCAGAAAAATTCCATAAAAAATGGGGCAAAAAAACCCCAAAGATTCCATTTTTTCCCCAAAATTCACCTGATTTTCTCCGGGTTTTTTTTTGGGAATTCTCTCCCTATTCCCCCAACAATCCCAAAATTTGGGATAAATCCCCAAATCCCCAAAGTTTTGGGAAAAAAGATGGGAAACCCTCCAAAATGGGTGTAAAAACTCCATTTTCCCCCCAAAATTCCCTTTTTTCCCAAAAATCCGCCCAATTTTCTCTGGGTTTTTTTTGGGAATTCTCTCTCAACCCCCCCAACAATCCCAAAATTTGGGATAAACCCCCAAAATCCCCAAAGTTTTGGGAAAAAAGTCGGAAAACTCTTCAAGATGGGCGTAAAACCAAAAAAAAAATTCAATTTTTTCCCCCAAAAATTCGATTTTTCGTCAAATTTCGCCCAATTTTCTCCGGGTTTTTTTTGGGAATTGCCTCCCAAGGCCCTCCAGAATCCCAAAATTTGGGATAAATCCCCAAAATCCCCAAAGTTTTGGGAAAAAAGATGGGAAGCCCTCCAAAATGGGTGTAAAAACTCAATTTTTCCTCAAAAGTTCATTTTTTCCCCAAAATTTGCCCAATTTTTGCTGGATTTTTTTTGGGAATTCTCTCTCAACCCCCCCAGCAATCCCAAATTTCGGGATAAATCCCCAAAGTTTTGGGAAAAAAGAGAGGAAACTCTTCAAGATGGGTGTAAAACCAAAAAAAAATATTCAATTTTTTCCCCCAAAAATTCGATTTTTCGCCAAATTTTGCCCGATTTTCTCCGGGTTTTTTTTGGGAATTCCCTCCCAAGGCCCCCCAGAATCGGGAATTTGGGATAAAGGCCCGGAATTGCGGGATTTTAGGGGGAAACGTGCACACGCACTACCACGAGGAGAAGTGCTACGAGGAGGAGCTGCACTTTTACCACCTGCGCTGCCACCGCTGGAGCCGCGCGCAGCCGCTGCGCCTCGGACACGGTGCGGGCAAAAACGGGCGGAAATCGGGCAAATTGGGCAGTGGGGGAAAATGGGTGAAATTTGGGCAAAATTCAGGTGAAATTTGGGTGAAAATCGGGTGGAAATTGGGTGAAAATCGGGTGAAAAATGGGCAAAATTCAGGTGAAAATTGAGTTAAAAATGGGCAAAGTTCAGGTGAAATTTCGGTGGAAATTGGGTGGAAATCGTGTGAAAATTGGGTGAAAAATGGGCAAAATTCAGGTGAAATTTGGGTGGAAATTGGGTGAAAAATGGGTGAGATTTGGGGGGAATTTGGGTGAAAATTGGGTGGAAATCAGATGAGAATTGGGTGAAAATTGGGCAAAATTTGGGTGAAAATGGGACAAAATTTAGGTGAAAATTGGATGAAAATCGGGTGAAAAATGGGCAAAATTCAGGTGAAATTTGGGTGGAAATTGGGTGGAGATTGGGTGAAAATCAGATGGAGATTGGGTGAAAATGGGGCAAAATTTGGGTGAAAATCGGGGGAATTTGGGTGAAAATTGGGAGGAGCTGCACTTTTACCACCTGCGCTGCCACCGCTGGAGCCGCGCGCAGCCGCTGCGCCTCGGACACGGTTCGGGCAAAAACGGGCGGAAATCGGGAAAATCGGGCAGTGGGGGAGAGCGGGGGAAAATGGGCAAAATTCAGGTGAAATTTGGGTGAAAATCGGGTGAAATTTGGGTGAAAATCGGGTGAAATTTGGGTGAAAAATGGGTGAAAAATGGGCAAAATTTAGGTGAAAATTGGGTGGAAATTGGGTGAAAAATGGGCAAAATTCAGGTGAAATTTGGGTGAAAATCAGATGAGAATCGGGTGAAAATTGGGGAAAATCTGGGTGGAAATGGGACAAAATTTGGGTGAAAATTGGGGGGAATTTGGGTGAAAATTGAGGGAATTGGGGTGGAAAATGGGTGAAAATTTGGGGAATTGGGGTGAAAAATGGGCAAAATTCAGGTGAAATTTGGGTGGAAATTGGGTGAAAAATGGGTGAAAATCAGGTGAAGAATGGGCAAAATTCAGGTGAAATTTGGGTGGAAATTGGGTGAAAATTGGGGGAGAATCTGGGTGAAAATGGGGCAAAATTTGGGTGAAATTTGGGTGGAAATCGGGTGAAAAATGGGCAAAATTTGGGTGAAAATCGGGGGAAAATTGGGTGAAAATTGGGGTGAAATTGGGGGAATTTGGGTGAAAAGTGGGGAAAGTTCGGCTGAAAGTTCGGTGAAAATTGGGAGGACTTTGGGTGAGAAATGGGTGAAATTTGGGTGAAAATTGGGTGAAAATTGGGTTAGAATTGGGGGGAATTTGGGTGAAAATTGGGGGAAATTTGGGTGAAAATTGGGTGGAAATCAGATGAGAATTGGGTGAAAATGGGACAAAATTTGGGTGGAAATGGGACAAAATTTAGGTGAAAATTGGATGAAAATCGGGTGAAAAATGGGCAAAATTCAGGTGAAATTTGGGTGGAAATTGGGTGGAGATTGGGTGAAAATCAGATGGAGATTGGGTGAAAATGGGGCAAAATTTGGGTGAAATTCGGGTGGAAATTGGGTGAAAGATGGGTGAGATTTGGGGGGAATTTGGGTGGAAATTGGATGAAAAATGGGCAAAATTCAGGAGAAAATTGGGTGGAATTTGGGTGAAAATTGGGGGGAATTTGGGTGGAAAATGGGCAAAATTCAGGTGAAATTTGGGTGGAAATTATGTGAAAAATGGGCAAAATTCAGTTGAAATTTGGGTGGAAATTGGGTGGAAATCAGATGAAAATCTGGTGAAAATTGGGGAGAATCTGGGTGAGAATGGGGCAAAATTTCGGTGAAAATCGGGGGGAAATTGGGTGAAAATTAAGGGGAATTTGGGTGAAAATTGGGGGGAATTTGGGTCAAAATTGGGGGGAATTTGGGTGAAAATTGGGGAGAATTTGGGTGGAAAATGGGTGAAAATTGGGGGAATTTGGGTGAAAATTGGGAGGAGCTGCACTTTTACCACCTGCGCTGCCACCGCTGGAGCCGCGCGCAGCCGCTGCGCCTCGGACACGGTTTGGGAAAAAACGGGCGGAAATCGGGAAAATCGGGCAGTGGGGGAAGAGGGGGGGAAAATGGGTGAAAAATGGGTGAAAAATGGGCAAAATTCAGGTGAAAATCGAGTTAAAAATGGGCAAAGTTCAGGTGAAATTTGGGTGGAAATTGAGTGAAAAATGGGCAAAATTCAGGTGAAATTCGGGTGGAAATTGGGTGAAAAATGGGTGAGATTTGGGGGGAATTTGGGTGAAAATTGGGTGGAAATCAGATGAGAATTGGGTGAAAATTGGGCAAAATTTGGGTGAAAATGGGAAATTGGGGGGAATTTGGGTGGAAAATGGGTGAAAATCAGGTGAAAAATGGGCAAAATTCAGGTGAAATTTGGGTGAAAATTGGGTGGAAAATGGGTGAAAATCAGGTGAAAAATGGGGGGAATTTGGGCGGAAATCAGATGAAAATTGGGTGAAAATTGGGCAAAATTTGGGTGAAAATGGGAAATTGGGTGAAAATTGGGTGGAAATTGGGTGAAAAATGGGCAAAATTCAGGTGAAATTTGGGTGGAAATTGGGTGAAAATCGGGTGAAAAATGGGCAAAACTCAGGTGAAAATCGGGTGAGAATTGGGTGAAAATTGGGGGAGAATCTGGGTGAAAATGGGGCAAAATTTGGGTGAAAATCCGGGGGAAATTGGGTGAAAATTGGGGGGAATTTGGGTGAAAATTAGGGGGAATTTGGGTGAAAAATGGGTAGAATTTGAGTCAAAATTGGGGAGAATTTGGGTGGAAATTGGGGGGAATTTGGGTGAAAATTGGGGAGAATTTGGGTGGAAAATGGGTGAAAATTGGGGGAATTTGGGTGAAAATTGGGAGGAGCTGCACTTTTACCACCTGCGCTGCCACCGCTGGAGCCGCGCGCAGCCGCTGCGCCTCGGACACGGTTCGGGCAAAAACGGGCGGAAATCGGGAAAATCGGGCAGCGGGGAAAGAGGGGGGAAAGCGGGGGGAAAATTTGGGTGAAAATCGGGTGAAAATTGGGTGAAAATCGGGTGAAAAATGGGTGAAAAATGGGCAAAATTCAGGTGAAATTTGGGTGGAAAATGGGTGAAATTTGGGTGAAAATCGGGTGGAAATCGGGTGAAAATCGGGTGAAAAATGGGTGAAAAATGGGCAAAATTCAGGTGAAAATCGAGTTAAAAATGGGCAAAGTTCAGGTGAAATTTGGGTGGAAATTGGGTGAAAATTGGGTGAAAAATGGGCAAAGTTCGGGTGAAATTTGGGTGGAAATTGGGTGAAAAATGGGTGAAAAATGGGCAAAATTCAGGTGAAATTTGGGTGGAAATTGGCTGGAAATGGGCAAAATTCAGGTGAAATTTGGAAATTGGGTGGAAAATAGGCAAAATTCAGGTGAAATTTGGGTGAGAATTGGGTGAAAATTGGGTGAAAAATGGGTGAAAATCAGGTGAAGAATGGGCAAAACTCAGGTGAAAATCGGGTGAGAATTGGGTGAAAATTGGGGAGAATCTGGGTGAAATTGAGGCAAAATTTGGGTGAAAATCGGGGGGAATTTGGGTGAAAATTAGGGGAAATTTAGGTGAAAAATGGGCAAAATTCAGTTGAAAATTGGGTGGAGATTGGGTGAAAATCGGATGAGAATCGGGTGAAAATTGGGGAGAATCTGGGTGAAAAATGGGCAAAATATGGGCAAAATTCAGGTGAAATTTGGGTGAAAATTCAGTGGAGATTGGGTGAAAATGGGGCAAAATTTGGGTGAAAATCAGGGGGAAATTGGGTGAAAATTGGGTGGAATTTGGGTGGAAAATGGGTGAAAATTGGGGGAATTTGGGTGAAAATTGGGGGGGATTTGGGGTGAAAAATGGGCAAAATTCAGGTGAAATATGGGGGAAAATGGGGATTTTGGTGCAAAATTTGAATTTTAGGGGAATTTTAAGGATGGGATTTTTGGGAGAATTTTGGGGTCCTGGTTTGTATTTTTGGGGTGATTTTGGGTGAAAATTGGGTAAAAAATGTGCCAAATATGGGCAAAAATAGGGATTTTGGTGCAAAATCTGAATTTTTTGGGAGAGTTTTGGGGATGGGATTTTTGGGGGAATTTTGGGTGTCACATTTGGATTTCTTGGGTGATTTTGGGCTGATTTTGTGCTGCTGGGTTGGATTTTGGGGCGAATTTTGAGGCGATTTTTGGGTTTTTCGGTGGATTTTTGGTGTTTTTGGTGGGATTTTTTTGGGGTTTTTTTTGCTGTTGGTATTTTTTTTTGCTGTTTTCACCCCAAAACTGTTTCCCACCCCAATTTCAGAGGCGGGGACCCCCGGGGAGGGGCGTTACTCCCACGTTTCGGGGGTCCTGGCCGGGCAGGTGCTGCTGGTGGCCGGCGGCTTCTCGGGGGTCCCGCGGGGCGACCTCCGAGCCTACAAAGTTCCTTCCTTCGTCCTGCAGCGGAGCGTGAGTGCCCCAAAATCCCCCACATTCACCCCAAAAATACCGAAATTATAGTCCTGAACTGGGCCGGGATGGGCCCCCAAAAATCCCAAAATTTCCCTGCGAAAATCCCGAAATTCTCCCCAAAAAATCACAAAATTCCCCTCAAAAATGGTGAAATTACACCCAAAAAATGAAGATTTAACCCCAAAATCCCCAAAATTCAGCCCAAAATTTCCAAATTTATAGTCCTGAACCGGGGCCGGGATGGGCCCCCAAAAATCCCAAAATTTCCCTGTGAAAATCCCAAAATTCCCCTCAAAAATGGTGAAATTACACCCAAAAAATGAAAATTAAACCCCGGATTCAGCCCAAAAATCCCAAATGTATAGTCCTGAACAGGGGCTGGGATGGACCCCCCAAAAATCCCAAAATTTCCCTGAAAAATGGTGAAATTACACCCAAAAAATGAAAATTAAATGCTAAAAATGTCAAAATTCCTCCCCAAAATTACCAAAATTATAGTCCTGAACTGGGGCTGGAATGCCCCCCCAAAAAATCCCAAAATTCCCCCCCAAAATGCCAAAATTACAGCAAAAAAAAAAGAAAATTAAACACTAAAAATGTCAAAATTCCTCCCCAAAATCCCCCAAATTCACCCCAAAAATACCGAAATTATAGTCCTGAACCGGGGCCGGGATGGCCCCCCAAAAATCCCAAAATTCTCCCCAAAAAATCCCGAAATTCTCCCCAAAAAATCACAAAATTCCCCTTAAAAATGGTGAACTTACACCTAAAAAAATGAAAATTCCTCCCCCAAATTCACCCCAAATTCACCCCAAAAATCCCAAATTTATAGTCCTGAACCGAGGCTAGAATGGGCCCCCCAAAATTCCCCTCAAAAATGGTGAAATTACACCTAAAAAATGAAAATTAAACCTCAAATTCACCCCAAAAATCCCAAATGTAAAGTCCTGAACTGGGGCTGGAATGGGCCCCCCAAAATTCCCCTCAAAAATGGTGAAATTACACCCAAAAAATGAAAATTAAACCCCAGATTCACCCCAAAAATCCCAAATTTATAGTCCTGAACCGAGGCTAGAATGGGCCCCCCAAAATTCCCCTCAAAAATGGTGAAATTACACCCAAAAAATGAAAATTAAACCCCAAATTCACCCCAAAAATCCCAAATTTATAGTCCTGAACTGGGCCGGGATGGGCCCTCCAAAAATCCCAAAATTCTCCCCAAAAAATCCCAAATTCCCCTCAAAAATGGTGAAATTACACCCAAAAAATGAAAATTTAACCTCAAAATCCCCCAAATTCACCCCAAAATTCCCAAATTTATAGTCCTGAACCGGGGCTGGGATGGGCCCCCAAAAATCCCAAAATTTCCCTCAAAAATGGTGAAATTACACCTAAAAAATGAAAATTAAACCTCAAATTCACCCCAAAAATCCCAAATTTATAGTCCTGAACCGGGGCTGGAATTGCCCCCCAAAAAATCCTGAAATTCACCCCAAAAATCCCAAAATTCCTCCCAAAAATCCCAAAACTCCCCCCAAAAAAGCCAAAATTAGAGCTAAAAAACCCTGAAAATTAAACACAAAAAATGTCAACATTCTGTCCTAAAAACTCCCAAATTTAGCCCAAAATCTTCCCCCAAAATATCCCCAAATAGTCCCCCCCAAAGATTCCCAAATATTCCCCAAAAATCCCCCCCAAAAACCCAAATCAAATGCAAAAAAAATCAAAAAAATTCCCCGAAATTTCAATTTTTCTTCCCAAAAGTCCCAGAATCCCTTCCAGAAAAACCCAAAAATTCCTCCAAAAATTCCCCCAAATTCCTCAAAAAAACCCCCAAAATTTCCTCCAAAAATTCCCTCAAATCCCTTAAAAAAACCCCAAAATTCCCCCCCAAAAATCCCCCCAAAATTCCCCCCAAAAAATCCCCCCAAAATTCCTCAAAATCCCTTTAAAAATTCCCCGAAATCCCTTTAAAAAAGCCCAAAATTCCTCCCAAAAATTGCCCAAAATCCCTTTTAAAAACCCTAAAACTCCCCCCAAAAATCCCCCAAAATTCCAACCTAAAATTCCCCCTGAAATTCCCAAAATTTCCCCAAAAAATTCCCCAAAATCCCCCAAAAAATTCCCAAATTTTTTGGATTTCCAGGAAGAGCCGGATCCCAACTGCGGAAGCTCAGGGACCAACCCAGAGCAGGTGAGGCCCAAATTTGGGGGAATTTGGGAAAATTTGGGTCAAAAAATTGGGGAAAATTCGGGAAAAAAATTTGGGGGGGGTTGGGGAAAAATTTGGGGGAATTTTGGGGGGATTTGGGTAAAATTGGGGGAAAAATGGGAATTTTGGGGGATTTAAAGGGAATTTTGGGGGAAACTTTGGGGAAAAATTTGGGGAAAGATTGGGAGGGGTTTGGGAAAATTTGGGGGAATTTTGGTCAAAAATTGGGGGAAAAAATGGGAATTTTGGGGGATTTAAAGGGAAATTTTGGGGAGATTTTTGGGTGGATTTTCATGGAATTTTGGGGGGATTTTGGGGGGATTTTGTGAGGAATTTCAGTGGAATTTTGGGGGGATTTTGGGGGGGATTTTGATGGAATTTTTGGGGGGATTTTGATGGAATTTTGGGGTGGATTGTGATGAAATTTTGGGGGAATTTTGGGGGGATTTTTATGGAATTTTGGGGGGGATTTTGATGAAATTTTGGGGTGGATTGTGATGAAATTCTGGGGGAATTTTGGGGGGATTTTGATGGAATTTTGGGGGAGATTTTGGGTGGATTTTGATGGAATTTTGGGGGGGATTTTAGCGGAATTTTGAGAGGTATTTTAATGGAATTTTGGGGAGATTTTGGGGTGAATTTTGGGGTAAAACCCCCAATTTTCTCCCCAGTGCCCCCCCGGCCCCTGCCCGGGGCTGTCCCGCCTTTTGGGGGATTTGGGGGATTTTGGGGAGATTTTGATGGAATTTTGGGGGGATTTTAATGGAATTTTGGGGAGAATTTTGGGTGGATTTTGATGGAATTTTGGGGAGATTTTTGGGTGGATTTTGGTGAAATTTTTGGAGGGATTTTGGGTTGATTTTAATGAAATTTGGGGGGGAATTTAATGGAATTTGGGGGAATTTTGAGTGGATTGTGATGATATTTTGGGAGGTATTTTAATGGAATTTTGGGGTGATTTTGATGGAATTTTTGGGAGGTATTTTAATGGAATTTGGGGGTGATTTTGGGGTGTATTTTGGGGTAAAACCCCCCAATTTCTCCCCAGTGCCTCCCCGGCCCCTGCCCGGGGCTGTCCCGGCTTTGGGGGATTTGGGGGGATTTTGATGGAATTTTGGGGGAGTTTTTGACCGAATTCTGATGTAATTTTGGGGAGATTTTGGTGTGAATTTGGGGTGATTTTGGGGTGAATTTTGGGGTAAAACCCCCCAATTTCCCCCCAGTGCCCCCCTGGACCCTGCCCGGGGCTGTCCCGCCTTTGGGGGATTTGGGGGATTTTGGGGGGAATTTAATGGAATTTTGGGGGAATTTTGATGGAATTTGGGGAGGGATTTTGATGAAATTTTGGGGGGATTTTGGGGGGATTTTTATGAAATTTGTGGGGGATTTTGATGGAATTTGGGGGAGATTTTTGGGTGGATTGTGATGAAATTTTGGGAGGTATTTTAATGGAATTTTGGGTGGATTTTAGCGGAATTTTGGGAGGTATTTCAATGGAATTTTGGGGAGATTTTGGTGTGAATTTGGGGTGATTTTGGGGTGAATTTTGGGGTAAAACCCCCCGATTTCTCCCCAGTGCCCCCCCGGCCCCTGCCCGGGGCTCTCCCGCCTTTGGGGGATTTTGGGGGATTTTGGGGGATTTTGATGGAATTTTGGGGGGATTTTGATGGAATTTTTGGGAGGTATTTTAATGGAATTTTGGGGTGAATTTTGGGGTAAAACCCCCCGATTTTCTCCCCAGTGCCCCCCCGGACCCTGCCCGGGGCTGTCCCGCCTTTTGGGGATTTGGGGGATTTGGGGGGATTTTGATGGAATTTTGGGGTGGATTTTGACCGAATTTTGGGAGGTATTTTAATGGAATTTTGGGGAGATTTTGGGGTGAATTAGGGGTGATTTTGGTGTGAATTTTGGGGTAAAACCCCCCGATTTTCTCCCCAGTGCCCCCCCGGCCCCTGCCCGGGGCTCTCCCGCCTTTTGGGGGACTGTGAGTCGTGTCTCGCCTTCGGGGGGGAGCCCCAAAATCCGCCCGGGCCCGACAGCCCCGCCCCCCCCCGCTTCGGCTGGTGCGTGCAGAACGACACCTGCGTGCCCCTGGCAGGTGGGAATGGGGAAAAACGGGGGGAAACGGGAAAAATGGGGAAAAATGGGGAAAATGGGGGGGGGAAATGGGTGGGGAGGGAAAAAATGGGATTTGGAGGGGGAAATGGGGAAAAAATGGGATTTGGGGGGGGAAAATGGGGAAAACAGGGGGGGAAAATGGGGAAAAAATGGGAAAAAATGGGATTTGGGGGGGAAAAATGGGGGGAAAATGGAGAAAAAATGGGAAAAATGGGAAAAAATTGGATTTTTGGGGGGGAAAATGAGGGGGAAAATGGGATCTGGGGGGGAAAATGGGGGGGGAGGGAAAAACGGGGGAAATGGGGAAAAAATGGGAAAAAATGGGGAAAGGGGGGGGGAAATGGGGAAAAAATGGGAAAAATGGGATTTGGGGGGGAAAAATGGGGGGGAGAGGGAAAAAATGGGGAAAAAAATGGGATTTTGGGGGGGTAAAATGGGGGGGGTAAAGGGAAAAAACGGGCAAAAAATGGGATTTTGGGGGGAAAAATGGGGGGGAAAGGGGGAAAACAGGGGGAAAAATGGGGAAAAAATGGGAAAAATTGATTATTGGGGGAAAAAATGGGGGGGGAAATGGGGGGAAAAAGAGAAAAAAGTGGAAAAAAATGGGATTTTGGGGGGAAAATGGGGGGAGGGAAAAAATGGGGAAAACGGGGGGAAATGGGGAAAAAATGGGAAAAATGGGAAAAAATGGGAAAAAATTGATTTTTGGGGGAAAAATGGGGGGGAAAATGGGGGGAAAAAGAGAAAAAAGTGGAAAAAAATGGGATTTTGAGGGGAAAAAATGGGGGGGGTAAAGGGAAAAAATGGGAAAAATGGGGGAAAATGGGAAAAATAGGGATTTTGGGGGGAAAAATGGGGGGGTGAAGGGAAAAAAAGGAGATTTTGGGGTGGATATTTTTAATTTTGGGGTGGATTTTGTTAATTTTGGGGTGGATATTTTTCATTTTGGGGTGGATTTTGGGGTTTTTGGGGTCGCTGAACCCGTTTTTCCCCTCCCCAGAGCGCTCCCGCTGCCGCGTGGGGCAGATTTGGGGCAGATTTGGGAGTTTTGGGGCGGTTTTAGCTGGATTTTGTTTATTTTTGGCCGGATATTTTTAATTTTGGGGTGGATATTTTTAATTTTGGGGTGTTTTTTGGGGTTTTTGGGGTCGCTGAACCCATTTTTCCCCTCCCCAGAGCGCTCCCGCTGCCGCGTGGGGCAGATTTGGGGCAGATTTGGGAGTTTTGGGGCGGTTTTTTCTGATTTTGGGGTGGATTTTGTTGATTTTAGGGTGGATATTTTTAATTTTGGGGTGGATTTGTTACTTTTGGGGTGGATTTTGTTAATTTTGGGGTGGATATTTTTAATTTCGGGGTGTTTTTTGGGGTTTTTGGGGTCGCTGAACCCGTTTTTCCCCTCCCCAGAGCGCTCCCGCTGCCACCTGGGGCAGATTTGGGGCAGATTTGGGGCAGTTTTAGCTGGATTTTGTTCATTTTGGGGTGGATTTTGTTTATTTTTGGCCGGATTTTGTTCATTTTGGGGTGGATATTTTTAATTTCGGGGTGTTTTTTGGGGTTTTTGGGGTGTTTTTTGGGGTTTTTGGGGTCACTGAACCCATTTTTCCCCTCCCCAGAGCGCTCCCGGTGCCGCGTGGGGCAGATTTGGGGCAGATTTGGGAGTTTTGGGGCAGTTTTAGCTGGATTTTGTTCATTTTGGAGTGGATATTTTTAATTTTGGGGTGGATAATTTTAATTTCGGGGTGTTTTTTGGGGTTTTTGGGGTCGCTGAACCCATTTTTCCCCCTTTCAGAGCGCTCCCGGTGCCGCGTGGGGCAGATTTGGGGCAGATTTGGGAGTTTTGGGGCGATTTTAGCTGGATTTTGTTAATTTTGGGGTGGATATTTTTAATTTTGGGGCGGATATTTTTAATTTTGGGGTGTTTTTTGGGGTTTTTGGGGTCGCTGAATCCATTTTTCCCCTCCCCAGAGCGCTCCCGCTGCCGCGTGGGGCAGATTTGGGGCAGATTTGGGAGTTTTGGGGCGATTTTAGCTGGATTTTGTTAATTTTGGGGTGTTTTTATTTAATTTTGGGGTGTTTTTTGGGGTTTTTGGGGTCGCTGAATCCATTTTTCCCCTCCCCAGAGCGCTCCCGGTGCCGCGTGGGGCAGATTTGGGGCAGATTTGGGGCAGATTTGGGGCAGATTTGGGAGTTTTGGGGTGGTTTTAGCTGGAATTTGTTCATTTTGGGGTGGATATTTTTAATTTCGGGGTGGATTTTGGGGTTTTTGGGGTCGCTGAACCCATTTTTCCCACTTTCAGAGCGCTCCCGCTGCCGCCTGGGGCAGATTTGGGGCAGATTTGGGGCAGATTTGGGAGTTTTGGGGCGGTTTTAGCTGGATTTTGTTAATTTTGGGGTGGATATTTTTAATTTCGGGGTGTTTTTTTGGGTTTTTGGGGTGTTTTTGGGGTTTTTGGGGTCGCTGAACCCATTTTTCCCACCCCCAGAGCGCTCCCGCTGCCGTGTGGGGCAGATTTCGGGCACCCACGGCTGGTGGGGTCCCCGGGCCGATTTCCTGACGGAGCTGCCGCAGTGCCGCAGCCGCGGGGTCCCGCCCGGGCTGCACCTCCTGACCTTCCAGCACCCCAAAAACGAGTCCCAGCCCGACAAGGTGAGCCCCAAAAACCCCAAAACATCCCCAAAAAATCCCCAAAAAATCCAGGGGAAAATTTCACCGGGAACCGGCCCCGAAATCGCCACGAAAATCAGAAAAAATCATGTTAAAATCAAGAAAAATTGGATTAAAATCAGATTAAAATGGCCCAAAATTGAGTCCTGGACAAAAAAGGTGAGCCCCAAAAATCTTCAAAATTAAAAATCCCCAAAAAATCCAAAAAAATCTTCAAAATCCCCCCAAAAATATCCCCAAAATTTGGATGAAAATAAGGGGAAAATGCAGCAAAAATGGCACAAAAATCCCTCAAAATGGATTTTAAATGGTCCAAAAATGAATCCCAAAATCCTCCAAAAAAAATGCCCCAAAATATCCCCAAAATTTTGGTAAAAATAGGAAAAAAATCCAATGAAAATGGCCCAAAATCCACAAAAAATGGCTCAAAAAGCAGTCCCAGCCCAACAAGGTGATCCCCAAATTACCCCTAAAAACCCCAAAAAATTCCCCCCAAAAAATCTGAAAAATTCCCATCTACCCCTCTAAAATGCCCAAAATTCAAATCCTAAAATAATCCCCCAGAAATCTCCCAAAAAAACCCCCAAAATTCCCAAAATAAGGGCAAAAATCATCAAAAATTCCTGAAAAGTAAATGCTGAATTAATCCCCCAAAAAATCCCCAAAATCCCAAAAAAGTCCAAAAAAATACCCAGAAATCCATTAAAAATCCCTAAAAAATAAATCCCAAAATATTCCCCAAAACCCCCCAAAAAATCCCCCAAAATCCTGAAAAATCCCCAAAATTCCAAAAAATTCCCTCAAAATTCTCAGAAATTCCCCAAATTTCCCCAAAAAATCCCCCTAAAATAAAAACTAGTTGCAAAAACTCCAAAAAAATCACAAAAATCCCCAAAAAAGTGCAACAAATCCCACCAAAAATCCCCAAAATTCCCAAAAAATCCCCAAAAATTCCTGATTTTTTTTGGAATTTCCCCCTCGGTGTCGCTGATCCGCAGTGCCACCCTCACATTGACCCCCCTGGAAACACGTCCAGGGCCTTCCTGTACCCTCTGCTGGGGCTCCCAAACTGAGGGAAACCCCCCAAAAAATCATCAAAAACTCCCACAAAACATCAAAAAAACCACAAAATTCCCAATTTTTCCTCAAAAATCCCGATTTTTCCCCAAAAAATCCCTTTTTTTCCTGTAATTTCCCTCATAGGTGTCGCTGATCAGAAGCGCCACCCTCACTTTGACCCCCCTGGAAATGTGGCCAGGGCCTTCCTGTCCCCAACGGGACTCCCAAACTGAGGGAAATCCCCTCAAAAAATCAGCAAAATTCCCAAAAAATGCCCAAACCCCACAAAATTTCCAGATTTTCCCCTAAAATTCCCTTTTTTTTCTGGAATTTCTCCCCTAGGTGTCGCTGATTCGCAGCGCCACCCTCACTTTGTTCCCCCGGAAACGCGACCGGGGCCTTCCTGTCCCCAACGGGACTCCCAAACTGAGGGAAACCCCCCAAAAAATCATCAAAAAAACCCACAAAATTCCCAATTTTTCCTCAAAAATCCCAATTTTTCCCAAAAACATCCCCTTTTTTTTCTGAAATTTCCCTCATAGGTGTCACTGATCCGCAGTGCCACCCTCACTTTGACCCCCATGGAAACACGACCAGGGCCTTCCTGTACCCCCAATGGGGCTCCCAAACTGAGGGAAACCCCCTCAAAATCCCCTAAAAAATCCCCAAGAAATGCCCAAAATCCACAAAATTCCCGATTTTTCCTCAAAAATCCCAATTTTTCCCCAAAAAATCCCTTTTTTTTCTGAAATTTCTCCCCTAGGTGTCGCTGATCCGGAGCGCCACCCTCACTTTGTCCCCCCGGAAATGTGGCCAGGGCCTTCCTGTCCCCAACGGGACTCCCAAACTGAGGGAAACCCCTCAAAAAAACCCACAAAATTCCCAATTTTTCCTCAAAAATTCCCAATTTTTCCCCAAAAAATCGCTTTTTTTTTCTGAAATTTCCCCCCTAGGTGTCGCTGATCCGCGGTGCCACCATCACTTTGACCCCCCTGGAAACACGTCCAGGGCCTTCCTGTACCCTCTGCTGGGGCTCCTAAACTGAGGGAAACCCCCCAAAACCCCTCAAAAAATCAGCAAAAGTTCCCACAAAACGTCAAAAACCCCACAAAATCCCAATTTTTCCCCAAAAAATTGCTTTTTTTTCCTGTTATTTCCCCCCTAGGTGTCGCTGATCTGCAGTGCCACCATCACTCTGACCCCCCCGGGTGACGCGGCCGGGGCCTTCCTGTACCCCCAATGGGGCTCCCAAACTGAGGGAAACCCCCTCAAAATCCCCTAAAAAATCCCCAAGAAATGCCCAAAATCCACAAAATTCCCGATTTTTCCTCAAAAATCCCAATTTTTCCCAAAAAAATCCCTTTTTTTTCTGAAATTTCCCTCATAGGTGTCTCTGATCAGAAGTGCCACCCTCACTCTGACCCCCCTGGAAACGCATCCAGGGCCTTCCTGTACCCCCAATGGGGCTCCCAAACTGAGGGAAATCCCCCAAAAAATCAGCAAAAACTCCCACAAAACATTAAAAAACCCACAAAATTCCTGATTTTTCCTCAAAAATCCCAATTTTTCCCCAAAAAATCCCTTTTTTTCCTGTAATTTCCTCCTAGGTGTCGCTGATCCGGAGCGCCACCATCACTCTGACCCCCCCGGGGGACGCAACTGAGGCTCCCAAACTGAGGGAAATCCCCCAAAAATCCCCCCAAAATTCCCAAGAAATGCCCAAAACACACAAATTTCCAGATTTTTCCCAAAAAAAATCCCATTTTTTTCCTGGAATTCTTCGCTAGGTGTCGCTGATCCGCAGTGCCACCCTCACTTTGACCCCCATGGAAACACGACCAGGGCCTTCCTGTACCCTCTGCTGGGGCTCCCAAACTGAGGGAAACCCCCTCAAAATCCCCTAAGAAATCCCCCAAAATTCCCAAAAAATGCCCAAAACCCACAAATTTCCAGATTTTTCCCAAAAAAATCCCATTTTTTTCTGAAATTTCCCTCATAGGTGTCGCTGATCCGCGGTGCCACCCTCACTTTGACCCCCCTGGAAACACGACCAGGGCCTTCCTGTACCCTCTGCTGGGGCTCCCAAACTGAGGGAAATCCCCCCAAATCCTCTAAAAAATCAGCAAAATTCTCAAAAAATGCCCAAAACCCACAAATTTCCAGATTTTTCCCAAAAAAATCCCATTTTTTTCTGAAATTTCTCCCTTAGGTGTCTCTGATCAGGAGCGCCACCATCACTCTGACCCCCCCGGGGGACGCGGCCGTGGCGCTGCAGTTCCGGGGTTTCCTGCACCCGCTGCTGGGCCCGGCCGGGCCCGGCCCCAACGTCTGGGCCCGGATCCAGCGGCTGGCCGTGGTGGCCCGGCTGGCCCGGGAGCCCAACTCCACCGAGCTGGTAAAAAACGGGAATTTTGGGAATTTTTGGGAATTTTTTGGGGGATTTCGGGTGGTTTTTGGGGATTTTTTGAGAATTATTTGGGATTTTTGGCTGGATTTTGGATGGGATCTGGGGGGATCTGGGCCCGGATCCAGCGGCTGGCCGTGGTGGCCCGGCTGGCCCGGGAGCCCAACTCCACCGAGCTGGTAAAAAACCGGAATTTTGGGAATTTTGGGAATTTTTTTGGGGGATTTCGGGTGGTTTCGGGGCGGTATATTGGAGGTAAAAGGGAGTTTTAGGGGGGTTTGGGGGGGTTTTGGGTGGGGTTTTGGGTAGTTTTGAGAAAAAAATGGGATATTTTGGGGAAAATTTGGGAATTTCCTGAATTATTTGGGAATTTTTGGGAATTTTGGGGGATTTTTGGGAATTTTTTGGAGATTTTTGGTGTTTTTCTGATGGATTTTGGATGGGATCTGGGCCCGGATTGAGCAGCTGGCTGTGCTGGCCTGGCTGAGCAGGGAGCCTCAATTTGGTAAAAAAATCCGGGAATTTGGGAAAATTTGTGAATTTTTTTGGAAAATTTGGGAATTTTCAGAATTATTTGGGAATTTTGGGTGGTTTTTGGGGATTTTTTGAGAATTATTTGGGATTTTTGGCTGGATTTTGGATGGGATTTGGGGGTATCTGGGCCCGGATCCAGCGGCTGGCCGTGGTGGCCCAGCTGGCCCGGGAGCCCAACTCCACCGAGCTGGTAAAAAACGGGAATTCCGGAATTTTGGGAATTTTTGGGAATTTTTGTGGGGATTTCCGGTGGTTTCGGGGCAGTATATTGGAAGTAAAAGGGAGTTTTAGGGGGGTTTGGGGGGTTTGGGTGGGGTTTTCGGTAGTTTTGAGAAAAAAATGGGAATTTTTTTGGAAAATTTGGGAATTTTCTGAATTATTTGGGAATTTTGGGGGTTTTTTTGGGAATTTTGGTGGATTTTTGGGAATTTTTTGGGGTTTTTTGGGTGGATTTTGGATGGGATCTGGGCCCGGATCCAGCGGCTGGTGGTGGTGGCCCGGCTGGGCCGGGAGCCTCAATTTGGTAAAAAAATCCGGGAATTTGGGAAAATTTGGGAATTTTTTGGAAAATTTGGGCATTTTCACAATTATTAGGGAATTTGGGTGGAGTTTTGGGGATTTTTTGGGGTTTTTCGGGTGGATTTTGGATGGGATCTGGGCCCGGATCCAGCGGCTGGCCGTGGTGGCCCGGCTGGCCCGGGAGCCCAACTCCACTGAGCTGGTAAAAAACGGGAATTCCGGAATTTCGGGAATTTTTGGGAATTTTTGTTGGGATTTCCGGTGGTTTTGGGGCGGTATATTGGAGGTAAAAGGGAGTTTTGGGGGGGTTTGGGGGGGTTTGGGGTGGGGTTCTCGGTACTTTTGAGAAAAAAATGGGAAGTTTTGGGGAAAATTTGGGAATTTTCAGAATTATTTGGGAATTTTTGTGGATTTTGTTGGAATTTTGGGGAATTTTTTGGAGATTTTGGGAATTTTTTGCTGGATTTTGGATGGGATCTGGGGCCCGGATCCAGCGGTTGGCGGTGGTGGCCTGGCTGGGCCGGGAGCCTCAATTTGGTAAAAAATCCAGGAATTTGGGAATTTTTTTTGGAAATTTGGGAATTTTCAGAATTATTTGGGAATTTTTGGGTTTTTTTGGGGAATTTTGGGAATTTTTTTGTAGATTTTTTTGTTTTTTTTGGTGGATTTTGGATGGGATCTGGGCCCGGATCCAGCGGCTTTTGTGGAAAAAAAGGGTGAATTTTGCCCTAAACTCCCGAAATTCTGTGTGAAAAAAAGGATGAATTTTTACCTAAAATCCCGAAATTTTGTGGAAAAAAAGAGGCGAATTTTGGCCTAAAATCCCGGAATTTTGAGCTAAAAGCTTGGAATTTTGGCCCAAAATCCCAGAATTTTGGGGGAAAAAAAGGATGAATTTTGGCCTAAAATGTGTAATATTTGTGGGAAAAAACCGGTGAATTCTGGCCTAAAATCCTGGAATTTTTATGGAAAAAAAGGGTGAATTTTGGCCTAAAATCCGGAATATTTGTAGAAAAGAAGGGTGAATTTTGGCCTAAAATCCCGGAATTTTGGGGGGAAAAAAAGGGGAATTTTCGCCTAGATTGTGTGATTTTGTTCCGGGTAATTTTTTGGGGGATTTACCCGTTTTTTCCCCTTTTCCCGCAGGAAGAGGTCGGCCGCTGGGGGGCGCAGCAGGAGCGGGAGACGCTCCCGGCCCCAATTCCAAACCCCCAAAATTCCATCCAAAAACCGGGATTTTTGTGCTAAAATCCCGGATTTTTTTTGGGGAAAAAAAGGCTGAATTTTTGCCTGAAATCCCAGAATTTTGATCTAAAAGCTTGGAGTTTTGGCCTAAAATCCTGGAATGTTTGTGGAAAAAAAGGGTGAATTTTGCCCTAAAATCCTGGAATTTTTGTGGAAAAAAAAGGGTGAATTTTGGCGTAAAATTCAGGAAATTCTGCTGAAGAAAGCTGAATTTTGGCCCAAAATCCCGGAATATTTGGTGGAAAAAAAGGGTGAATTTTGCCCTAAAATCCCGGAATTTTGGGGGGAAAAAGACTGTGAACTTTATTTTAAAATCCAGAATTTTTGGGAAAAAAAGGGTGAATTTTGGCCTAAAATTCAGGAATTTCTGCTGAAGAAAGCTGAATTTTGGCCCAAAATCCCAGAATATTCGTGGAAAAAAAGGGCGAACTTTGCCCTAAAATCCTGGAATTTTTGTGGAAAAAAAAGGGTGAATTTTGGTGTAAAATTCAGAAATTTCTGCTGAAAAAAGGCTGAATTTTGGTGTAAAATCCCGGAATATTTGTGGAAAAAGTCGGAATTTTTTCCTGTAATGTGTGAATTTTGGAGCCGGGTAATTTTGGGGAGGGGGGAATTCGGAGCCGGATAATTTTGGGTGGGGGTCTCACCCTTTTTTCCCTTTTCCCGCAGGAGGAGGTCGGCCGCTGGGGGGCGCAGCAGGAGCGGGAGACGCTCCCGGCCCCAATTCCAAACCCCCAAAATTCCATCCAAAACCCGGGATTTTTTTGGGGAAAAAAGGGGAATTTTTTCCTGTAATATGGGAATTTTGTTCCGGGTAATTTTTGGGGGGATTTACCCGTTTTTTCCCTTTCCCGCAGGAGGAGGTCGGCCGCTGGGGGGCGCAGCAGGAGTGGGAGACGCTCCCGGCCCCAGTTCCAAACCCCCAAAATTCCATCCAAAACCGGGATTTTTGTGCTAAAAGCTCGAAATTTTCACCTAAAATGCGGGAGAAACAGAGGAATTCTAAGCTAAAAAAATCAGAATTTTGGCCTAAAATTCGGGAATTTATGGGGAAAAACCCGGAATTTTGGCCTAAAATCCCGGGTATTTTTGGGAAAATTGTCGCTTAAAATGTGGGAATTTTTGGGAAAATACTCGGAATTTTCGCCTAAAATGTGGGAGAAACAGAGGAATTCTAAGCTAAAAAAATCAGAATTTTGGCCTAAAATCCCGGAACTTTTGTGGAAAAAAGGGTGAATTTTGGCCTAAAATTAGGGTGAATTTTGGCCTAAAAGCTTGGAATTTTTGCCCAAAATCCCGGAATTTTGGTGGGAAAAAAGGGCGAATTTTGCCCTAAAATCCCGGAATTTTGAGCTAAAATCCCGGAATTTTTTTGTGAGAAAAGGGGAATTTTCTCCTGGAATATGGGCATTTTGGAGCCGGGTAATTTTTGGGGGATTTACCCGTTTTTTTCCCTTTTCCCGCAGGAGGAGGTTGGCCGCTGGGGGGCGCAGCAGAACCAATTCCAAACCCCCAAAATTCCATCCAAAAACCGGGATTTTTGTGCTAAAATCCCGGATTCTTTTGAGGAAAAAAAGGGTGAATTTTGGCCCAAAATCCCGTAATTTTTGGGGAAAAACTCGTAATTTTCGCCTAAAATCCTGGAATTTTTGTGGAAAAAAAGGGTGAATTTTGACCTAAAATCCCGGAATTTTTGGTGGAAAAAACTGGGATTTTTTGCCTAGATTGTGTGATTTTGTTCCGGGTAATTTTTGGGGGATTTACCCGTTTTTTTTCCCTTTCCCGCAGGAAGAGGTCGGCCGCTGGGGGGCGCAGCAGGAGCGGGAGACGCTCCCGGCCCCAATTCCAAACCCCCAAAATTCCATCCAAAAACCGGGATTTTGGCCTAAAATCCCGGAATTTTTGTGGAAAAAAAAGAGGCGAATTTTGCCCTAAGATCTCGTAATATTTGAGGAAAAAAAGGGTGAATTTTGTTCTAAAATGCCGGAATTTTGGTGGAAAAGAAGGCTGAATTTTTGCCTAAAATCACAGAATTTTGAGCTAAAAGCTTGGCATTTTGGTTTAAAATTACAGAATTTTTTTGGGAAAAACGGGTGAATTTTGTTTTAAAATCCCGGAATTTTTGTGAAAAAAAAGGGTGAATTTTGGCTTAAAATGCTGGAATTTTTGTGGAAAAAAAGGCTGAATTTTGACCTAAAATCCCGGAATTTTGGCCTAAAATCCCGGAATTTTTGTGGAAAAAAAGGCTGAATTTTGGCCTAAAATCACGGAATTTTGAGCTAAAATCCCGGAATTTTTTGGGGTAAAAAAGGGGAATTTTCTCCCGGAATTTGTGATTGGGTTCCGGGTAAATTTTGGGGGATTTACCCGTTTTTTCCCCTTTTCCCGCAGGAAGAGGTCGGCCGCTGGGGGGCGCAGCAGGAGCGGGAGACGCTCCCGGCCCCAATTCCAAACCCCCAAAATTCCATCCAAAACCCGGGATTTTTGTGCTAAAATCCCGGAATTTTTTGGGGGAAAATCTCGGATTTTTTGCCTAGATTGTGGGAATTTGTTCCGGGTAATTTTTGGGGGATTTACCCGTTTTTTCCCCTTTTCCCGCAGGAGGAGGTCGGCCGCTGGGGGGCGCAGCAGGAGCGGGAGACGCTCCCGGCCCCAGTTCCAAAGCCCCAAAATTCCATCCAAAACCCGGGATTTTTTGGGGGGAAAATCTCGGATTTTTTGCCTAGATTGTAGGAATTTTGTAGCCGGGTAATTTTTGGGGGATTTACCCGTTTTTTTCCCTTTCCCCGCAGGAAGAAGTGGGCCGCTGGGGGGCGCAGCAGGAGCGGGAGACGCGCGCGCTGCGGCGGCCGCGGCCCGAGCGCCTCTTCGGGCGGGCGGCGCGGGGCAGCCGCTTCCTGCTGCAGGTGGAGGCGCTGCTCAACGCCTCGGGCGGCCAGAGCAGCGAGCTCACCCTCACCTGGGACCGCACCGGCGTGCCCGGCGGCAGCGTGAGTGCTCGGAAAAAATCGGGAATTTTTGGGGAATTTTTGGGAATTTTTTCCGGGGTGTTCTAGGTCAATATGTTGAATTTTGGGGCTTTTTTTCGGCCATTTTTGGCCATTTTTAATGGGTTTTTTTGGTTGTTAAAGTGAATTTTGTCAGAGATTTTGGTCCCTGAAGGTCTCCAGAAGTAGCAAAAAAGTTCGAGAATTTTTCAGAATTTTTTGGGATTTTCTTCAGGCATTTTTGGGTCATTCTAGTGAATTTTAGGCCTTTTTTGATCTATTATAGTGGATTTTAGGAAGATTTTGGGGGGATTTTGGTCCCTGGAAGTCTCCAAGAGTCCCTAAAAGAATTGAGAAATTTTGGGAATTTTTTGAGATTTTTGGGGATTTTTTTGTGAATTTTTACCTAATTTTTTGGAATTTTTCGGAATTTTTCCAGGCATTTTTCAGAAATTTCCTGTGATTTTTTTGGTGGATCAAAAATATTCGGGAATTTTTTGGGATTTTTTTCCCTGGGGCATTCCGGGTCGATAGATTGAATTTTTGGGTCATTTTTGGCGATTTTAAATGGGTTTTTGGGTCGTTATAGCAAATTTTTGGGGGTATTTTGGTCCTTTGAGAGTTTCAGAAGTAGCAAAGCAGGTGGAGGCGCTGCTCAACGCCTCGGGCGGCCAGAGCAGCGAGCTCACGCTCACCTGGGACCGCACCGGCGTGCCCGGCGGCAGCGTGAGTGCCCGGGGAAATATTGGGAATTTTTGGGGAATTTTTCCGGGGTGTTCTGGGTCAATATGTTAAATTTTGGGGCTTTTTTCGGCCATTTTTGGCGATTTTTTATGGAATTTTTGAGTCATTATAGTGAATTTTGGGGGGTATTTTGGTCCCTGAAGGTCTCCAGAAGTAGCAAAAAAGTTCCAGAATTTTTTAGGTTTTTTTCTGGGGTGTTTCGGGTCAGTATATTGAATTTTTGGGCCATTTTTGGCCATTTTAAATTGGTTTTTTGGGTCCTTATAGCGAATTTTTACAGAGATTTTGGTCCTTAGAGAGCTCCAGAAGTACCTAAACAATTCCAGAATTTTTGGGAATTTTTTAGGATTTTTTCTGGGGTGTTTCGGGTCGATATATTGAATTTTTGGACTATTTTTGGCTATTTTTTGGATCATCATAGCGATTTTTTTCAGAGATTTCAGTCCCTGAAGGTCTCCAGAAGTAGCAAAACAGTTTGGGAATTTTTCAGAATTTTTTGGGGTTTTTTGGGGCGTTTCAGTCGATTTCTTGAATTTTTCGGCTTCTTTTGGCCATTTTTGGCGATTTTAAATGGATTTTTTTGGGTCGTTATAGCGAATTTTTGGGGATATTTTGGTCCTTTGAGAGTTTCAGAAGTAGCAAAGCAGGTGGAGGCGCTGCTCAACGCCTCGGGCGGCCAGAGCAGCGAGCTCACG